GTCTTCCTTTATTCGGTCCAGCGAGTAAAGGACAGGCTCTTCGAAGAGGGTGGCATCCGTAGACAGGCCGAGGGCGTCGGCTGGGTCGATGGCTCGGGTGCGCGGGCTGTTGCGGGGACTTGCAAATTTGAGGCTGTTGACGTCGGCGGGCATGACCCAGTGCTGCACGCCCTGCTGTTGGCGCATCTCGTGCTTGAGCTTGCCCTCGAGCGCGCTTTCCGTGTCGCTGGCAAAAGAGAAGCGTCGCGATGGCGAGCGTTGCGGCGAGCCGGGCTGTTGTTGTGTGTCGTACCCCGCATTGCGCAGGGCGTTGAGGATGGAGCTGTCCCCGCGGTCGAGGTAGAGTAGGCCGGTTCTCCACATGGTCGTTTGTCGTCGATGAGGGTTCCTGCTGTGTGCGAGTAGTCGACCCAACAGTCACCCTCTAGAGTCTTGTCGGACGCGGACAGGGAGGCGCGATGAGCCGCTGCCCTAGCTTTAGTACTTGTTGACAGTATGCGGGTGATCGAGCTGGCCGGCGCTAGAACCCGCTACACCGCCATTTTGCTCATTGTGGTCATCGGGTGAAAAAGTTTGCCGCTGCAGTGTCTCTTACATCTTTGCGGCCTAAAGGCATGCATCTCGTCTTTTATCGTCCTTCACACCCAATCATGTCGCCAGGATAGCCCCATCTGTCGTCTCTGATTGGCTTCAAATCAGACACATTCCACCACCCTGTACCTGCATCCCCATCATCGCCTTGGAGTGTAGCGTCGACAACACCCTCGTATGCCGACTCATTCCGGCTGCGGACGACTGCGGCTACATCGTGTCGTGCGCGCCTGGCGTGATCGCGAAGCATTAATGACGTGGTAGCAGTCCCACTTGTAATTCCACTTGCGCAGGGCTGAGCAGGTGAAGATATTTTGAGACCAGCTGGTGGTGGATGTGGGTGGGGTAAACCACAAAATCCTCGACACGCGCACAACCCCCCACGTGATGATGCAGCGCTAGCACCCACCCGCGGCTGTGAAGGTCATTGTTTCAGACTTCTCCGACGTCAGGGCCGAGGATGTGTCCTTGGCAGTGCATGGAAATGCGACGAAGTGGATAGAAGTCGTACATACAATGGTAACGTGCCAGCAACACCAGTGCATGCATGCATGACCTGCACATGTGGGCTTCCAAACACTGCCTGACGACGCGTCCTGCCTACGTGACAACTAGACCTAATCCTTCAGCATACATGATACCTGTTCTCACTCGCCTCGAGTCACTCGACCCCGCAGTGACACGCTGATCGGCTCTTAATGGACCCAGGAGTTCGACCGCAGTTCGACCACAGTCCACCAGCAATCGCGAACGTGGCAACACAAATAGAAGTGCAGTAGTTAGCTCTATACGCTAGTTCCATATTTCAGTGCAAGTGGATACATCATATCAGATGGAAACAGTATATTATCCGACTAACCATGGACTAATCGCTACCAAGCCCTGGTTATGCATGCTCGCCTTGATAGCCGGAAAACCACCTGCAACTCTCCTCTAGAAGGTGGGATAACACACCGACTTAGAGCATCCACATACACTTCTTCTTCTTCTTCTTCTTCTTCTTCTTGGCACCGCACTGAAAGTCCCTGTTACAACAATGGCTTTTTCCAGGATTTCAAGTTGCTACATAGTGAACAAGTCAGTGAGAGTGTATACTGGAGACGAGACATCGCGTATACTAAGCCCCGTCTTTAAGACAACCCGGAATTGGCACACGACCGACAGCTACATAGTTTAGTAGCTATTTTGTCAATTGCGTAGATAGATGTATCAACGTACGTATATCTACAGCCATTGCTGCTGTAACAAATACAGCTAGCATGATGCTGGTCTTCATGTCGGCTATGAGAGGCTGGTTGATGCAGGGCTTGTGTGTAGTGGGTAGTGATTAGGTATGGAAGTGAGGCAGCTGTTGATAGGCAAGGATGATAGTTCGAGATGTTGTGTTGGTCTGGCAGCAGAGAAAACTAACATTAAATACACCTACGAAAGGGGGCTCAAGAACAGAATGCGCCCCCTGAGATTATGATGAGCCATACGGCGACACTGGATCGAGAATAGGTGCTTACAAGTAAGCATAGAGGAGGAGTTCAGGGTGTAAACGGGATATTTAAGAGACAGATCATGCGGGCAAGTTTGATGAGCCGAAAGGCGGAGGGCAGAGTACGAGCTTACTCTGACTTGACAAGTTTAGGCCTGCTCAGCGTCAGAGGATATCATCTTCATAATATGGGATGCGAGTAGCAACCGACGCCTTCACGTTACTCCCACTGCGTTTATAGAACCGGAACTGACCTTGGAAATGAGTACGCAGGCTATCCTTCCACTAAGAGAATTTGTCAAGATGTAGACCTCAGTCAATTCACACAAAGAGTTTGCTAGCTCTGTTATCCATATTCTTCTTAACATCCTTTGATGAGGGAGGCGGGAATGCAAGGGTAACGTTACCTCCACGCGTATTCGCCACAACACCATCGTCCGAATCACAAGTTGTATGCCTTGAACCATGAAATCGCATACCCACAAACATAGGTTTCAGCACACTGCTTAAACCATTAAACTGTATACCCGTAAACACAGGATTCAGTTCTATCCTTAAACCATCAAATCGCATCCACAAACACAGGATTCAGCACATTGTCGCCTCATAACACAACCTATGCAGTATTACCAAACACCAGCAAAGTCTAACAGTGGTTGCCAGGTAGTCACGTGGTCCTGCTAGACAGATACATATGTACTTACATGTAAGTGGCTGGTGCTAGCGGCCTAGAACAGTCGTCCGCTTCTGTTCACTTACAGACCTTTGGTGGGGCAATAAGACATGCATCGTCTGCCTCGTGCGCTGTAAGCGTTGTCATCAAGCGTTGTCGCTAGCCATACTACGAACTACCTGAATGCAATCTATTGCTTGCAGACGACTCAGCCTGTGGTCGCCCTCAGCGAAAAGTCAGCGCGGCACGAGCAAATCCACAGGTTGTACCACGGTCGAATAGCACACTGACGCGTACCATGCATGGAGCTTAGGTGCTATCAGACTCTGCCACATATACACCGCTCCGCCGCTGCAAGCTAACCAAGCGTCAACTTTGTTGTCCCTCGCCTGACGTGTTGTTTTGCACGCGTCGAGTGGGCAACAGCTCTCAAAAAACCTTTCTTTTCTCACGGCCATGGCAATGTAAAAGAAGCCTGTCCGCTGCCAGCGAGTAGGAGCAGGTGGCGGATGTTGCATGGCTTTCCCTCGGCCTGTAGGCGTTACGGCGTGGTAACGGTAGCCATGCACCATCAACGGCCCGGGCCCGCCGAGCGAACCATAATCCTTGGCGTAAACAAACTTGGTCAGCCCGGAGAGGAGCTACCTCTGAGCGGATTATTTGAGACTATCGGTGCAGACTTGTTGCAACCGTCTCTCTAGACTCAATTGACATTTCTACCAAAAGAAAAACTGAAACAATCATCTATACCCCACTCTCACCGCTTGCATCTCTTTTCATCCCGAGTCAGCTCCGCTGATGTTTCTGCCTTCTGTCTCGCTACTCCGCTGCCGGTAGCACCCACCACGTGTTGTTTGATTGTTGCCATAATACACAGTCATGGACGACGGTCCTCCTCCCCCGCCGCCTCCCCATGGTGCAAACCCAAAGACGACGGGAGGTAGCCATGCACCCCCTCCAGAGCCCCCACCGAGCGGCGGTCTGCCCCCGGGCAACTACGACATCTTCGTTATACCGCCACATTCGTCGGGCGGCGGCTTCATATACCTGCCCAGCTTGGGTGTGCAGCAAAACAGCTTCATTGCAGGAGTGCTGAGCACCATAGTGAGTCTCGTGCTCTGGCAGGCTGTGGAGCCTCATGCCAAGCAATACTTTTTGATTGTGAGGCAGGGCGTGTCAACGGGTGGCAATGGTGTCATAGCGCTGGCGATGATGATGCTGGTTGCTGGCTGGGTTGTCGGTCAGACACAAGCTGGCGGCCGATTTAGTCGGAGTGGTAGATATGGGCCAGGGCCAAATAGTGGAGCGGGCGGAGCTGGTGCTGGGGCGGGTGATGGTACACAAGGCGGCGGCCCGAGCTACCAACGTGCACCTCCACCACCGCCTCCCAATGGCGGCTTCCCCGGCGGCGCTCAAAATCACGGAGGCTGGGGCGGATATCGACAATACGGCGCCTCATCACCGCCTCCTCAAGACGACGTGCCTCCTTTCGACGAAGAGGCTGAACGAGCCGAGGAGGAGCGGAAACAAGCAGAGGAAAAGGAGAGACTGCGGAAACAGGAAGAGGAGCGCAGACGAGCCGAGGAAGCCAAGAAAAAGCAAGAAGAGGAAGAAGCTGAACGCAAGCGCGCCGAGGAGGCAGAGAAGAAGCGGAAGCACGAGGAAGAGCTCAAGAGGGCGGAGGAGGCAAAGAGGAAGGAGGACGAGGAGCGTAAGCGCGCCGAACAAGAGCGTAGGCGTGCTGAAGAAGAACGCAGACGTATCGAAGAGGAGCGCAGACTGGCCGAGGAGGCAAAGAGGCGAGTCGAGGAGAAGAGGCTGGCCGAGGAAGCCAGACAACAACGTGAGGCCGAGGAGAAGAGGAGAGCCAAGGCAGCTAGGAAGAAGCGCGAGGCCGAGGAGCAAAGGCTAGCTGAAGAAGCCAGGAAGAAGCGCGAGGCCGAGGAGCAAAGACTAGCTGAAGAAGCTAGGAAAAAGCGTGAGGCCGAAGAGCAACGACTAGCTGAGGAAGCTAGAAGGAAGCGCGAGGCCGAAGAGCAGAGACTGGCTGAAGAACGGAGATTGGCTGAAGAGGCCCGCAAGAAGCGCGAAGCTGAAGAGCAGAGACTAGCTGAAGAGGCTCGTAAGAAGCGCGAAGCTGAAGAGCAGAGACTAGCTGAAGAGGCTCGTAAGAAGCGCGAAGCCGAAGAACAGAGACTCGCCGAGGAGGCACGAAAGGCGCGTGAGGCTGAAGAGCGGAGACTCGCCGAAGAAGAGAAGAAGCGACAAGAGGAAGCCGAGCGACTACGCATAGAGGAAGAGCAACGGCAGGCTGAGGAGCAACGGCGACTGGCTGAGGAAGCCCGACTTCAGGCTGAAGCAGCGAAGAAGAAGAAAGAAGAAGAGGAACGGAGACGGGCTTGGGAGGAGCTCAAGCGGGCGGAAGAGGCACGGCAGAAGAAGCTGGCAGAGGAAAAGGCAAAGGAAGAGGCAGCCAAGCTCGCAAAGGCCAAAGCCGAAAAGGAGAAGTGGGAGCAAGCGCGTAAACGTGAGCGAGAGCAGCGTGAACGTGAGGCACGAGAACGGCTGGCCAAGGAAAAGGCCCGCAAACAGCAAGAAGCCCTCGAGAAGGAAAAGGCAGAGCGAGAGGCACGTGAAGCTGAAGCACGGGCACAGATTGAAAAGGAGATTCGTGAGAAGCTCGAGGCCGAACTCCGAGCCAAAGCTGCTGAGGAGGCTGCAAAGAGGGCTGTCGAGGAGAAGCTTGCCGCTGAGGCTGCTGCTGCCAAAGCAAAGGCTGAAGCTGAAACTGCCAAAGCAAGGGCTGAGGCTGAAGCTGCTGCTGCCAAAGCGAGGGCCGAAGCCGAAGCAGCCGCTGCAAAGGCAAAAGCAGATGCTGATCGAGCCGAGCGACTCAAGGCTGCTCGTGAACGGGCCCAGAAAGAGCGAGAGGCGCGTCTTAAGGCGGAAGCCGAGAAGATCAAGGCTGAACAGGCTGCTCGTCTCAAGGCGGAGGCCGAGAAAGTCAAAGCAGAGGCTGAGAGGATCAAGGCCGAACAAGCTGCTCGTCTCAAGGCGGAGGCGGAGAGAATCAAGGCTGAACAGGCGGCTCGTCTCAAGGCGGATGCTGAGAGAATCAAGGCTGAACAGGCGGCTCGTCTCAAGGCGGATGCTGAGAGGATCAAGGCTGAACAAGCGGCTGCTGCTGCTGCTCCAGAGATTACAAACACCCGTCGGTCGACAACATACGGAGGCATTGGCGGGGGCGAGCGACTCGATCCTTATGCCGGTGTGCGGAATGCGACCCCAGCTTCCGTAACCTCTACACATTCTTCTCCCACCAAATCCACCGCCAACTCAAAGGCTTCATACGAGAGGCCGTCAGCGAAGTCGTATCTCGGCAGCGAAGACAATCAATCATTTACCCCTCGAACTTCCACGGCACCACCCCGCTCATCCGCCACACGTTCACACGTTTCTTCCGCGTACTCTGAATCGTCGTACGCACCCTCGGTGTCAACTACACGCACAACACCTCCAGCTTCACGCAGCGGGCCTTACTCCACAACCGACCCCAACAAGATTGTCATCAAGGCCGTATATCTCTTCAACGACCTTTTCCCAAAGCCCGTTGCACAGCTCGTATCGAATATTGGCAAGGTAACGGACGGCTTGATCCTGAAGATCCAGTCCGAGGGTCTCTTCATTGACGACGATGTACGGGGCATTCCGCAACGCGAGTGGGATGTCAAGGCTTGGACACTAAAGATGATCGAGGTAAGCATGTCGATTAATGGTCATGAATACTTGCTAACAAAGATAGACTGGAAAACTGCCAACCAAGAACCTCCACATTCTCCGCGCCTCGATCCGCGATGCTGACGGCAAGAAATACGTCTTCCTGATTGATGAGTCGGAAAGCTGGAAACTGGCTCTTGGACTACAGCGGCTCCGCAAGGGAAGTCAAGTGCGTAGTATGCAGAGCCTTCAAATGGCGCCAAACGAAATGGCTCGTGTCCTCAATGCTGTACCGCCAGTGTAGAAGATGTAGAGTTTGTTGATAAAAGGGCGTTTTGTTGTGTGATTGCGATGGAATGGAATGAAACTGTACATGATGTTTGGTGCGACCCTCGGATGTTGATGCAAGCAACGCATTCTTGAGGATGAGATGATACCCTCGTTAGATCTAGTCTTACCTCGATGGTTTATGTAAGCATCAGCGGCGGAGTTAATGATCATTCGTTTTGACGTTTGTATTGTGAATGAGTTGATGTTGACGAATGTGCGAAAGCATTACAATATGCACCCATGGGTTCTGGCAGCAACGTTGCCTCATGCTGACTGACCTACTGAAACAAAGCATTGTAGTCGTCTGGTCAAGAATTCACTAAAGACAGCAACGACATGTAAATAGAGAAGAGTGCAAACGAAAACTGTATAAAACAGTCATTACTACCAACACAAGAAGCTGATGAGAAGATTAGTTGCTCCATCACTCGGTCACTGGCTTCGCACCTGCGATGGGTTAGTATCATCAGATCACAAAGCCCTGCTCTACTTACCCAACATCCAGCCAATGCCGGAAGCAAGTGCTCCAGTCGCGGCATTGGCTACCATGTCCCTCCTCCTAACACGCTCGTGGTCGTTCATACTGCCAGAGTCGCTGCCCTCCATACTGACACGTCTCGAGGTAGTGTCAGCTTTGGACGGAGCTTCTGCGCTTCCACGAAGAGTAGAAGCAGTCTTTGAAAACGCCGCCGCCGCACCGCGTGCTACATCAAACAGACCCATTGGTGCCTCTTCAACTGCACCTCTTCCAACCTCGCGGCGAGGCTGGACGGTAATTGTGTCGAGATTGAAAGAACCAGGAAGCTTGCGGTCAGCGGCATCGTTGAATCGCTCGTCTGCTTCAGTTTCCTGGGCGAGCAAATGCATCATCTCAGCTTCACACTGCTGCCATACGCCCAATACCTCCTCCAGATGACTGGGCGGTGCAAGTAAGAGTGCCTGTGATAGCAATTCCATGCGTTGCTCCAGTCTTCTCAAGTCTGGCCGCGCCGCATTTCCAGCTTGAGACCATGTGTTGTAGGAGGGTGGTGAGGAGTCATAACGACCAGCCCGGAGAGCAGCCCGCCAGGCCACATCTTCTGCGTCATCTTCGTGGTTTTCGGCATGCGCAGAGCCAAAAGAGAAGAGCTGGAATGATGCTGACGGTGTGGGTATTGGTGTAGATGGCGTCAGTCGGTTGACAACATACGAGTACGCAGTTTCAAAATCATCCTCTTCTAGTGCAGCCTGAATGGCCATGCCAATGACTCGTCGTTCCGCAGCTGCCTTCTTTCGCTCAATCGTGGAGGGGTCTAGTTGCACGCTTCCTGCTTCCTCGTCCATGATGGTCGATGGCGTTGCAACCACAAGATTCTGTCCAATGGAAACCAAGTCGTCCAGCTTTGTATAGCTGCCGCTGTTCTGTGATAGCAGCTTTCGGACTAGGGATAGCGGATTTGAGCTGACTCTGATATTGACCGGCTGGAAGGGTACGCCGTGTTGTAGTATGAGCGAATAAAAAGACATGGCATGGGTTGCTGCCAGTAGAGCCTGAAAACGTCGAAAACGTGAAGAAGAAGGAAAGTGAGGGGCAAAGGCGGCGATGAGATCAGAGGCACGCTTCATACCACCCCTATTGCGGTTGCCGTTGCTTGCATTATCGTAGTGGTGCATTGCTGAAGCGAGCACAACCTGTTCCACATCAGAGGAGAGAAGCGGTTGCTGGCCAAAGGGGGGCTTGATATAAAGCTCTATAGCGAGGGGAAAGTGGTTGCTCTCGAGTAGTGCTTTCAAAACTTCAGTCTCCACAGTCTTGCTATCTAGCATGCCAAAGATACCCTGGGCTTTGCGGTCCTCGTCATGATAGTCGGTACCCCAGTTCCACAGCCACCGTAGCTTAGCCCGTATGGTCCCCCATTCGTTACTGCTTTTCTTCGAGCCGCTGTTGAGTGTGTGAAGTATCTTTTGCAGTAGAGAGAGTTGCTCTGAGTAGTCGTCATGTAGCGACATCTCGGCAACATCCCGCATCGATACAGGGTGTTGCAAGGTTGATAAAACACACGAGGAGAACATGATCAGCTCCAGGACGCGAAATGCTTCAGGTCCGGGCTCTGTGATGGCGTTGCCGGGTTCCAGCAGTCGGTCTTCCCGGAGTAAGGCAGTCGTCGAGTCATGCAACACAGGGTCCTTTAGGTCGTACGCTGGTAGTTGATCTACACCAATGCTCAGGTCTGGCGGGGGGTCGTAGTTGAGCAGAGTGCATATCCGCCCTAGGAGTAGATGTGCCGTCTGTAATGTACCCACATCGCTCTTGTCCACCATGTAGAGACACGCAAGGGCTGTGCGTGCGTACTTCATTTCAAGCTGGCGCTGCTGATCATCGTCGACAAAGTCTCGTCCTTCTTCGTAACCACCAAGATCCATGTCCTCCGGGCCATCCCAATCAGACATGGCTGCAGTAACAAGCGCCAGGTGTTCCTTTGACATGTGTAGTAGCCATTGAAACAGACAGTCCCAGTCATCTATTTCGTGTTCCTCTTGTGCGATTGACGCCCTTCGACCCTCACTTGTAGTTCTCCGCCTCTTGCGATCATTAGCTCCGCATAGCCACGGCGCCACGACGCCCTTGAGGTCCCGCGCTGCATGTTGTACATCCGTCCCATTCGCATTGCGCACATTCGAAAGCTGGTAGTCGATGGCGTGCTGTCCCTTGAGTGCCGCAAACTCGTCGAGAGAGAAGGCAGGGCTTTGCGGATAGTATTCGTAACTGAGACGGAGGAGCGGGAGGACGGTCGATATAAACCACGTGCGCAGGTATTCGGAGTGGCCGAGGAAGGGAACAATCAGCTGTGGGGCGAGATCTAGAAGACCGGTCTGAGCGTCGATGCGGTGGGCGCGGTGGACGAGGAAATGGGTAAAGATATCCACTTCGCTCGCTGCTGCATAGAGAGGATGTATCACAGGTATGAGACCTAAAGCGTTTCTTTTCTTCTTTGCCCGTGAATTCGAGAGCTGTTCTACCGACCCTACGTCTAGCGATTCGGCGGGGTTCTCTCCAGGATATCGTGAGCCATTCGCCAAGTCCTGGAGATAGTCGCAATACAAAGACGGGTCTTTTTCTTCCGGGAGATAGTTCAAGAGTATGCTGAGGGTAAGTTCAAGTGGCAGATCGCTGTCGCGTAGTGCTGTTAATGCGCGCAACGCTGTGATGTTGGACTCGGTTGCATATTGTACGGCGAGGAGAACGCAATGCGCCTCGGAGAGTTTAGAGAGCCTCTGTAGGGCTGCCATATCGGGTAGTACTGGAGTTATCGGTATTGGCGCACTTCCATGGCTGGCGTTGGATGTAAAGGACACGCCCGCAACCAAGTTCGCTACGTCAACTGCCAAGCCCCACCTCGGGGGTCCGCTCATGCCAAGTCGCTGATACCTTTACATCATAGCTGAATTATCTACGACATTTTGAATGTGAGTTCATTTAGCAAAACTGGCGTTGTATATTGCATGTAAATTTGTCACTCGTAGTTTGGACAACATTTACGAGCTGCTCTGTATCTGCCATCCCTTTGGCGTCACATACTAGATTGCGACACTGTGAATACCAGCCGGAACAACTCCATAGGGAGTCTAATACGTAAGCTAGCTAGTCGTTGCACTTCCTTTCAGCCGTCGGATGCGGGGTGATGACCGGAGTATAGGACTAACATTGCAGCTTCACTGACACAACGAACATCGCAGCAAGATGGCGATAGAGAAGGTTGTGATACTAGGCGTAAGTAATATCAATAACAAACCTAAACAAACTAACAAGATAGAACTGGGAGCTTTGCCTTACCATAATCGCCGCCCTCTTACCATCCAAAGCACAGTCTACAGTGCCCCAATATCACATCACCGTGCTCACCTACCCCTCACAAACACTCAGCCTGCCGTCTCATGTCTCTGCTTCCGATGTGGTTCACAAAAAATCAGACTTCTCAACTGCTTCTTTGCTAGGTGCTTTTTCAGGACAAGACATCATCATCAGTACCATGTCCGGTGGAGACTCAGACTTGCAAATCCGTATTGTCGACGCCGCAGTGGCTGCCGGTGTCAAACGGTTCATACCTGATGAGTTTGGTCATGATACGCTAAACAGGAGCATACAAACCCGTATACCAAAGTATGCCGGACGAGCCACGGTTATCGACTACCTTCAGCACATGTCGAAATCTTTTGAATGGACTGCCATCGCTACAGGGTACACGCTGGATACCAACCTTGTCAGTGGCAACATGGGCCTCGACATGGAGTGGTACAGCGCTACTATCCACGGTATTGGCACAGAGCAGTTCGCGGCGTCCAGCCTGGAGAAGGTGGGAAGCGTCGTAGCCTGCACAATCAATCATTGGGACGAGGTCAAGAACCAGTACATCTACGCTGCCGGTGTTATCACATCCACTAACGAAGTCTTGAGATCTGCCGAGAAGGCTACCGGCCGTACTTTTACCGTCGGCCATTACAATGTAGAAGAGTCCATCTTGGAAGGGCAGCAAAGAATCGAAAGAGGCTACCCCGACTCCGGCATGTTCCTTCTCGAACGAAGCATCCTGTACGACGAGCAAGTGAATGCCTCAATGCCATTCAAAACCCAAAGCATGAATGAGAAACTTGGCCTTTCACCAGAATCCGTCGAAGCCATTGTCGAAAAGGCGTACCATGACATGAAGCACCGTGGCAAGTCCGGCTGCGCATGTTCAACATGATCTCCACACCCCACAATCCGGCCATCATGCACTACGGCACTCACGACTCATATACCGAAGCCTTAATCTTGGGTTGGGTCTACTCGCATCAGTTTCCCCAAATCCAGATTCTCATCTGCATGACCCAGATCCTCTAATGTGAATCACCCGTACTTCCAGAACGGGCGAACGGTCCCTTCATTACCCATATACCGATCACAAATATGATGTGCATACGCTCCACTGTAGATCCCGCTCCGCTGCCCGGACCCTTTGATTCCCTCTCAGCCTCAGAATACGACAATGGTGTCCCCTTCGCAATGCCTGCCAGCGTAGCAAGTCAAATCATGCTGAATAGGCCGGCTTGTGTTGTGACATTCAACCCATAGACTGTACAACGAAAAAGCCAACGCTCCGGAAGAACAAAGTCCAAATCTTGTCTTTTGTGGTGCCGTCTCGGTTATCGAAAACAAGTCTTTCTTCCTTCCTTCCCAGTTTCATGGAATTCCATCTGTCAAAGACATCAACACTATAAAAATCACATGCGCTCGACCACCGTCCCACAACCAGAACCGCCATTGGTGTGCCATATGCCCGGTGTACCCTACTGTCTCGTGCACGCTGTGTTTCAGCAGGATCGTTTGGTATCAGATCCTCCAGCCCGAAACTTGAGGCTGTGTAACATAGGTGAGGCGTTTGCGTTTGACAACTGTGAGGCTGTCTGACCACTTCTCTGGGATCTGGCCGTTTGTGGGTTGCGGCTGAGTGCATGTGGGCCGCATGGGCCGTGCGTTCGGTCCGCTACCAACGTTGACGCATGCCCCTTTGTGGTGTCATCGATTGAACTAGTCTTGAACGCTTTAGATTCGGGCGCGAGTCTATAAACAGTAACCTAAAAAATCTACCTACGTGGCAGTATGCTTGCTGGGAATCCGTAGAGGAGCTCGAGACAGATGTAAACAAAAAGACTAATCCTACTAAATGCTGGAAGTCGTGACTTCGTGATGCCGCATTCGCCCAGGATATGGCATGCAGCAACGCAAATCGCTGTAAGATGACGCTGGAAACAAGAACGCTCAGAAAACTGGGATGCGCACATAGACGCTTGCGATTGATGTCATAGAAGACAAGATTAGAAGACAGAGCGATAGAAAAATGCATACCCATCCACCAAGGTAACCCGTTAATGCTACCCAATGCACCACTCAATGCGATTTGGAAGAGCATGTGGTCGCACACTAGCGATTGGTCAAGTTCATGTGGGTTATTACGTCAACTCATATCATGCTCGCTATCGAATTCAACGCCGTCGTCGTCGACCGTATACCCACGAGTTCTGGTTCGCTGACCTGGTGCGCGAGGTTGGGCGAGTACGAGTGACCAGAGAAGCTTGATAGACTCTGGAGCGGCGTCGTGAACATGCCGACGACGGGCTCGTGTCTGTCATGCACTTCGGAAAAAGACGAGGCGGTGGGCGTGCGAAGCGAGTGCATCGTGGGGGTTGCTGAACTCGGCGTCGGGTACGACGAACTATTTGGGTAGTATGGGGTGTTGACTTGCGGTGTCGATGTGGGTGTGGAGTTCTGCAACGGCGTCGAGGACGGCCCGCCTTGCATGTAGTGCAGAGAGGAACTGCCCGGTATCGGCGTGGGGGTGGAATGACGGTGAGAGGGTGCGTCTGGCTGCGAGACGTCCTGCTTGATAGGGTACGAGGACGATGTGGCCGAGACTGATGATGCTGCGCGGACGCGCCCGGCTTGTGTTTCACGACGGCGCTTAGGGCCATCTTTGACTTTTGGGTGTGTGTGACACTGCGTATACGTTAGCATGCTCGAGCTCGTGGTACTACCATGACAGCTGGAGATGCGACCGTCTAGAGCCCATGGAATGTGGAGGACGACTTACCTTGTATGCATGTCGGAACCATGTAGTTCCCTTCTTCTTGTTACTGACCAATGCGATCCATTCACCGCAGCTTCCACAGAGACCTTCCCATACATCGAGGTTGCCTTCGGTCCGACGGGTATCCTGCGGGCCCTGGAAGGCAGCGCCTGTGGCTGCGCTAACGCCATGTGTGAATGACTTGTCGTACCAAAACGCACTGTTCTTGAGCACCAGCCAGCGACCGGGCTTGCAGAGGCCACACCAGCCCTCGCGCTTGTTTCCGTGCCCACGGACCCAACGCGGGGTGTAGAGATCGCCGACAAAGCGAAGGTCTTGCTCGTGCGGGATGAGGTCAGGATCCGAGGGGTTCATGTCAGACTCTGGGGGGTTCAGCGCCTCCTCGTGCAGGGAAGAGTATAGATCCGGGGGGTCAGAGAGATCGGCAAAGTGGGATGAGCAGCCTCCGTGGCGGTCTGCGTTGCTTTGGAGTAGACGGAAGAGTCCCTGCGAGGGGAGAGGTCGCGGCACTTCGAGGTGGTACTGCGGCTGCTCTTGATGCGAGAAGTACTGGGGGTTGCTCTGGTGTTGAGGGGCCGTTTGTGAGTAGAGAACGTTTTGCGGGCTGAGTCCAAAGTTGTTGTACGCGCTGGGAGGGTAGGTCGGCATGGAGTGATGCGGGTTCATCCGAGGTCCGTAGGGAGCATAGCGATCCGACACTTGTGACATGGGACGTGTGTTGGTGGGTGTCGATGTCGGTGCATGGCCGGTAGACCACCTCTTGAAGCGACTGCTGCTGTCGAGTGAGTACGGTGATGAGCGGACATTGTTGTGCGGTGTTGGGGATGCGCGGGAACGACTTCCACCTCGAACAACGCCGTCGTACTGGGAGCGACGCGGCGAGGCAAGGGGAGATAGAAGGTGACTTGCGGTGGGCTCAGTGTGGCTCCAGGAATCATACTCTGATGCATACGGAACTGGTTCTTGAGAACCCATCTCCTCGTAGGGTGCAGACTCTGGGAGCACGCCTCCGGTGCTGGACATAGAAAAGGAAGATTCAGACAGTCGGCGAGTGGCATGGGGATTGTAGTTTTGCATGTTGTCCGGTTCCTGTTGAGTCATGCCGTGGTACTGGCGTAGGTCTATAATAGGAGTGTTCTCGTCGTGGGCCATCATGCCGTGGCTAAAGTCTGTCACATCCGAGTCCAGAGAAGGAAACTGCTCGAGCTCTTCACATACTTTCTGGCCCCAAGGACCTGTACTGGTTAGCATTGAACATGTGCTGCTCGATGAGGGGCTTACTCGTGTCGATGACGCCAGGGAAGTAGTTTGTCGTTGCGAGCGACTGAGGGGTAGACATGCTATTGCTGTAGGCGGCGCTGCTTGATACCGACGGTTGAGATGTGTTGACATCTGTTCTCGCCATTAGGTGCCCCACGTTCTCCCTGTTGCCTCCAGCACCCTGCGCATAGTACGGAGCGTGGGTCTGTGGCACCGCCCACGTGGGCTGCGGCGGTGACTGTCTCGACATGTGCTGGAGGTTCTGCTGCTGTTGCTGCGGGAGATTGCCGTATGAATACATCATTTGGGTCCCCGGTGTGGGAGAGGAGTGTCCCATAGCATACTGTCTATTAGGCGATGACCGGTACCTATAAAGCCGGTCAGTCGGCTGGACACAATCGGCGGCCGGGGTCACTGGAGCTTACTGTTGAACCGCATTGAATTCCATCTTTAGTTTCGTCCTCTATATACAACGACCTTGGCGGTCTGGAGATAGTCTGCAATGTGAGGGTAAGCAACGGACGACGCAAGGCAGGTTTGGTAATCACGGCATACTCACATCGGTAGCGAAAGTGAAGAGGTGCAGTCAAAGGAACGTATCCAGACGATAGCGTTGTGCGACTATGAAATGTGTGACGTTAGAAGAGAGGTATCTCAAAAGAGTGTACGAGAACAAAAGTTCCCAATGCAGCCAGCGCGGATGGAGCCCGCTCCAAAAGAAAGTAAAGAGTACAAAGGTAGTTGGGCAGGAATCTAAAGAGTGACAGCCAAATAGAAGGGAAAGCGGATGGAGGGGTTGATAGGCTATATGATGCACACACGGGTTTGCAGCATCCGAGAGGGAATACGAGAGGTAATGATCTCTGTGATTGACACAACGGAACCGCTTGGGCTCAGTTTGAGAGAAGTGTCGCGACGCGCCTTGGCTGCAGGTGATCTGGAACGAACATAGCTGAAGCGTTCACCGAAAAGAGCGTCTGGCGGGGGTGGTGTAGTGGGTGGTGGACCGGGCGCAAGGCTGCTGGGATGACCAAAGGCGATTAGACGCACCTTGAACGGTCGCACCAGTCGTTGTCTCCAGTATCTAGTCGGCTCATTCGGAGAGGCTTGTTGCGCGGCGCACGGCGTGCCCCATGTTGCTGAGGCGGAGGTGTCGACATGGATGAAGCAGTGCGAGCAGCGATCACGACCACGGCCAGCAGGGAGCCTCTTGGTCGACGAGCTCAGTTGAGAGGGCTATCCATTGCTCCCTGCGACCGCAACTCGAGTTTCAGCGCTCAATCGGGCTGGCGTAGGACGATTGGGGGAATCGACCGACGAGACAGGTTGGCGGTCAAATACGCAACTTGGAGAAGTGTCAGGTCGCCAGCCGGGATGCAACACCCGTTCCATCGTATCAGCGAGGTTTGCTGCTCGTTGTCGAGGCAGCCTAATTTCACGGAGCCACTGATTGGCGTCGTGGTTTGTGTCGTCGCCTGTGGCGCGTGTTTGGTGAGGACCCGGGAGGTGCTGACTCAGCCGCCGTACCAGCCGGCCCCACGACTCTTTACCGCGTCGCGACATGGCCGAAACACTCCTGACACACGGCCAGGGGGGGCTGCGACCCACTCTGCGCGCAACATGCACCGCACCATTACCAGCTTTTCTCACCTTTTGCAAGAGTGATTCGCCCGCCATGACGCCCCGGCGCCTTGTGCAGCGGAGGAGTGCCCGGAATCCATTTGCTGCCCCGGTCGGACCCTGTTGCTGCCGAATAGTGGCATCGTCAACCACGACGGTATAAACCGTATCTTGTGGATTTTCCCCAGGAGCATCACATCTCATCTGCTCAATCCCAGCTCCTGCATCGCCATAATCAGGCCATGACAAGCTGCTCTACCGCATGTCGAGTCAGCTTGACAAGTGACAGCGCCGGTTCCTTCACTTGCATGTGCTAGTAGTGAGTGACAAGCAGCTTCGTCCAGCTCTCAGCCATGGCGACATCTGGGCAGTCTCCACTCTGCCTATGACGCCACGGAGTAATTCGCAATGCCTTCCCGCTGGCCTATCAGCTCTTAAACCGCTACCTCGACTGCCTCAGTCTTGTACCACCATGAAAACATCTAGACATTTGTCAATAAACTGCGTGCACGGGTACCTGAGTATACATGGCGCCTGTCACCTGCCCACAACCAAAGCATGAACTTCCATAGCCGTTCAAGTCTCCGACACCGCCTGGTAACAGCTAGTTCCAACTACGCTGCAAGGTATGACCTGCGTGGCCAATTCAGTGCTCAGCTTCGGCGAGGCCGATCCATCTTCTCCTTTGTCGATTCCACTTCTCCCTTGCTGATTGCTTCAATAAACTAGACTTGACCTCCACGTGTTTGGTAGTACAAGACCGTTTACATTCTAGACTGCTGCAGGACATGCCGACTTGGGCAAAGCCACCACCCTCCATCTCCAAAATTGGCACCGTTTGATATGTCATGCCAAAGGGGGAAGCTGTATTCACTTTACATCATACCTTCACGTTGTTGGTCGTGGTCAGCCCTGCTCAATCATGACAGGGACTTGACCATATCATCAAGCCTACATCGCTCTAATATGATGCAAACATTGCACTGTGTTCCCGATTAGCAAACACAGCCTCAACCAATATAGGTACTCTACAACGGGCGTATCCACAGGCCATCTATCGAAAACCTCTGACCTTCCTATATCAAATGCCATGAGTGCGCATTCCGTATAGTCGTACCCCACCTTGGTGTGACCTAAGACCAGCATCTTCTTAGCTGGCGCAATGACGTACAAGGTTGGATTCGGCGACGCCGTTTTCCAGCTCAACACCCAAAAGGGGCACCTCATCTCCCAAAATGCATATCATCTCGGTCCTCTCAGCCCTACGATAAGATCTGGAGGGGCCATCGTAGGATCGGCGCATCGTCGTCGTTGAGCAGCGGGGGTCATGCATGTTTCCACGACCACGGTTCTGACAGGCCACCGCTGGCGGAGCGAGACGCGCGGACATGGTGCACTAGACACCGTAAACTTTGGAGCGACCAGGACCACGGATCGCGCCCTAAAAAGACGTGCGGCAGTGGTCGAGACAGGAATATTCCACTGGTTTGCAACAGCGTTTGGTATCGCGCTTCACCAGAGGAATGGCGTCCAAGGGGCGATGGGCAAGGACAACTATCTTACAGTATCACCAGCTGACTAGAACTTGACATGTGGTACGCGATATGCATTAAATTCGCAACTATGACGGCCATGTGAACGGGCGAGTCCGATGCGAGGGCTAAACGGACAACGACGAAACTTCCAAACCCAAGGTATCCATACCAGACGCCCAAACACCGTCCAAATATTGCAGCCTGATACTCAAGGCCCATCTTTTTCAACACCTGCGACAGTGTCAACTATTCGCCGCCGCTCATTTCAGCTTCCCAATTTTGATCTCGCAGCCTCCACTAACAGTGTCAAAGGTCAGACTACTGGCCCCGTTCCCCTTCTTTGCTTCGACATGGTTCTTGCCTGGCGTGTCATTCTCCTTGAGCAACTCCAGGTCTTTGCCTTGGAGGTGCAATTCCCCGTTCATTGATGTGCCGTCGATCATTCCAGTCCACTCTTGCGGGTAGGTGACGACGATCTCACCCGATGTGCTCTTATGGGTGCTCGTGAGTCCGCTGATCGGCACCCGCCTCGCTTTGTATGGCGTGCGGAGGGTCAGTGCTGTCTTTCCAGAACGCGTATGTGTGTAAATCTCCGACTTGTAGTCTTTGGACTTGAAGGGAAGGATGTCTGCTGTGACGAGACCGGCGATGGAGTTGATCTCCGTCTTTGAGCCGTGGATGAAGGTTCCGTCGACAGAGCCGACAGTCGTGTTGATGTAGGTCTGGTAGTCGCGCTCGGGGATGTGCTTGCGCTTGAAGTCTGTTCGGATACTACCCGAGAGTGAGTCGACCATAAAGACGGCAGGGTTAGTTGATCCTGGCTCAGCTTCTTGGGGCTCGATGTCGATGTTGACGGATCCACTCTTTGTCGTGACGGAGAGGAGATCCATGAGGGCGTACTTTCCGCTAATCGAGCCGGAGATGGTCTGCAGATGCGTCTGTCTCGAGGAGAATTTGATGGCGTCGAGGGTGCCGGTGGTGAGGGAGATGGACGTGGTATCTGTGACGTTAAAGTTGGCGCCGCTGTGTACCTGCATTCCCATGTGAAGCGAAGACACCTTCAAGTTTTCCAAAGAAGCCCCTGGTGCCATGAAGACGACGAGGGACATGCCGAGACAGGCAGTGCCTGGTCGCACACCATCAAAACCGTCTGGGAACGTCGGGTCGCCAATAACCAGTCCTGATGGTGTCTGAGAGTACTTGACGCTGTTGACGTCTATGGTTGTGGAAACTGCATATGAGAGTTTCACCTGGATTGTGCCTGGTGCTTGCTCATCTGGTGCTCGTGCAACGTGAATCCATCCCGCTACACGCTTGTATGGGCCATCGAGCTGGTGGATGGCTTCCTCAATGTTGAGCTCCTTGGAGTTGGTGAAGTCGTACATTTCCGTCTTGACATTGTATTGCTTTCCACACTTGGCTGGCCACCGAATAGGGAAGACTTGTTTCGGTGCTGTCGATGAAGCAGACGGCGATGGCCACGGGATGGCGATGAGGTCTGGCTTGTCGGAGTCGTCATCGATGAATCCCTGTGGGTATGATGCCTCGTCCTGTGCCGATTGAGCTGACTGTGGTACGCTAGCCACCTTGCTCTGATGTATGTTAGAGGGGTTTTCAAGTCTGGAACTGGCTACGCACGTGCTTGTCACTTCGCACAGCCACTGCTGCCAACATTAGAGCCAACATGGCAGACAGCATCATTATGCCCAGCAGCAGGCCCAGCGACTTGATCCAATTTCTCTTCATACAGCACTGAGATCTGAAAGTCTTTCTGGCGTACTGCTCTTCCTTGTAGGTTGCATCCCTCGCCTCCCTCCCGTCAAAGGACAGCAGTCTGGCGCCCTCTTCTCCACTCATTCGGCTGGTGTAAAGACCGGGTGTAGTAGCCTCGAGATAGGTAGGGGGCGGCGCATCTGATGCCTGTCCCACAAAGGCGTCCATTTCCGGCTCTTCTCCATCATTGTACGGCGATGGGGAAATGATGACTTGGGGCCTGGAAGACCGGCTGTTCGCAGTGGCGGTATCGATAAACATGGTTTCGTCTGGAGATGGTTGTTGAGGTTTAAAATAAGAGACAGGAATGTAATAGTGAGGATTGTAAAGGCGCACGCGCAATGACGAACCAGCGTGACCAGAATGTACAAGGAGAGAGAGGTTAAGAAAGAGGCCAGGCAGCCATTTCTAAGTAATTGTCAAGTCTAGGCACCTAAGCTCGATCTGCATCTCAACGCCCGGGTCGAGAATCGTGTCTGCTACAGTTTGTTTCGGTGTTGGAAACGCTCCTTGTTTGACCTTGGGCTTGGCAACGTCTTGACGAGAAGCGAACGATGCCAACGTCAAGCATCCCTCGTGAATCTAGTCATCTTGGAGAAGCAGTTGCAAGACGCGCGATGCACGTTTTCTGGAGTCGAACAGTCAAATGTTGGGTCAACAAAAAGCATGGTCATGTGAGGTGTGACGTGAGAGCACGAGCAAGTGTCGTCCGAGTGTTCAACGCCAATGTCAGACGATTCATCGGGTGGGCGCTAGTCCAGGGGGGTTGTGACGCCGTCGATCAGGCACAACCTCCAAACATTCAACACTACACTTTTGCCGACCACCCGCCTGCTGACAGACTGCACGAGCCTCGGCTTCGCAGCCGTACCACAATGGATGTGACCTGCTCGGTCCACATGCAACCACAGAACAAATCGGACATGGATACCTTTTTAAGACTTTCCCCTGTATGTCGAGCACTTCAGTCTCTACTCGCCAATTCGGAGTCTGCCTGCCCATAAGCTTCAACTTTTCCGCACACACATCCTCTAGACACGTTATAGACACATTACTTGTGTCCTTTGTTTCGAGTCAGCTCACGTCCTTGTTTTGGCCTTGTAGTTCCCATGATACGTCCGTTCGCTATCGTAGGGCTTGGCGCTAGAGTCAAGCACCGAATATCGCTACAAACGACATCCTGTTCGTTCTCAGGAAAGCACCACCTACGTGAGATAGACTACTTGACAGCGACAGTATCGGTAAACTCCGCCATCTAACCCCTAATAAGCATATCCGGCGCCTACAGCTGTTTTTGTATATTAGGATGTCAGTTATTTCATGTAAACCATGTGCAGCCTCACATCTCGCATCCACCGGTAAGGGCTGGACGAAGACCCGCGTAGTCTTTTCTCTGGCCCTTCGGTCCGCTTCAGTGCAATCATGCGACAGCCCTACCCGCAAGTATGATCTAAGCCTGCTGATATATGAACGACATGCATGGACGGTGAGCAAGAAACCGAACAAATAGTGTGGAGGTCGGAAGACAGGGTCTAAAAGATTCATAATTATTAAAAGATTTGACGAAAAGAGTGACTGGAGAAAGAAACGAGATACTGCGTATTACTGCGCTAGACTAGGTGCCTTGGGAACAAGGAACAATCCGCTTGTGCTATCCTCTACCCGCTCCTATGCGATACTGCCACTGCTCATGCGAAGTCGTAAACTCATGGAACAAAGAAGTAAACTCTCCAGAAAGTGGTATCCCCGCTCGCTTCCAAATGCAAACATGAATATCTACCTCAATGGTACAACCCTCCGCAGACTCAGACTCGGCAGAAAACAGAAGGGGACGCAGATATGGGTGCTTGAGCAAACACGGGGATGTCGACAGGTGCAATAGCTCCACGGATTGACGGACTCCAAGCAAGAGATGGCAGGACTAAGCAACTTCCACACTCATTGACGTTGTAGATGCAGCAGTTTTGATAGTTCCGGTCTTGATGGACTCCTCCAGCAACGCATTGGCATCCGCAATGACCTTGTAAAGTTCACTCTCAAGCTTCTCCGGAGTATCGGGAAGAGCGCCACCGCCCGGCTAGAACGTCTCCTCCTCAGCGCCCTCAGTCTCCGGTGGGATCTCAAAGCCTTCTTCGGTGGAGTAGAGAATGTTTTGGATTTGCTTGAGCAGACCCTCGTCCTTTTCGAGCTCGGGATCGGCCTCCATGGCTTGCTGAATCAGCAGCTCAATGTCACGGAGCTTGCTAAAGTAAAAGTCCCTCTCGCGCTCGAGACCGGTGACCGTCTCCTTTAGTTGTGTGTTCTCTTCGCGGAGAGCGGCGCTGGCAGCACCTCCTCCAGTGGCGAGCGGGGTACGGGTTCTGGGCGCGGCCGTGTTGCTCGCAGCCGGGGCTCTTCGAGCGGCAGTCGTGGATGCGCGAGGTGCAGGTGCGGCTCCTGTGGCTGCACCTCCTTGACCCTTGCGGCGAGCGACGGGGTCGTAGTCATGGCCGGGAAAGTGCTGATCCCAGTACTGCTTCACAAACTGGAGGAATTCAAGGTTGTCCTGCATCTTGCACTTGACCAGTGACTCGACGCGGATAGGCTTGTCGATCTGGTGCTTGGCGAATGTGTCTGATAGTGTTAGATGTAGTTGACGGACGTATGAGGTCTGCGTACTCTGTAATACTTTAAAGTTCTGCAAGTACGCATACTCGGTGTTGGCGTTGAACTTTACTCGCGACATGGGGACATCGTCTGCACACTGTTAGACTTAATGATGCTCTAAGAAAAGAGACATGGGGGCCTTACAGAATATGCTGTCGAAGACCTGGCATAGTGCTGCCCTATTCAACCATCAGCATGTCTTGTGCCTCGAGGCGGCTACCCCTCCCTTTCAGGACGCGATGGATGCCGCGCGTGTGACGTACCCGGTGCCGCATTGTTCGACTTTGGTAATGTTGAGCTGGAGCAGGTTGTTCAGCCAGGCCACGAGCTCTTGTCTGCGCGGGACTTGTGGTCAGTACGTGTCGACCAGACGATGTGTTGCCTAGGGGCATCCGCCGCGGCCTGAGCCCCCTTGGACCAGCGTACCTTGATTCTCCCATGGTGATATCTATGTACTGACGCCTAGCAAGTTGTTTCCGGGTGATCAGCGATGAACTAAGAGCATACGACGTAAGGGGTGCGAGAATTGGTAGTAGAAAGCAGTGGACGTCGAGATTGCTGTTATTTGTTGATGCGCCTTCACTAGTCGACGGGTTGACAATTTGGGCGCCGCTGCCCCACCAAGATTTTAGCTTCCATCAGTGCGCCAAAGTCACGTGCAGGGCATCTTCCTGGGGCAGTCACCATCGACATGTCTCCACGACGGCAAGGAAATGTATGCAACTCTCCAAAGTTCAAGACTGTACGATGGGCTTGGGAAGCTTATACCCAAGTGCTTTTACTGTCCGTTCGTATCGTCAACTTCCAGCGTGCACGCTCCGTACGCAGATCATCCCTTACTCCTACATACTTACCCTTTTTTGCAACTAAATCCTCTCCATCATCTTCCCACGTCTGACCTTCCTTGACTTTATAAGGGCCTTTACAACTGCCGAGTACCAGATATCCGCCATCTTGATGTTGCCTGCATCATTCGGACGTACACCGTCTATCGTGTCAGAGCTTCGGCTGAACCCCGTATACAGGTGCTGATCGACGAACTAGACGAGCTTCCCAAACTTGTTGACATCTTGACTACACAGTAAGATGGCGCGGTTCAGTTGCTTGATTTTGGTGCTGTAGTTCCTCATAGGAAATAGAGATCATCTGCGCGACCTGTTGGTTGTTGTGATAGATGTGTAGATCCCACCGGGATCTGTTTGGATTCACAATCTTCATCCTTGAACATGATGTTTGCATCGTGTCGAAGAGTCTTGTAGACGTAGCATTGTGTCTGTGAAGCTTTGTAAATATCATTAGTTCCAAATGCTTGATGACCACATGTACTGGACTCGTCTGCAGCATTCGCAGCTGGTTTTTACTTGCCATGTCGATTACCAGAGTGCTCCTCGATTTCACCATCGTATGCAGTACCACCGTGGTCATGATCAGACTCACTTTTCTCCACAAATTTCATCCGCTGAAGCTTTCCCGAGAGCTTGGCGCGTCAGCAAAGTGTGTCAGTGATGTTGTTGTCCATGGATATGTAACAGACGTTCGAGTTGAATACTGCGATGCGACAGGAACGGCGAAGGAAGTGACGGACAGGTACCGAAACAAACCGTGCACAACAATACGCATACGAAAGGTCAAATCCGATTACTTTGCCGTGAACATATGCCTTCTCGAGTGTTTCACAGCCACACCTTGCCAAGGCAGATTTATCCTAGCCCCGTATCGCGTCACCTTGTTCTAAATATGAGCAACACACTCAAGATACCCAAGTCACACATAACTATCATTTAGCGTTGTACGCAGTCGAGTAACTAAGCCGGGCTATGTATAACTCGATGCATAAGGGCTAAATACCGGATCGTCGCTATAACACTATAGACGCTATGCTTTCTCCATGCGAACAGATATGAAAACGCGGGGTAAAATACAAAGTCTGCAACTGGTGGATATATGTACCCGATCCTCTCAAGATCGCTCGGAAGGTCCGAGGCCCATGGCAGCACAACGGCTCTTGGCCTCGGGAAGGTTACCAAGATGGTTACCAATCATATGCTAGTTTTTGTCGACTCGTGTTTGACAGATAGATCGGTCATCATTTGGTCGCGGATAGGCGCTAGTCAAACGAAGAACTCGTAAGGAAGATCCGGCATGACACGCATAGACACCCTGGCAGCAAGGAACAGGCCACTTCCGGTGGAAAGCGAAGAGTTGTGATTTGTTCCTGAGTCAGTTACAGACCATGGCAATTGGCTGTGCATATGCTTTGTTGGTACGGTGGACCGTATACGAACACCGTACCGAAAAAACGAATGATACAGGCGAGGCTGTCGGGCTTCGATCCAGCAATTCTGGGTCAGCAGAGGATGACAGAAAACTAGTTTCAATCTTACTGAACACTGCACCAATCTTACCGAACACAAAGAGGAGGAAATGTGATGACAGCCTAGTCACACAGATGTAGTTCAATTTAGCTCAAGTCAGATGACCTGACTCTGCGTGGGCGCATAGACTAGCCAGTCGAATTGTTGGTAATTTCAGCCGGTGATTTAGGGAATTATGACCCAAGGCAAACCCGATCGGCTGATGATGCGAACTGTACAGTAAATTACAACGGGCCTTTGTCGGCCGTTGAGCCTTTAGCCTAGCGATGTATCCGGAAGGCGTATGCGCAAACAGATTTCGTCGCTCGAGAAAACCGGTGCATGGAGATGAGATGCACAGGCTCGGATTACTTGCGCAGTAATTGAGGCGCTGTTACTCTCGTGCCACATGGGCGCTCAAGGGGGCTTCGGAAGCGGTGGAAGAGCGCAATGTCAGCACGTAACCGTAAGCGTGGAGAACCTGTTGGCACACGCAGGCCGGGTGTCTGCGATCAAGTTGGTTTCTGGGATATCGCGGACTAAAAGAGGAACGGATGATGATTCAGATGCGGATACCTGTCCCAGTGACGTGGTCGTCGAGGCCGCAGCCACCTGCGAGGCGCATAGCAACCACAGGAAACTAGCAGAAAACAAAGACATCACCGCCAATTCGGATACCCAAGGAAGCAGGTAATACCGGATAACCCCCCGAAAGTGACTTCAGCCAGAAGACAGCACAGGCCGAGGCCATCCTTGCCAGACGTGGTCGGGTTATGGCGCAAGGATCGAAATCGTATATGCATAACCGTCACTTTGTCTGATAACTGCGCTCAGGTTTATTGGGCTGGCCGTGGTTGCACCCGACGAAACTGGTGTTGAAAGAATGAAGATGTGTTGTGTTAGGGTGCGGGGGCGCGTCCACCTACCCCATGAAACATGCCCGCACTGGGCTGATGGATCCACGACACTATCCGTCGAGCAAACCGCCCTGTTAGGCCCTGTAAATGATCATCACAACAACCTCATGGCATCGCCCAAGAACCCCGTCCCCTGTCCCGTGGCTTTTGTCTCGAACTTTCCGTTGTCATCGGCATTTGCGGCTTTGTGATTGGCTGATGTCTTCCCGTCGAGCTTAGCCACCACCTACAACGCGTCTAGACCAAGCTGCTTCACTGCTGCAACTCGGGCTTCTAGCGAGCATCAAGACAAGCCTGTCCATGTCTAGTCTTGGAAACAACAGTGGTCAAGACCAGCCCGCGATCATGACGCGTACCTACCGTCCCTTCCGTCGCCGACAACTCTGAGGTTTGCACAGCCATCATCCACGGGTCTCCGCAGAGCAGCCGCATTCGGCGGAATTCCTCCAACCACGCAGCCGCAGTACAATAGAGAACCTCTCTATTGCATGTGCCTCCACTCTACCCCTACGTAAGCTAAGGAAAGCTAAGGAACAGCACCTGTCAGCATGTCTCCAGTGGCCTGGTTCCGGCTTGGAAGTGATTAACCAAGTCTTCCCATACATACATAAACTCTTTGTCCACGCCTACCAGGCATCAACAACCCACAAAGGATTTTGCTTCACATTCCTATCTTCGAGCACTCCTTGTATCTCATATTTCTTGGCAGTGTTTACCACCGTCTGGCAAGGGATTCCTTCAGTGCAAAGAGGCTTGACAACAGCCAGCCACCGCCACTAACCCACTAGACACACTCGAAAGAACGACAATGAAGAACTTCAAGACTTCAGCCCTCAGCCTGTTGGCATTGGGTAAGCCCCTTGGTCAAAAATGCAGCAATACGGCCAGACTAACCCGATTCAGGTTACCAAGCATCAGCCCAACTCGCCAGCCTATGTCCTACCAATGGGGTCTGCTTCAGACTCAACATTCCCCAAAACACAGCATCCTCTGGCACTGGAGACATCTTTTTCCAGATCACAGCACCGTCCTCCTATGAATGGGTTGGATTGGGCCAGGGTCAAGGCATGGCCCAATCCAACATGTTCCTTGTCTACACTGGAGCAAATGGAAACAACGTGACCTTGTCGCCACGAACAGCCTCTGGCCATGTTCCGCCGCAACTGAACAGTGACACCAAGGTGGAACTGCTCGATGGCTCGGGTGTCTCCAATGGTGTTATGACCGCCAACGTCAAGTGTAAGTGGTCGTTCCTCAGCCAAAAGAAATACTCGCTAACCCTCATAGGCTCGAATTGCAACAGCTGGAACGGCGGCACCATGGACTTTACAGCCGGCAACGGCAACTGGTTCTACGCTTACCACAACGCCGAGGGCCCAAAGAATAGTGACGATGCCAGCGCTCGGATTGGGTTCCATTCAACGCACGCAACCTTCACCTGGGATTTTGCCAATGCCAAGGGAGGTTCCAGTGTGAACCCTCTTGTCAACGCGGCGGCGACTACTCCTGCTAGTGGCAACTCTGGCGTATCAGGAATCAGCACAACCGACCGGGGCAGCCGAAGGAAGAAGCTCATCGCCCACGGTGTCCTCGCTTCTCTCGCCTTTGTCATCTTCTTCCCCTCTGGCGCGATTGCTATCCGCCTGGCTTCTTTCCCTGGTGTACTATGGCTCCACGCTGGCTTCCAAGTCTTTGCCTACGTAGTCTACGTTGCTGGTTTCGCTCTCGGAATAACCATTGCCTGCGAAGGAGGCCTTCTTAAGCACCACCACGCTGTCATTGGTATCATCCTCTTCGTTGCCATCTTCTTTATGCCAGCGCTTGGTTGGATTCACCACATCATGTTCAAGAAGGTTGGCTCGCGCACAATCTGGTCGCACGCTCACATCTGGCTTGGCCGTGCCACCATCTCCCTTGGTATCATCAACGGTGGGCTTGGGCTCAGGCTCGCCAACGGCAGGGGTAACAGCTCCGAGGCCGGCAGGATTGTATACGGTGTCGTTGCTGGTTTGATGGGTGTTGCATGGATTGGCGCCATGGTCCTTGGTGAGATGAGGCGCAAGAAGGGTGCTGCCGTGACCGACGCACGCTCAAAGTCCATGGAGGAGAGGAGGGAGAGCGACCGCAGTGATGAGCACATTAATAATCACTAGAGGGGTAAGGAAGGGGGTGGAGGATAACAAAAGGAGGATACACGATGGGCATAATAAATGCTGAGTTGGGGAAATGGAAACGAACAAGCATGTACTTACATGATACTGGTCGACTCTGCATTCCCCTTTTCTTTTGTCAGACTGATACCATTTGCTTTCTCGCGAATACCATGATGCGATTCAATCTTTAATCAACAAGTTGCAATCTTTTAATGCTTGGTCTTTATCTCTTCACTAGTCCACAAAGTATCTTGCTTGCTGCAGTGCTAACCTTGAGGACGTCTCTATATGTTAGACTAACCCTCGTTCCCCTCATGTTCCTCCCACCCTCTTGTAGCAAAACCTCGCGATCCCCCAGTAAACCCCAATTCGCCACACTCTCCTCGCCCAGCTCTTCATCAACCTCAACAGACGAGATCCCATGCATCAGCTCTCGATACGCTCTTCCGGTCGTTATCAGCAGCGACCTAGGTTCCTGGAATATTCTCGTGGGCAAAGAATATTCTCCCTCATCTCCATCCCTCGGAGGCAAAACATCCAAACACAAGGCCGCTCCCAGACTCACCGTCGCAACCACATCCGCATACGCATCGCCGTCCTCATGCGGCATGATGCCCTCACCAGCCTTGTACTCATTGACCAGCACGTGATTAGGTTGCTGATGCGGCGTGTGCGCAAAGATGCCATAGTCCTCAAATCGCTTGACAATGGGATTTGTGAGGTAATTTGGTAGCGGGGCGGCGAGGAGCGTATTTGATTTTGTGAGTGTCGAAGGTATGGCTTGCAGACGGCGGTGGGTGAGGTGCGTCCAGCGGTTTGCGGGTATCTTTTTTAGTTTTAGTAGTGAGCATGATGGGGTAAAAAGGTGATAGAGGGTCTGCTGAGTGGGAAATCAGTGGGGCTTACCTTTTGAAGAATGGAGATTTCTTCTTCGACGCTGATAAAGTTGGGGATGTAATAGAAATCAGGTGGTAATCCAGCGATGTGGAACGCTTCTAGGCCTTTCTTCTCAGCACTCATATCTGAATTTATCATGTTTAGAAAGCTGTAAAAGATGTTTGGTGTGGAGGTTTTAATGGAATTGGTACTCTGGTGTTGAGTTGTGAGTGGAGAGAGCCGTAAAGAAGAGTTGGGACACGTGATCAATTTGAAGCGAGCCGCGCTCACGTGGTCCAACAAACCATCTCGCGTGTTCCACCTTTGTCCACTTTAGATTTCAATCATTGAGTTGTGACTGTATTGATGATGCATATCCAATGAATTGTGTAGTTGCAAAATGTTAAAAAGTTTGGCAAAAGTAGCCACCTCGAACCCGTCTATACCAATCCCTTCTCCAACTCAATGCGCGACGCGGATGGAATGTCTCGGACACGACCAATGTCATATACAGCAAAGTAGTCCACAAGCCTGGGACCACTCAAAAACAACAAACAACGCTGAAAAACCATGGAAAATCACTACATCTCACATGACAGTGCAACCGCCAGGGCCACTCCGAGCACGTCGTCGACGACCGGTACCCGGCGCCACACCACCCTCTTCTTCATCAGCATGCATAAGCTGTGCCTCTCGTGCTCTTCTTCTCCTTCTCCTCGCACCCGCTCCACCAACGCCCGCCTCTTCGTTGAGCATCATCCAATCAGCCCACTTACGTTCCAAACGAGCAGCAGCAGCAAAATCTCCTTTCAGAACCCGCTTGGTATGTTCTTCAACAGTCGGCTGCCAGTTGTGGAAGCACTTGAGCTTGATGATTTCGCGTGGATACGTAGGGGTCTTGGATGCTGATTTGGATGATGGACGGGTAATCTCTGCGTTTCGGGAGAGGACCTCGCGGACGCCGGTCCAGGTAACATTGGCGCAATCATAGGCTTCGATGCGGAGACCGATTTCAGGGCGCTCAGAAAGGGTCAATCCGCGAGCAGCTCGGTTGCGATTGCGTAGTCCAGATGCAGCCTCGGCGAGAACGAGATCGGAGACGCGCGTGTTGTCCATCTCCAGAGAGGCAAGGCGTGAGCATGCCTTGAGGACAGGTAGCATACCTGCGTCGCCGAGATGCTCACAATAGGATATGCAGAGGTGTTTCAGGTGAGGTACGCAAGGCGATTCAGCCAGTATCTTCAAGACCTCATTCGACAAACTCTCAATCTCCTCGACATCCAGGTGGGTGAGAACGGGTAGAGTGGGAAGTAGGCTTATCAGAGAATTGTCGGTGAGGCCCCCGCACTTTGAAACGTGGAGGCCTTCTAGGAACGGAACGTTGTCTACCAGAGTCTTGAGTCCGGCGTCGGTTATGCTGCGGCAACGTGTGAGGTTCAGGTGCTTGAGCTTCCTAGGTGGGACGATCGGGCGGTCAGTGAGGATATCAATCTCTTCATCAACACCTTCAATGAGAGCCGCCAGTGCTTCGTCATTTAGGCTGTCACAGTTCTTCAAATCAAGTCTTTCCAAGGTGTTCCGCTTGAAGAGTGCAGTCATGAGCTCGACGTCGTCCCAGCCTCGTACTTCGCCAGCTCTAATGTCGCGAAGCTTCGGGCAGCCTTCAACAACCTTGGAAAGTCCGCGGTTATCGATGTTGTTGCACCATGAAATGTTCAAAACCTCAACCCTTGGACAATGTGCACCGAGAATCTTCATCGCTGCATTGGTTGCGCCTGCAAGGCCAGACAGATTGACGTGAACCAGCCGGGTATTCTGTAGCAGGAAGCAGTGGATGGACGTCCGATCGATTCGACAGCCCTGGAGCGAAAAGTTTTCCAGATTCTGGCAAGACTCAATGAAACCATTCTTGCCCCAGTGCTCTCTCAATTGTACGCAGCCTCTAAGGTTCAAGTCTTTGACGAACGGGCCTGCCGATATGATGATTTTGACCAGAGCGTCCGCCGAGATGTCGCGGTAGAACTTGTTGGTATCAAGATCGCTCCATAGCTGGCCATCGAAGCACATGGCGTGCCACGACTTGGAAACGCGCGAGCAGCGAACAACCTGCTTTGGCTCGAGATATCGTAGGATTTGCATACGTATCTCGGTCGGCATGTCCTCCCAGAAGTTGAAGTTGGCGCGCTTCTGGCCCTTTTGGACGGGTCGGGAGAAGTAGTCGCTCTCAGCCTCGATGCCGTCTCTAGTAAAAGGCCGCCGCGCGGACGGAAGAGGAACAGAGGATGAGTATTCGGGTGTCTTCATCCGTAAGCGAGTCCTTTCGTCCCAAAACGGAGTGCCTGGGGGGCTATTGGCGACAGACGTAGGGGCCGTGGAGAAGCCATTGGACAACTCGGACGAGTATGAACTACCGAATGAGTGACCATATGGCGACCCAGGCGATGCCAGCGAGACGCAGGACATGGAAGCCTTTCCACCGCTCCTCAGGCTGTGTGCACGAGGTCTGCCCAGTCCCGCGAGGCTCTGCGATGAGCTCATCCGTTGAAGCCCCATCAACAGACGCTGCCTGCCCTTCATCTTGGGCTGCTCAATCATGATTGCTTCAGATGGAGGAGTTCCCGGCGTGGGCTGCATCTCGCTGTGGTCAACAACGACGGAATCGATGGAGAGTGGCTCCATAGTGGAGTTGAAGGATCGGACGCTCGGGGATTAACCGTTTGACGCGGGGAAACAAGGGTCCAAGCAAATGGATGGACGAGCAAAACAGTCACAAGCAAAGGGAAAAGTGACAGAAGGATGAAGCAGTCCCCGAGGACAAAAAGAGTGAATGCGAGCGAACTGGGGCGACCCAGTGGTTGGGTGCGCGGTTTTGATCGCTGCTGGCTGCGCGGAAGGCGGATGCTGGAAGGGGATCTAGAAGGCGGGGATGATGGCCCGTGTTATGCGGCAAAGGCCCATGAATAGCCTTTCGGATCAGTTAGAATCTTCGGCGTCAGCGAACAAGTGCGGTGACCATGCCTAGGAGACTTTGGCTGCAAGGGACAACAAGGTTCATCGAGGTGACGCAGATATGCCAACGACAGCGACAACGACAACATCAGCAACAGCGACGTGCGGCTACTTTGATGTGCACGTCGTGATGTCTTATCGTCGCTATCAGCCCAATGGGGAAGGCCCGATTACGCGGACGCCACGTGCGGCATCTCGGCGGTCATCAGTGCACCTCTGCTGGGAAACATTGGTCGCTTGACTGGTGAGACACGACCGCGTGAGCAGCTTGCATACTGAGCGTCTCCCAGAGGCATAGCGCGCCATGTAAAGACGGTCGTTGCATTCTTTTTGCTACATGGTGAAGAGGGCGACAAGTCTTCAGCTCCGGCCGGTTATCCACCTTGCAGAAGGGTTAATGCAGGGTCTCGACAGCGGCATATCCTTCGCGTCTATACGGCCAACACGAGCCGTGCAGCATCAGCTCCGTCCAATCCAGCCTGCCGTTGCATGGTGCGAGGCTCCGCCACAGGAACAAACAATTCGCCCCAAGTGCGAGGCAAATATCCATGGGGCCGCGCCTCAAGGACCGCCGAGCCGCCTCCATCCACCTCTCCAGATGGCGGGGAAAGTTGGGCAGCATGCTTTCGTTGTTGTCAGCAAGATGATGTCGGGCACTGATACTGATATTCGAATAGTACTAGTAAGACACGACTATCTTGCCATGATACCGCAACTCTGATGAAATTTGGACCATATTCTGGCATGTGAGAGTGGAGTGCATAGTGTATCCATAGCATCTACACATTGTCTCACTGAGCACATCCTACGCCTTCAAGCTGTCTAAGAACTTGCCATGCGTACCCTTCCAACTTTCTTCACACTTGCCTTTGACATGTGCTACCAATAATTTGTTCGCTGTAATCTCCACGTCCTCGACCAGACACCACTCCCCCTCTCCTTCTACCTCTGATGCATCTTCCATACTGTCTACCTTGACACATCTCCAGCTGGTCCTCTGCACAAGCCCCAAAGGCGCCTTGACAACCCAATTAACACCATCCTCGGTATCCGTCAACTCCGCTTCGAAGGTGACTTTGGAGTTCCAGAGGCCGGCCGGCAGGGCTTTTAGGTTGTCGGTGACTTTGTAACGTTTGGCGTCCGGATTAGTAGGGTCAGTAGGAAGTTCCTCGTGCGATGTATATTCTGGATCGAATTTGATGAGGAGCTCGTGGTTGTGGAGCCGGAGGATGGCTTCGTCAAACGTTGTGGGGGGCGGGAGACGCGTTATGTGGCGCAGAGTTGCGGTGGATGCTTTGGGTTGTTAGAGAGAGCCTGTGAGATCAGCTTCGTGAGATGGCTTACAAAACATGGCTCCGAAGACCGAATTCTATACTTCTGTGTGGATTTGTCTCGTCTAACCCAGAAAGTGTGTGTTGATGGCTATTTAACTGTTCTTCCTGGCGCAGATACGGCTCGTATTAGTATCATGAAGCCGGGTGATCCTACAATAAGCACCGAAAGCTTGCAGCTCGCTAAGACAATCGACTCGGTGGAACACCATGTCGGAACGGATTGTTGATGCTGCTACAGTTTCATGCTTGGGAAGCCAACTGTCTCGACTGCGACAACCAGGGCGACTAGAAAGTATAGCCTCAATTGAGGACCATGTCTGTGCCCGGCTCATGATTATGGCGCGGAGACCCACGGAGCGAGAAGCGCGTCTTTGGTGCAGTTCAGATGCATTGAGCCTATGGCACGACGAGGAGTGCGGAGGGAGGGAGATGCCGTCCGCGGGGGAGGCCAGTGGCGCATGTTAACGCGTCCAGACCCACGTGCCAGCTTTCCCACCAAGATACCCCACAACACGACATTGTGCTTTTCCATGTCCTCGCCATAGACCTACTACATCCATACTCTTTGCAATGGACAAGTATATTACACAAAGGATGCCCACGGGGACCGTGATAGCGCAGACGGTGGGAATTACAACGAGCCTGTTTCTGCTGGGTATGTTCAAATCCCGTATACATCTGGTGCTGTTGTGGATGACTGTGTAGTTGACATGTTCTCTAGGAGGTAATGCAGTTCTCTCGCTTGTCGCTATCCCTGCTGCTATGCAGGCGCCCGCTGCCCTCGCCGTAAAGCAATGGCATACCATCTTCACCCGCGGCGGTGCAATCGGTCGACCTCTTGCCATCATCTCTGCCATTGCGACCGGATATTTGGCGTATAAGCGTATGTTACTATATGACACTCATGCGCTTATTAAATACTCACAAACCTCTAGAAGACCCCAAGTCTACGCCCTTCCGTCTCAACGTCGCCGCCACCATCCTACTCCCCAGCATCGTACCCTTTACCCTCCTCGTTCTCGGGCCCACAAACAACAAGCTCATCGCAAAGAAGGACGAGTTTGCTGCGGCACATGCAAAGGGCAAGGCTATCAAGGCAAACACTGCCGACGGAGAGACAGTGCATGAGTTGATGGACAAATGGGCTACGCTGAATGCGGCGAGAGCAGTCCTGGTGGCTGCCGGGGCTCTGTGCACTGTCATCGCCGCGGTAAACAAGAGGGAAGTTGCGAAATTGGGAAGCATGTCCATGGCGAGTAGACTGGGGTGGTAGAGAATCAGTCGAGTATGTAAGATGAAGATGAGAAGAAAGTCTAGAATTCATATATGAGTACAAGCAGCTATTTCATGAACCATGGATAAACTTATAACCCGTAGATGAAGGTGATCCTTTCGTCACCCTCTCTGCCGGATCGGCTGGCCTCGTCAAGCCAGTCGGCAAGCCAGTCAAGCCTTCCAGTCGACCGTGCCATATCGATGACTTTGTTGATCCACTGCCGTTGCTGCGGCAATGGCCCTCTGCCCTCTAGCCTCTCCAACTCAACGTCACTTTCACTCCACTTGCGCAAAAGGCTCCTTCGTTGCTCATTCTCCACCTGCAGTTGCCTGTAGAAGAACACATAGCCCAAGGCTGCCACCGCCACACAAAGCAGCGTCCACCAAAACGGCACAATGTAGCCACTCTCTGCATATTCGGGTCGAAAGAGAAGCGCTGAGATGACGCCGGCTAGATTGCCCCAGCCGTTGATGCCAAGCAGCAATGCCCGTTTTCCAGGTGACGGCGTGTTGCCAGAGATCCATGCTACAGTGAGCGGCGAAGCGACATATGTTCCGGATAAAAGGACGTTGAGGGCAACGTAGCGAGGTATGGCCCACGTTTCTGGTAGCAAAACGACAATCATCAGTCCTACAACCATGATTAGTAGGCCCAGCATCACCGGCTTCAGACGTATATGATGCTTGTCGCTGTAGGTAGCGCAGAAGAAGAGCGTGATAGCTCCACAGAGATGCGGCGGCGCTGTGAGGAGATTGACGAGCGCAGGGTCCCTGTTCTCCGTGAGAGGTGCCAACACAAGTGGAAGAAAGACGGCGAATGCATAGACCGGCACGGCAGAGAGGATGTTGCAGGCGAGGATGTGCCAGATCTTGACGTTGAAGATGGCAGACAATATATCGTGCGGGCTCAGTCCGCGGTCGTTGACAAGCTGCTTAGCCGGTACCCCTGCCGCAGCTGTACGCTTCGAGGGCTCCAAAAGGCCGCGAGACTCCTCATCATGGGTATCCTCTGCATGTAGGTCCTCCTTGGCGGCTTCCCCGGGAGTATTCTGCATGTCCCTGTCCTGTACAACACGCGCAGCAGCATACCGGCGTTCTTCCGGTGTGAGGAACCATGCCGTCTCCGCGCTATGTGGGAGCCAGAAGTATCCCACCAAAGCCACCAAGCTGGTCAAAACTCCTTCCAGGATGAACAGCACCTGCCACGGCATCCATTTGGTGTCGTTGTTCTTGTGATCCTTGAAATTGGAGAAGACGAGGTAGCTTACTAGGCCTCCCAGCGCACCACCGATGGCTGCCTGACCGTAGAAGACCGACATGCGTCTGCCGAATTCGAAGCGCGTGTAAAAGAGAGAGAGGTAGGTGACGGTCACGGGGTAGAAGCCAGCTAGATATGCGTCAGCTCCTGGTTTCTTGATCAAGACTTCACATACCCTCCAGACACCCGATGAGGATGCGCAGCGTGTATAGCTGCCACTTGTGCGTCACCCAAGCGTGCAATGCTGTGCATATCCCCCACAGTAACATGCAGCTCGGTACCCAAGCAACCATGCCATATCTCCTGCCTAGGGCCGCACCGACGGGCTGCAAGGCGACGAAAAAGGCGAAGAAGAGGGCAACAGCAGTGTTCAGGGCGCTCTTGTCGAGTCCAATGTCTTCCATAAAATGCGCCGACTCTGCATTTCCGATCTGCACACGTCAGTCTGTGTTGGTGTCCTGGCACCTGATCCGAGCCTACATTGGACTTGTCCAGCGCATTGAACAAGAATAGGAGCGCGAGAAATGGAAGCAGCAGGCAGTCGAGCTTCAGGAGCGTTCTCCGATGCAGTCGCGGATCGACCGCATGCGATTCTTCCAGCACTTCCGTCGGCATCGTGGGTGAAGTCCGAGACGGAGAGGACTCGGTCAGCTCGTACATGTGCTCACCCGCTACGGCCATATTGTCGGGCGCCAAGAGAGAGGCCATGCGGATGCATCACAGGGCTGATTAGTATCGCATCGCATGACTTTTGTTTTAGACTGTGTACGAGGAATACCATCTCCATAGTGTAGTTTGCGTTATCCAGACCAGATGCGCAGTTTAAGGTTGTCGTGGACCCTGATAAGATGACGTTATGACATGGACGACCTAACCTGCTTTGTTTCGAAGCACCTCCGGCTAGCCTACCCGTGCAAATGCTTTAAAGCCATGGACTCGCCAAGGAGACTTTCAAATCAATATGTTACATTTCGGCCTTACCGTGTTGCTCCTCAGAAGTCGTTTGGTTGCGGTAGTGCTAGGGCTCGTTGAGTCAACTGTACCACGGTATCGGAATCGATACCATAATTTGAGCGCACAGTAAGTCAATAGCGAGTATGTCTTCGAAGAGGCGCGATCAAGGCCCACGATGCTATTAATGTAAAGTTTCGTATTAGTGTCATCTATGCGGGAGTCACACTGCTATTATCTCTTGTCCTGCCATGTACTTTGCTGGACGACTACCGCTACCGCTCACACTTGGCTTCAATCTCCTCCCGGGCCCTCATCCCACACTCCCCCAAACCTGCTAGTAGCCTTATAGTAGAGCTTTGCCGTGAGTTTACACGCCTTCCTCTTGAACCAGCTTTTCTTAGCGCACACGTTGTACATGTCTTGTTTGAAATTGCTATCGACCCTCGCTCTGTTGGCGTCCGTGATGCGATTTTGCTTTATGTAGTTCCAGTAGCCGAAGTCGTGGCGCTGGCAGCTCTCCGTGACTGTGTATGGTCAGATATGTAGAAGCTTGAAGGAAAGAAAGCGTACAGTCAAAGCCCAATGGCTTATCGAGGCTAAGGGTGCACTGATCGCTCTCCCAGACTAACTCGGCAGGGCCCGTACGCGCGTTGCGGTATTTGATGAACTGCTCGAGGGGTATGTTGTAGAGATATTCGTCTGTGATTTTCTCGAGCGAGCTCTGGCGGTCGACAAGAGCTGTTGGAGCACATAGCGCAAGAGAGGCGAGGCCAATTACTGCGGTGACGATTGCGTGTTTCATGGCGGAATGCAGGCTGGGATAGTCCAGCTCAGTTGATCTGGCGACGTACCTCAGTAAATACAGCAGAGTCCAAGGACCCCCAACTTCTCCCGACGAGTATCACGGTTGACGCGACGGACCTGCTGATAGGTGATTGGCTGGGTCACGTATCCTGATCTCAGGATCTACACGAATACGGCAATAGTATTTTAGGGTATTGGAAATACGCAGTCATCAAGCATACGGTCCTTTGTCGGGTTCGCCAAGTGTTGGCAGCATGCAATGCACTCAAGTACCGTGATTCGCTTCATGAGGACATGGGACGTCCGAAGTTGTCCGCGGTTGGTTGAGGCTGTGCATTCGCTTGTGCGTGAGCAAAGGTGTTGCTGGAACCCGGAACTTACCATGTCCAACAACGCGTGTCAAAGTGCAGCCGAGCCTTGATTGCTTGTGGGACGGTCGTATAGATTGGTGGCATGTGTAATTTCGGTAGCCGATCTAGTCAGCACGTTGGTCACAACCTTGTCCATGGGTGACAACGAAAGGCCCGTAAACAAGAACAAACAAAAAATGCCCCTGTCAACACCTCACTAGGAGAGATATTCCTTGTTCAATGCCATTCAATTGTCTATGAGTAAATTCCCACTACTTGACATGTTCGCTCCTGTTCTTCTCTACTTCGGACCTCGCTTACAACTTGCTGATGAAGAGGCGGGCAGCGAACAGGCGCAGGCGCTGAGGCAGAATGTATTTGGAGAAGATGTAGATGAGGCCTGGGAGGAGGATAAATGCGACGGTGGTCTCGTTGACGAAGAAGAAGGGGATGAGTTGGGGCATCGCCGACTTAAGGGCCGTCTATCACTTGTGTTAGTGTCCGTCTATTGCTGCCCCTAATTGCCTCTCTCACCATCTGCTGTGCGCCGACTTCAGGCTTCTTGTTTTGGTTTGCGATGAGGGCGGGGCGTGCCAGGACTGAGGGGCGGGCAGCCATGGGCGCGCGGAAAGCAGCGGCCCTCGCGAAGGGGCGGAGGAAACGGGCGTTCATGATGGGCTATCTGGAGTTGTGCACGTCAGCTCGCTGCTGCGGGGGTCCAATTGGTGAGATGAAGCTTGTAAAAGAGGAATTGGCGTACTGGACGACGTGTACAGAGCCCGGGGAGATGAGCAGTGATGGTGTTGCGATCGCGGGAAGTTCGGTGGTGTTGGTGCTGTCTACCGCAAAAGCTCGCACAGTTGCTGAGCGGAACATGCCGTGTCCGTGCATTGTGCTTGGCGGGACTCTTACTACCACTACTACTACTATACTACTCCTACTAATACTACTAGGTCTATTCCAGCCCGAACTCGTCCCAAAATGAGCTCTGCAATTGTCTTCCTTGTCCTCTCACCACCATCAGCTTGTGCTTTCCCCTCTCAAACAAGCAACCACCACAAGACATGACAATGACACTACATGACCCCGCATTCCCACCTTAGTTGCTATGTGGAATCACACGTCCCTATCACTATCGATAATTCAGACACCCTCAGTACTTCCGTCCCACACCAACAACGACCAAGCCTGTCACGTTGAGATCGTCATCAACGCACTCATTTCAATGCTGAGCAGACTCGTCCCAACATCCATAAAAGGGTCCTTTCAACGACACCATAATCACCTTGATCGCTCAGACAATCTCCATGAGCTAATTCTTGCCATGGAAAGACTTTACCGTGAGATGCAACCCTTCAAGTTCGAAAGCTTCGAATTTCTCGAGGCATGCCAAGCCATCAACGTGCCTCATTAAGGAGACGACTTATCGCGATTATGCAGACTAGCACTCTGTGGATTCGAGTACAAACTACAAAACGAATACGACGACCATTGTCTTGGAACCAGAAGATTTGACTACACTTGGTCGTACTGACTTGAGTGTGTGAATCCAGGCACAGGCGAAGGGCGGACGCAAGTAAATGGGAGAGAGTGCGGTGACACCTGGTGTTGATACGGCTAAGATATCGGAATCACCTTCATTGCAACAAGTTGAAATGATTGTGATTGTTCTTGTTGTTCTATGGAGGTGGAGGGAGGTCGGCAGTAAGGCAGCAGCTAGAGCTCGGACCACACGGCTTAGTCAGCCGTGTAATCCAAGCTCGTGCATGCAGCAACCAGCTGCCTTATCTACCGCAGGTTCGATTCCCAACACCTGGATAGCATGAAATACTTGACAACGACAGTGTGGCTAAATACCTCTATTTCATTTGTGATAGATATGTCTGGTGCCTATATTCATTTTCGTATATTACGGTACTAAGTATTTCATGTCAACCAGGCGGTGAAAAGAAACCAACAAAAAGAAAACAAAAGGCATAGACAGTATCATGTTATCGGGAGATGACACGCATAACAAATTCTATGTATGACTAGATTCCATGCTCAGCTTACCAGATTCCATCATTGTGGTGTGACGGTGTTGTTGTGGTGTGATTGAAAGCTCGCCTTGGCATCACTATCCTCTTTCCCATAGCAGTAGTAGAGAACCAAAGACAGCTTGACACGATAACAGACCAACTGAGCGCTATGATGGCCTTATTGTACTTGGTTGTGCTGTGCTAGTCATTGTCCCGCATCGGGTCGGGTCGGGTAAGAGGAGCTTCTTGACGGATGGTATATAGCTTCATGTCTTGATGTAATTATTACTGTCCAAACTATGACAGGAGGCGTTGGGAGTCCGCGGCCGTCGTTTGCGGAGACGGAGAGTGATGGTGGCGCTAAGCCTTCTACGAGTGCACTAGGAGATCTCACCTGTCTCCGGCCATGCATCTTCACTCCCCGCTCCCCGCTCAAGCATGTATCGCCAACTAGTCGCCCAAATATGGCCTGGTCCGACAATAAGTTCACCGGAACCATTGTGATCCCCCATCGAGACCTGCACCCACGTGTGCTGCAACACCCCCGCAATTGCACTTACCCCTCCTGATGCCATAACTCGAATGATGCCGGGGTTCACGCGTCACTATATATGTAGAGCGCGCCTTCGGCATGCTTCAACTACTTTTCACACGTTTTTGCGCTTGTAGTTCTAATCTGACCATTCTTTCATCTGTTTTTGACGTGTCGTAAAGACATTTCCATCCTGATTACCACAATGTCCGACTGGTCTGACATTACCGCGGCCCTGAAAGGTAGCTTGGACAAGCTCTCCAATCTCCTCCAATCCGATGAGCAATTGAAGGCTTTCACTGCGTCCAACGCTATCAAGAAAGCCGTCACGTTTGGCATCAAGTCAAGTGGCTCCGACAACACCCTCCTCATCACCGTCGCGAATGGTAGCGCGAAAGCCACAACTGGTTCCTCAAAAGATGCACTGTTCACGCTTTGTGCCTTGCCCGAACAATGGGAGCAACACTTTAAACAAGTCCCGGTAATGCCATACCAGAGCTACTGGGGCATGTTTGGCATGAACATCAAGCAGAAAGGCATCGAAATCACAGGTGACGAGACAGCGTTCGTGCAATGGACCCATGTCTGGAGACGCGTTCTTGAGCTTACACACGACGCTCACTGTGGGCCGATCAAAGAAGACGAACAGCCCGAGCCTCAGTACGACTACCTTACTGGAAAATACACCTTCCTTGACGCTCCAGTATGGGGCCGATGCAAGATCTTCTACGAATACTCTGGCGAAGGCAAGCAGCCCATCGTCTTTCTACACACTGCGGGAAGTGACAGCCGACAATATCATGGTGTCATGAACGACGCCAAGATGCGCAAGAAGTGCATCATGTATGCCTTCGACCTGCCCGGACATGGACGTAGCTTTCCCCCAAAGAACTACATGCCTGGAGCGCACACAAACACCGAAGACAGCTACATAGGCATAATCGCGTCTTTTGTCAAGACTTTGGGTCTGAGGAGGCCTATCATCTGCGGCGCGAGCATGGCTGGCCAAGTCTGCCTGGCAGCCGCCATCCGCCACAGGGAGATAGGAATAGCTGGCACAATTCCTTTGCAAGGGTACGTATAAGATTACAATAAAGTTATAAAAGCTAAGAAATACAGCTCTGAGTATCTTAACATGGAACGGCAATGGCACGACCGCTCCCCGTTCGTCAACCAGTCTTTGTACAACCCAGAGTGGGTTTACGGGGTACGCATACTTGAGCTCCAAGTATGAGGGTATAGCTGATCCATACAGATGATGTCTCCCACAGCACCTGAGGCGAACAAGCAGCTCATATGGCATACATACAGCGCGCAGGCATATGGCGTAAGTATCCATGTCCCTTGTAGCAACCCCCTAACATGTATAGATATTCCACGGCGATCTCGACTTCTACTTTGGTGGATGGGACGGCCGCTCGCGCGTAGCTTCGATTGATACCCAGAACTGCCCTGTGTACATGCTGACGGGCGAATATGACTGGTCGAATACGCCAGAGATGTCGCAAAAGACTGCGGACAAGATCCCCGGCGCCGTGCACAAGTCAATGCCGGACCTTGGGCATTTTCCCGCGACCGAGAATCCGACCAAGTTCGTACCGCATCTGATCGAGGCGATTGACCACATACAAAAGGTTAGGTCAGAAAACCTAAGCACGATGCGACTAGGAAACGGCACAGACTAGTCGCAGTATCAAGTCAGTTTGGTCCAGAGATAGGGGATACAAGTCATACCCGAATGTATTGATCCCACTGGCATCTATATGCATTCTTCTATATCATGCATTTGTTTTTTCTGGCAAAGTCTCTCCACCGTTCTTGTTCTTCCATGTACCAGCATAGTGATGCTGTACCAACTTGGGCGGCATCTTGAGTTCGTCTCCCGGCTGATAAGAGTTTTGTGTGGCAGCAAACGAATACCCGGGCATGATAAGCACATCCCCTAACAGTTTTGGCTGATAGATCTTTCTAATCTCCTTTCCGTCAATGTCCCTGTTCAGCTGCCGTTTAAGGCTCTTCAAGATTCCATACGTCAGGCGTCTAGGGCCGGAAAAGTCGACAACGTCGCCAATCATATCCAGAGAGATCTTCTCCACGGGGACTTTGTGCTTCTCCATTACGTCTTCGATTGCGTCTACCATGTCGTCGATGACCTGCAGTAGGTGGGGCGAATGTGGCTTGGCCATGATGGTCCAGCTTTCAAACTCGAGCATGATGTTGTCCTCGAAGCCCATGTCGAATTCCCATCCCACAACAAGACTGGTGTTTGGTCTGAATGCCTCTGGGACCCACTCATCGATTGGAACACCTTCACAGGAGACGTCGAGGTCGGAGTAGACGCCGCCCTGGTCGAAGAGGAGCAGGTAGCGGAGCATGTCGGCTTTTAAGATGGGAATCGAAAGACCAAGGTAGTTCTCTACAACATCCGGACGCATAACGTATGCTTTCTTTACATACTCATCGGCGGCTTCGTCCGTCATGAATGTTGCTTTCCATCCAGGGTTGCTATTGATGCAACTATCCGTCCATTTCTTAGTATCGGGAATTAATCCCATGGGGCCCAACTTGTACCAGAGAAGTCTTGGTATGCCGTAGTCTGTTGTCGATGGCTCGTGGTTCGATTGCTCGTGGTCTATTTTCGGCTGCCTGTCGTCGGGTGTCGGTTGCCCTCCGTCGGCCGTCGAATTCGAATTCGAATTCGAATTCGGATTCAAATTTGATTGCAGTGAATCTGTTGGTCGCATCCGCAAATACTGGGCGTCACTGCCCATATGCCAGAAGTGAATGAGGGCAAAGGTGCTCACGATCAGAAACATCCAATAGAATGTTCTTCTAGGGGTAATCGGCTGCCATGAAAAGGACACATGGCAGGCGGGGTAGGACTGGCAAGGCATTGCGAGATGGTACCAGGAATTCGAATATGTCCTATGGTTGTCAGTCGTGTGTCGTGATTTGGTACGTTGTCAAAGAACTTACTGAACTGCTGTTGGATTACCACACACGATATCAGGACACTGCAAACACAAATAACAACTCCAACATGATGAGGCAGCAGGGAACAACAGGCCGTGAATCCAACGTAAGACCTTGGCTCTTGCTGGTGGGTCTACCCAGGCCGTTCGAGGTGTAAGATCGACGATAGCTGATGATCGTCATTGGTGTTTTGACCGTATTTTATCAAGAGCTATCCTCGTTGCGGTAGAACTTGCCTGCTTTTCTCGTACTGGCCAGTTTTTACTTCTAACAAACGGAGCGTGCTCAACGGGCCGATGTCGACGACGCGTACGATACATATTTGAGAGTGCGGAGAACGCGGAAGATGGGCTGACAGGGTGCAACATCATCATCTACGGGTACGGAAGGCATCAGGGGTAACAATATCTGACAGGAGACGCGAGTGTCGATTAGCGGCTACCCTACTGAGGCCACTCATTTACCATATACGGATTTTTGAAATGAGGTTTCTGCCCAGGCCAATACTCGCATCGCACGGGGTATCATAATCATATTTCCAACTAGGCTTTCTACATGCCATCCCACGCCATAACACCACGCGATACATGTATGCCAGAACTCCAAACTCCAAACCTCAGCTCACCTGATCTTGTCAACCCTCTTCTTAGCAATCTTGATCTTACCATCCACCCTCTCTACATCCTCCTCGAACAAGCCCATCAGAGCGTTCTGCTCTACCAGCTCGGCATTGATTTGCACTCCCATCTCCTTCATGCGTCTCACGACGGTTGCCAAGTCGACCAAATCCTCATCTTGCTCGCGGATGATTTGCTGCTGTAGTTGTAAGACGCCGTCGTTATCAAGTTCCCTCGTTCTATCAGTTTCCTGAGCTGGCGCACCCAGAACACGGCGGCCAGATGGTTTTGCCGAAGCGGCGCCTTTGAAGAGACCTGCTTTTTGGCTTTCGGTGACGGCGGCGGAAGAGGTTGATGGGGTTGCAGAGGAGCCGGACCCAGAGATTGCTGCTTTTACGGCCATGCTGTTGAGAACAGATTCCAGACCGTCGCGTTCTTTGCGTAATCCGCTGATCATATCCCGTCTCCTGCGAATCTCACCCTCACCAAGCTTCTCGCTTGACCAGTCATCGGTTTTGGCTCCACCGAGACGGGAGAGGCCTTCGTCTAGAGCGGAGATCAAGGTACCGGCTCTGACGAGACTCTTCTTTGCGTTCGCCGCGGCTTCGTGTTGCGCTGTGGCTGCTGTGGCTTGTTCCCGCCTGGTTAGCCAGCGCCGCGCATCTTGCAGGTTACTTTTCAGCTCGGAGTGCTTGTCTAGCCAATCTGCCGAATCCCGCACTCTGTCCCTGCCGAATTGCGATCCTGCTTCTTCTCTAGTCGCCTTCTTTCCGTTTGCGCCGTTACTGTCCCCGATACCCAAGAACGTCTTGTATGCTTTTGACACGCGCCAGCGCCCGTCTTCCGAGCTTTCTATCGCGCGCAAGTAGGCTTCCAGACCCTGGCGGCGCTTCTCCACGGCTTCGGGTGAGCTGGCGGTGCTTCCTAAGCCGAGGAAGCCACCGAGCCACGACTTTGGAGGGAGGGGTGCAGGCGGGGCAGATTGGACTTCTGAGCGGAGGGAGGCATCGAGAGCGGTAAAATCAGAGTAGCGCTTCGATACAGTGGTTGCTGCGCGAGGGAAGGCGTGCTCGATCTTGACCGTGTACGACGTGTAGGGCTTGCCTGTCTCGGGCGTTTGCTCCTGTGTCGTCGGTATGGATATCTTGAGGGACGGCATTGTGGTGCCGATGTTGTGGAGAAGGCGGCGGTGAGGTAGGCACCCGGTGGTCGATGGATGGGCACCTAATGTGGTCGCGTGCACCCGGTTTGCGACGGCGGCGTCTTGCTTTCCCCGATCGTGATATTTGAAGCGTGCAACGGTACCTAGCGATCGCGCATAACAACAGAGGCAGATGCGTGGAAGGAATAAAGGAAGATTAAGGAAAGTCGAGCTAACCCGGCCAAGATGCAGGACCGGAAGTATGATTGACGTCGTTGGATGCAGCTGCGGCACGCTAACGCCACGTGCGTCAGTCGGAGTCCCACAGTTGAGCTCAACACCAAGACTCTATCGCGAACATGCCATTTGCACTAGAGAGGTGTTGGCTCAGAGACATTGACAACTTAAGATATCTTCGTTCTTGCTTCCCAAACACTTCCCTTGCCAAAGTCATGCCGTACCCAGAAAACGCAAATGCATCCATGGGGCTCTCATTGTCCATTCCATACTTTAACTTGGAAATTCTCATTTAACAGACCCTCCCATCTCACTTGCCCATGTGTCTTCTTTTGCAGAAAGTCGACATGAGCGTTTGTTCTATCACTTCCCCTCTGAGTGCACGCTCCATCCCCGTGGGAACCCCAAGTGAAGTACGATTCTACACTATTCTCCTTTGACTTTACTTCGCCTGGTCACTGCTTGTGATAAAAGGCCAAGTACATTTACGACAAGTGTTTCAACTCCTTCTTCTAACATTTGCTCAACAGCCTTTACCCGCGATTCATCACACTGGCCACTATGGAGCTTCTTGACATGCCGCCGGAGATCTTTCAACGTGTCGTCAAGGCGTAAGTCAGAACAAATGGTATCGTCGAGGCTTGGAAAATCAGAACAACATGCAGTGAGTATCGATACGTTGCTTTACACGGGCACTTCCTGACTTGATCACAGAGACATTCCGAGATTACATTGACTACGAGGTCTTCTCCACGCCGAAGCTCAACGGCTACCTCAAGAAAACAGCCTGCCGCACCATCCTGAAGAAAAACCTCGCGAAGTTTCTCTATCTCCGCAGCAACAAACTCAACGGCTTCATCCGTGACTTGGTGCCTAACTTTATCCGAGACGTCATGCAGAGAGCGGGACCATGGGTCCACGACGACAAGGCGAAAGCAGCCCTGAGGAAGGTGCTTTGCGAGCTTTACGTCAAGACTGACAGATATGCATATGCTTGCATCGTGCAAGATGTCCGCTCGGGGCGCTACCAGCATCACCTGCAAGACATTCAGGCCACCAAGGCCATTAATCTGGTCGCTGCTGCAGCCGCGGCGGGTAGCCTTGATTGGCTTCGGGGCCTCGCAAACCATGACCATCGACTTCTATGGCTTCATTCTCCTACCTTTGGGTATCCAATCGTTGCTGCTGCATACGCTGGTCAATTCAAAGTCGCCAAGGCACTTGCAGAACAAGCAGTCACAAGCCAAGGCTTAAGCATCACCACCTCAGCAACTGCCGAACACATTTCGTTCAGAAAAGCAATCTGCACAAGCATCGAACTTGGGCATGAAGAAATGGCCACGGTCCTCATTCAGAAGTACGGCGAAGCATTTGGTCCAGCTTCGGAAACATGCATGCAGGAATGGCTGCAATGCTCTGTGTCCACTCGCAACACAGCCATCACCCGCCTTCTTTCACAAATCCCCACTCATGCAGGAATTGACATCTTCTACACTGCGTTTGAGGGCAGCTGTAGACTTGGAGACCCAGACCTCATTCGCATCTTCTTTGAAGAGGGCCGTCTGGAAATTAACGGCATCTCCTCGCACAGCTACCCCCTTATCATAGCCTCCGAGGTGTCACACGCGTCGACAGTTCCAGTTGAAGTGCTCCTCTCCCTGGGCGCATATTCAGACGGGCCTACATATCGTGGGTGCTTTAAACGTCCCCTGGAGGCGGCGCTGCGATTTAGGCATGGTAGAGTTGCCTCTCTCCTTCTTAAACCCGGCGCCAACATCCACCTCATCTCCAAATCATGCTGGAAGCTGTATATGAAGCAGTGGAGCGGCATGGAGGAGGTTACCGAAGCGCTGAATCGCTCGTTAAGGGAATCTCAGAAGCCGAGGCCTCTGTGCGGCAAACTCTTTGTCTGTAGTAATACAGAAGAAGAAGATGAGCAGTAGAAAGGAATTTCTGAGCGTGGCAGATGTATTTTCTTTTCCTTCCACGTCATTCGGTGGGTTGTATGCGAATCATACCCCTAGCTCAAGGAGCAAGTCCATCTCTCTACCAAACACCCGTTAGGGTCACTCTTGTCAATCGATATACAACTCACTGTCGCTTCACAGCTTGCGCGCTCAAAACAACACGATGTATCCTTTCGGATACTCTGCTCGGGCAGACTTGCCCCGGCTGGGGATTGCGTACTTGCATGCGGCAAGTAGCCAATTCTTTCAATTCTAGACTACATTTGGACTTTTCCAAGGTATAGTAATTGGCTATTTCATTGGTTGGGCTGCCGTATCGGCATAGCGTACTCCCAAAGCTTCGGCCCTGGGATCTTATATCCAGCAATCTTCTTATGTACATCCACCAATATACCCTCATCTTTCATGCCATACAGCTTGTTTCCTAGCATCCCGTCTACCAAGCTCTTCGTCGTGATGTTCCTTTGAGATACACGGAGATTCACACACTGCGGGTATGCCTGTGCACCGTCCAATTGCTGTGCGGTGTGTAGCGCAATAATCTCGTGTCGCATGACGTAATTTCCGGGTTTGAGTACCGGTGGTATCATGGCAGTCCAGGTGAAGTTGTTTGCTATGAGCACGTCCGTCGCCCATGTTCCACCCAGATTCATTATCTTCCAGCCTGTGCTATTTAGCCAAGCGACCTCGTCAATTTTGACCCATTCAAGCTCCTCTTGTGCATGTGTACAACTCCCATTACACGCGGCGAGATATGTGAGGACCGGCCCGACGTGTGATTTTGGCCATTCGTTCCAATGTAGGTTTAACGTGTCGCCTGCCGTGGTGTTGATATGAAGCGCGCCTGGCACAGCATTGTAGTGGCATGTGATATTGGTGGTATTGAACTGCGAGGGAGGAACGTAGATGTTGCCTAGGTTTGCGGCGGACCAAGCTGCGAGTGGGGACGGTGGGATGAGTGACGACGATGACTCTGGGTCCCAGCCTTCGTATACATCACCGGAAGATGACGTAATTCGAGAAACTCGGCCGTGTGCGGAGGTGATATCCATCAGCCAAACCAGTACCGCAAAGGTCAATAGCTGCATTGTCGGATGAGAATACCTGTGCGGCAATCGCCTAGGGAGCGCGACGAAGACTTTATAATCAATTCCATCGCTTTTGAACAGGGTATACAGGTCCGGTATTGCGCTTTGAAGTTTTCGTGTCCATATGTTTCCAAGATATTACCCCAGATTTGATCAGGATGTTTCATATCGGAAGCCACATTTGATTGGCTGCTTTGAGCGACGTGCGTAGGACGTACATTATCGTTCCAGGTTCTCATATTGGCATGACTCCCGAATAAATGCCGTAAGCTAGAAGGCTTTAGAAGGTTGGTCGGGCGGGCACTTGAGGAGTCTTTACGAGGGCGTTCAGTGCTGTGGGCTTACCGCCGACACGGGACGATGTCTACTCTTGTTATTCCCACGTGCTCTGCCAAATAGGTGCATGAGAGCTGATCATCTCATCGTCATTTTCTTATCATACACCATGGGCCGAGGAGTGGCGATAATATCAGGCCTGCTGTAGTCTACTGTAATGGTGGAAGCTGGGAGGACGGGAGTATGTGGAGGTGCCCAGGTGACGTCAACATTGCCATCCGGGAATAGAAAATCGACCGACTTGCATCACACCGAGACTTGCAGCTTGTCCGTTTTGGCTACCATGGAAAACACAAGCCGTGGATGCAATGCGGGGTAGGTAGTGACTTAAGAGCGTAGACGTACGTACCCTCAAGTTCACTAAGTTCCAAACCGTCTTAGCGTATCTCTAGTACGATCACAGGGCCTTACCGAGGTTGTATGAGCAGGGTGGCCGTTAGGACAATCGTGAGTAGCGTTTTGACTACTGCTAGTCGTCGTTCGGACTGTATATCACCTGTCCACTTTACCTGTCTACTCCCACCCCGACTTTTCTCCACACTCTGAAACATCGTGTGACTTCCTAGCTAAGCAGGTAAGTAACAATCGACCCATAAGAACGTCTATGCCCTACCAGGATACTCAACTAACCCGTCGCTTAGAATTGCCATGGTACCTATTTCAGTCCTTGCTCCAGCTGCTTTGGTAGCTGGTGTAGTAGCTTTTCCCGAAGGGAGGCAGTACGCGGTATCACCTAGCTCAGCACCATCCTTTTCAACTACCGCTTGCTCCGAAGCTGCCTCGACACTACACCTAGAGGATGGCCCATATGACAATCATTTTTACTCAGACTGCCACACCAGCGTCCATGTCATTGTTACTAGCCCTCTGCCGAATAGCAACCTCACTGCCATTCAACCACGTCTCCTTATCGCGTGGCCCGCTGGCAACAGCGGTACTCTGGCGTTCTTCGCTCCGGAGAATGGCCGAGCCGGTTCTCTCAGTATGAAACTTGAAGGTTCGGGTGATGATGGGCAAGTATTACAAGCGTTGAACGCAGCGGATTATGTTGGCATCTCTGGGAGAATCACCTTCAATAACTCTGCCATACTGACTGTGCCAGTCCTGGGCAGTATTCGGAGTATCCGCGACTTGACTGAGGGCGGCAAGATCAGCCAAGACTTCCAAAACAGCTTCAGGTTGGATCTTCAAGACGGGCGAGGCTCGATCAATCGTACGTGGTTTGACGGTGTTACGACTATGACGCTCAAGTTTACTCCGCTGGATGGCACCCAAGCTATAGTCCTCGACCACGATGCAGAATCTCCGTTGATCTTTGGAGCTGGCACCTACAGATTTGAAGCTTCCTTCAACTACCCGCAGCTCGAGCAGCTCAGTCCGGTCAACGTACTGGATAGTGCAGCCTCCGAATTGATTCGTGAGAACCCAGACCAGACAACTTCACTGTCTTTCCTTTCATACTCGGACAAGCTACTTGCCGGTACATGGCGCTTCTTGACCTACTTCGGCCGCGATAGCATGCTCACACTACTCCTGATGCAGCCAGTGCTGAGTGAAGCTTCCATTGAGGCTGTAATCGGAGCTGTGGTGGAGAGGATCAACCGTACCGACGGAACCGTCTGCCATGAGGAAGTCTTGGGGGATTATTCCCATTGGCTGAACCTGAAGATCGGAGTCAACTCTAGCGCGCCATCATGCGACTACAAAATGATCGACACCGACTTCTTTCTCCCCATCGTTATGAAGAGCTACTTTGTTGATATGGACTCGGGCAAGAAGCGTTCGGATACTTTCTTCAACAAGACTGCCACGTTCCTCGCTGAAAACAACGGCCTTAAGTATTCTCAGTTGGCTCAACTTACTGCCGAGAGAATCATGCGCAATGCTGCACCGTTTGTCAAGAGCCAGGTAGAGGAAAATCTTATCCGTCTCAACGCTGACGTCCCAGTCGGCGAATGGCGTGATTCAACCAACGGTCTTGGTGGCGGTCGCATCCCATACGGTGTGAATACAGCACTCGTACCTGCAGGGCTGCGAGCCATTGCTAGTCTCAGCAAAGTTGGATTCTTTTCAGACCACCCAGACTGGAGCACAGTTGCTGACCAGTACGCGCAAGTTTGGGAAGATGAGACGCTGCGCTTCTTTAAAGTCACTGTGCCAGAAGCTCAAGCCAAGTCTCTGGTTCAGGACTACGTCTCTAGCGCCAACCTGGGTGTCCCTTCCCACATCGACAAGATCGCCGGCGACGTTTCCTACTATGGTGTTGCCCTCAACGGCACCCTAAACACGCCAATCGTTCCCGTCATGAACACTGACGACTGCTTCCGACACTTCCTGCTGAACACCACAAATGAGACTCAGCTTACCGCATACCTCAGCCAGACCGCTGATCATATCCTGCAGCCGTTCCCGGTCGGCCTTTTGAGTGATATTGGATTGTTTGTGGCTAACCCTGCATACTCTGGAAACTCGAGCCTCGCTGGCAACTTCTCACAGGCTGACTACCATGGCACTGTAGTGTGGAGCTGGCAGCTTGCTATGATGGGTGCGGGACTGGCGCGTCAACTCGACCGCTGTAACTCAGACCATATCCCAGGTAAGTCATGTTTCACAGCCTCTGCTGTGTTTTGTAAGACATTCTGATCGATAACTAACACATGACAGATTTTTGCAAAGACACCACAGTCCACAGTAATGTAGTCTCCGCATATAACCAGCTATGGTCTTCCATTGACGCCAACCGCGACCAATTGAGCCATGAGGTGTGGAGCTGGACCTATGATAACGGGTTCAAAGTTACTCAGCTGGGTGATTTGACAGCGACTGAGAGCAACATCCGACAGCTTTGGAGCTTGACGTTCCTCGCTGTCAAGAAGGAGGATTTTGGCGCGTGAATGATGAGACTACTTGGGTATCAGAGATGGTGAATGCAATGCTCATAAAGTTAGTGATTGGGGGAAAACCAAGTGAATCAACATAGAGCCCCGCGGGTACAGTGCTTTCGCCTAGGCACCAGGTGCTAGCGCACTGCCTCCCCCATACTTAAATTTCCCTGTTCAATCTTTCTTGTACAGTAAAAGTTGCAACTCTTGATCGGGACAACTGTCAACTACTAGCTACCAGTAAAGTCAGCAACAAATCTTCACGACATTGAAACAAGACAATCCGAGTCCCTCTACTCTGCAACCATGTCCACGGTTGTAGCGACCAACACCCTACCCATCAACACCGAGTCTTCGGTCATCTTCTCGACTTTCGACCAGTGTGAGATCAAAGAGATCTACACATATGAAGGAGGCAGTACAGTCGCTTGGGTAGTCTTTGAGACTCCTGAAGCCGCCCAGAAGTTTGCTGACGAATGCGACGGTTACCCTTTTGGAGGGACCGATCAGAAGATGTATACAAACATGAGCACCCACGCGGACATTGCAGACGAAGCCACGAACCTCTTATCGAAGTTCCTTGATGAGCGCGATAACCAGGTCGAGTCACATACTGTCAAGATCACAGGTCTTCCTCAGAACCAGACTATTCGGAACTTGAACGAACTGTGTCAGTCCTTCGACGATGCGCACTTCCACTGGGAGCAATACAGTTCATTCATTGACAACTACCCCGAACCGACCCAGATGCTAGAGTTCGATTCTCCAGAGCCTGGTATTGGTCTTGTGCGGGTTGCAGAGCCACACATGGCAGTGGATATTGTTTTGCAAACTGCGGGTACCTATTGGAAGAACGCGACCATCAATGCCAAGTGTGTTCCGGATTTGGAGATGGACCAAATGCTCGTCAAGAAGCCTGCATGTGAGGCCAAGGGCGTTGAGCTTTTCGTAACTGGTCTTTGGCCTAATACCTCCTCCACAGAGGTTCTCAGATTCTTCAAGGACTATCCCATCCGCGACATCAACATGCCACCAGGTGGTAAGCATTTCTGCTTCATCTTGGTCGCCCAGGACGATGTAGACAAGATTCTCGCGCGTTTTGCTGGAGGGGTTTGGTGCCAGGGCCGTATGCTCAGGGCTAGGCTTTTGGGGAAGAAGACTCGTACCGTAAAGAAGCCCGTACTTCATACTGAAGAAGACATAGCACAGAAGCCTATGACGGAGCTTACGGTTTCCAACCTACCATATGAGGTATCCGAGTCGAGTATTCGCATCGCTTTCCAAGGCTTCACGGTATGCAAGGTTGATCTCAAGAAAATTTACGCTTCTGTGGTTATTGCGACGGATGAAGTAGGTCGGGCCATGAAGACGCTGCCTGGAAGGTGGGTTGGTGGTCGGAAGATGAATGTCAAGGTTGAACATTCATTGTGACCGGGTTTTGTGGGGGTCTTGACTGCATATAATTATGCGTCAGAATATGGGTATATGTAACCAGAGGTTCGGTCTCCGTTGCATATTGTAGGCGGTATTTCCGGATGTTGCATGTTTGTTAATGTTTGAGGGCCGTCAGGCTGTGTCTTAGTCAGTCTAAGGATAATTGTAGTAGCAATGCCCAAACACATACATCAGTCTCATATGCATAATTTGACACAAGCCTCTTAAGTGAGTCCAGATGTCTTGGAAATGGCATGGACATGACCCTCGTCTGAACGGTGAGTCGTGAAGAGGTGCGGGAATAATTGCCGTTGGAGATGACAGGCACGCTAAGATCTGGTGATAACCGATACGGAAGGAAGATCGAGCAACTGCTCCCTGCCGTTCGTGCAGATCCCTCACTAAACACGGGAAACACTTGCTTTTTCTTCCAACCCGGTGACACCCTGCTTCCCCACCCCGTTCTCGAAACATGTGTCTCGCATCGAGACCCCGCATATTCGTCTCTTCGTACAAGAGACCTGAATCTCAATTTATCCGATACATATAGTACCAAGATACCATGATGTCACGACTGACTCGAGTTCCGACGATTATGCTTCTTTCTCACTTGGGGGCGCATGAATCACGATGCTTTTCCTGCTTCTTATCGAGTTTATGCTATTGCGGTTCCACGGCATCTTTGCAAAGCAGTCGCCTTCGCTTGCGGAGGCAGAGCCGCTAGGGACGACATGAAGATGTCCGTTTTCTATTATATTCGTCGAAGTATGCAGCGCGAAGCATCATGTAGTTACCAATGGCCTTGGCACGTTGAGTTCCACAACATCAAGCCATCTTTCTTTTGCTATTGCTATATTGCTTCAGCACACCATGATGCCTGCACAATCTTGTCATGCTTCATCGATTGCAACGTGCCCCTAGAAGACATCCAGCAAAACTACACCCTACGGTTAAATGAACTTTCTCGATCTGCAAGATGCAGATCGAGCATCTCCACAAAGTACCCCCGCATATCGTTGGAAGGGCCTTGGCGAATCATGGTCTCGTGAACAGTGTAAAGGCGTTCAGGCGAGACGGTATTGGCGATTAGTTTATGTCACTAAGATACAAGTGCAGTGAAACAGCCACCTTGTGATGTGTTGGGACTTGCGCATTCCGGAATTGAGCCTCGGCTTGGCGGGCAGACTACAAAGTGTTGAGTTGCCGGGAGAAGCAAATGCCAGTCGCTTGGTTCTTCCCATCAGAGACTGTCATTATGTGCGCAATTAAGCGGATGCTGGTCATTTGGCTACTCGCACTGCTTCACGTCACTGTCGCATCGCCCAGTTTCGAGCAAAAGTGCCTTGCCTTTAGACGCGATAACCGGACCATAGGAGCTAAGCTTAACGTCCTCCAGTATGTTGCTGCAGGTACAAACCTAACCTTTCCGGATAATGATGCAAGCTGTGCTCGTGCGAGTCAAAAGGTGTCGGTAGACTTCTGTCGCATAACGCTTGAGATCAAGACATCCAGGATATCAAACATATCATTTGAGGCATGGTTTCCGGAGAATTGGTCGGGTCGCTTCCTGGCCACAGGGAATGGAGGTATTGATGGGTGTGAGTATTCAACTTCTGAACAAGCGAATGGAGGAATGTTTACTGACTGAAATAGGCATCAAGTACGAAGACCTTGCATATGGCGCACTGAACGGCTTCGCTACGGTGGGTGCAAACAACGGGCACAACGGCACAGGGGGAGCAGCCTTCCTTAACAACCCTCAGATGGTAGTTGACTTTGCCTATCGATCGTAAGCAGCATTGCTATTCATGCATCTTTCCATACTAACCACTACTCAGACTCCACAAGACAGTGGAAACAGGAAAAGCACTATCCCAACAGTTCTATCAATCAAACTATACCAAATCTTACTACCTGGGCTGCTCTCTAGGCGGACGTCAGGGTGTCAGTAGTGCAGAGAAGTTTCCCAAAGACTTCGACGGCATCGTTGCAGGCGCCCCAGGCGTCGATTTCAATAGCCTTTACGCCTGGCGTGCCCACTTCTTCAGCATCATCGGTCCAAAGGCTAGTCCAAACTTCATCCCTGCCACAGCATGGAGAGGTTGGATCCACGACGAAGTCCTGCGCCAATGCGACACCATTGACAAGGTCAAAGACGGCATAATCGAAGACCCAAGTCTCTGCAACTTCGACCCTTCAACTCTACTATGTGACCGTAACAAAACAAGCCAGTGTCTGAACCAGCAACAAGTTCAGCAGCTCCAAACAATCTTCAGCCCTTATACGTACGAGAACGGCGACTTGATCTATCCAGCCATGCAACCCGGCAGCGAGATTCACGCCGTAGACCGTCTCTACGATGGCACACCCTTCGGGCCTTCAAACGACTGGTTCAAATACGTCGTCTACAACGAACCCTCCTGGAACGCGTCGACATTCGACCTCGACGACGTACGCGCAGCGCAAACGCTCAATCCAGGCGATATCCGCACATTCCCGTCTTCGCTGTCGGGGTTCAGAGACCGCGGCGCCAAGCTGCTCATGTATCATGGTCAGCAGGATAACCAGATTAGCTCCTTCAACACGCCTCGCTTTTACGAGCACTTGCGCGGTAATGCAAGTTATGCAGCCATGGATGAATGGGTGCGCTTCTTTAGGATTTCAGGCATGTTTCACTGTAGCACAGGGCCTGGCGCGTGGGTACTGGGTCAAGGCGGGGAGGCATCGCAGGCGGGGATCGCGTTTGACCCCCAGCACAATGTTCTCAGTGCCATGGTTAATTGGGTGGAGAAGGGTGTTGCGCCAGAGTACATTGAGGGGACAAAGTTTGTGAATGACACCGTGAGTGGCGGGGTGGACTTTACGAAGAGACACTGCAAGTATCCGGCCCGGAATGTGTTTATTGGTGGAGATGATAAGCTGCCCGGGAGCTGGGAATGTCAAGTGCCGAACACGACGGTGGCATCGAAGACAATGACGACCATAACGTCCGGCGGAGCTCTATTATCGGCAGGTTGGAGCTTGCTTTCCTTCAACTTCTCTCTAGTATGCTTGTCGACGCTATTAGTGTTTACGTAACGAGTTTCCAACACCTTGGTGTTGAGGACCTTTTTAATTTACCAGTACCGAGCACTAGAGAGATGATTCAGATGGAACAATATATTGGGCGGTCGAATGATTTGATTCACATCTTATTTAGATTTTGCAAATCGATTCGCAGCTTCAGCCAGGGTACTCTACACATCTATAGGAAGACCTCTAGATTGAACTCCAATGTACTAACGGGGTATCTGTGGTAATGTCAGTATATTGATGAAAGGCGAAACCAGAAAACTTACGGCAACTCGAACTTTTGTAGCACACTTGGGTGCAGAATACCAAAGACACCGATGGTGTGATTCTTACCGCCGAGGTTAAGTTTGATGGCTGCTGAATGACCAGCAAGGAAGGTGGGGTCTGTAATGGGTCAGTACTTCTGCAATACTCTTGAGTACATCTTCTTACCATCAACCTCCTCTATCCAGTAACCCTGTAGCTGCTCGTTCTTCAGCCCATCTTCCCGGGTCAAGAAGGCCGATCGAAGCATGAGCATCAGCCTATCTAGTAGACCATGTACTTGCTCGAAACCACTTGTCTTGCCCATGAATGCCGCTGCAAAGTGTCGCTCGTTCCTGCTCTTCCTCTCCTGCTCCAAATCCACAAGTCCAACATCACTGGCCTCGAAGATCTTCATCGGTACAGAGTGGTGCTTGTTGGAGTTGATGGTCTTGAGTAGACCAGGTAGTAGTGACGTCCGTACTAGCTGGTACTCTGCGGTCTTGGGGTTCGCTAGCTTGACTGCAGTCTTGCCATCGTCTTTTCGGTTCAGCCACTCAAAGTTCTCCTCGTGCGAGCAGAGGATGAGAGGCAAGACTTCCGTCCATCCTGCGGAGGCTGATTCTAATCGTACAATGTCGCTGAGCTTGTTTATGGGTAATGGAGCTGATACAGCGGCAGTCTTGTTCGGGTAAACTCGTGGCAACTTGTTGAAGCCGTATGCGATCGCGTAGTCCTCCATTATATCGGCTTGGTGCAGAATATCTGCTCGTGTGATGGGTACGGATACATCGAGGATGTTCTTGTCAGACTTGGAAGGGGAGACATCGTGACCCATGCGTGACAAGAGTTTCGAGATCTCTTCCGGCGACAGGTCTAGACCAGTGACTTGGTTCAGGTAGTCAACCTCTGCTTGCATCTCCCGCGGTGATAGATCTGGTGACTCTCTTGACTCTCCATTATGTGGGGAGGTGATCTTGATGGGCTCTATAGAGTCTGCGTAGCCAGCGAACATGGCGACGAGCATGTGGTTGACAATCTCTACCTTGGTCTTGTCGGTGGCGGTGATTTCAATGAAAACATTCTTGGTGTCGAGCGTGATCTTGCTGTGGTTTCCGTTGATAATGGGAGGTAGCGAGAGGACTGTTCGGTTTGAATCGTAGATTACGGGGTATACGGGCGAGTCGCGGATGATGTGGAGGAAACGACCAAGGTGCTTGTCTTTCTACGTGGAGTCAGATATGGAAGACTGGAGAAGATTATCGTACCCACCTCATAAAACTCCATGAGCTCCTTGCCGTTCATTTCCTTTTCCTGGTTCAGTGGTACAAACTTGATCTGCTCCGGCGGTAGCGCCTCGTATGAGAAGGGGCCCTTGATTGCTGTCTGGTATTAGCACCCTTCCGCGTCTTGCGATAACGCCACCCACTGTCTAAGTCGTGTGTTCCGATCGATACCAACGTCCTCTGACGCGCCAAGTTCGAATGCAGCTTATCTTGCAGCGCGATGAAAGACTCGTATCGTTCTTTGGTGAATTTGATGCCTCGCAGTACCACACCTGAGCAGAGCTCTCGTATTTGCTTGGTCTGAAGAGGACCTAGTCAGTATCGATCTCTTTCATCCCGGCGGCTGGCCTACCTCGGGCTTAATGTCCAACACTTGCAACTCTCCGCTCGCAGGCGCAGTCACAGTCCATTTTGGCAGCTTCTGTTGCTCCAGGAAGACCTTCAGATTCATGGCGATGCCCTCGAAGCAGAGCATATCATATCGGTTCGCAGGGATCTCAATCTTGAGTTGTGGTGGTTGCGCCAGGTCTTCCGGCTTGGTGCTCTCGCTCGTGTCCTCGTCCAACTCGATTCCGAACTCGAAACATAGCTCGTCAAACTCTTGAGTGGTATACTCCCGGCCCAGTTCTTTGTAGAGTGCCGCCTTGTCTACCCCGATAGTAGGCATTTTGGCGTGTGATCAGTGTCCCTGGGACCTGGTAAACACGACCTTGTACGGATGGTGGGGTATTTGGAGGGGTAGTTGCGCTTCGGAGCGGACTGTGCACTGTTCTTCGTGTCTTGAATGCGCAAAGTTTTAGTGGTAGACGAGTCGGAGGCGTCAGAGGTCCACTCGGTGCTCAATTGTACGGCTGAGTGACATGTGCAGCGGCGTGAATTATTTGCTATGACTCCAAGCCTCCAGCAGGGACCGGAAGCCTGTCGGACCGGATTTGGCGCTAAGCCACGTTGAGACTCCATGCATGGGGTCGTATAACTCACAGGTAGCAAGCTTGAATACCAATCTTACTTGTCTAGTCGCATGTTTTATGTGTATAGATCGATTCATATCTAAAATCGTGTTTTCGATAATGTCACTATATGCAACGTGAACCCTCAGACGCCGTGAATGCCAATGCTAACACTCGGGATTCCCCAACCCTCATACCACAATTAGTCTCCCAGGAGCATCCTACCTGGTCTCCGTTCGCCGTGCTTTCCCAGCATAACAGGTCCAACATGAAGAATATTTCCCCTTTTGACAGCAAGGAGAGCATATCAGCAACTCTTGGTCTTATGCCCAGCACACGACCTTGTGTATGAGATAAAGATACAATATAGGCTGCCGGCAAACTGGAGCTTCCGTAGCACTACGCAGCACGGGTGTCGCAGCAGAGCCATTGCAAGCCTCTTAGAAATTCAAAGTCGGAGAAAGGTGTGTTTAATCCTTCCAATCCCAAACTTGCTTCAGGAAGTGCGCCATGTTGACCTTCTTCGATTTCATCTCGACCATCCAGGGATGTTCGAGCATCCGCCAGGGCGTGGCTCTTCGCGGACAGTCCTTTTCAAGACTATGACATGTTAGCATTGATGTGGATGCGTTATGATCATGTACATACCAGCACTCGATAAAATATTTAAAGTTCTCAGTCCACTTGATGCCGTTCTCGGGCTCATCCTTGAGCTTGGGAATGGGCTGTCGGACAATGTATGTGAGTAGATCAATCAGTCCAGCGCGAGGGTTCATCTCCGTTCCGTCGGCCGGGAAGGGGAATCGGTGTTGGGCGACTTCAAGTAATGTCACACCTAAGCTCCACACATCGCTGGTAATGGTGTAACTCTGTCCAGTGATGCGCTCGGGTGCCATGTAGTACGAGGTTCCAATGAAGGTGTTGGCGTCTCCCTTGGTACCGAATTCTCCCGAAACACCAAAATCGCATAGCTTGACTTGGCCGTTCCGGCACAGCAGAATGTTGCTAGGCTTGATGTCTCGGTGGATAATGCGATGAGAGTGGAGGTATGTCAACCCATTGAGCACGCCCTCGGCAACCTTGCCAAGCACCTTCTCGCCTGTGCGGCCTCCAAGCTTCTTGACCTCCCGGTATACCGCATCTAGAGATCCGCCCTCGCAAAACTCCATGGCGATGCTGATAGTCCCTGTGCTGTCATCCATGAAAGCACCATAGTAGCGACAAATGTGGTCACTCGCGCAGTTCTTGTTAAAGGAAAGCTCTCGTACGATTTGCTTCTTGACATCGGGGTCCGGGTTTGTAGTGATGATCTGCAAGGGTTAGTCATGCTGATCGGGTACGATTCGGGGGGGCAGCTTACTTTGAGCGCAAACGTAGTCTTTCCGCCCTTTAATATACACTTTGTGACAGCACCACCGGCGCCCTCACCCAAGCTGCCCTTCTCCTCTATCATGCCTCTCGCGCTCGCCGCCCTCCATGCTGCGTCATCGAGATCGTCGACTTCTAGTGGACGTCCCTTCTCCACCGCCATTGCGTCTAGGTCGGGTAGCGGCTGGCTGCTGTTCGCTCTCTCCATTGAAGGCGCGCCTTCGCTCCCCTGTTGTGATATGGCCGAGATGGGGTCGGTAGCTTTCTGTAGGCCAGGAAAGCCCAGTGCTGCGTGGTAAGATGAAGCCGAGCCGTTTGCTTGGACTTCACCAAAGCTGCCTGACCTAGAGTGTGCGCTCGCATCGCTCGAGCCAGATGCTGACAAGCCCGCGCCTATCTGCAGCGGCGGTAGCCCCCTCGGGTGTGGCCTGCCTTCGTGTGGTGCATTGTTGCTGCCCATGGGGGTCACGACACTCAGCTTTGGTGGCTGGCGCGGTTGTGGTGCATTCAAAGTCGGTATGCCATCACTCGTCCCATTTGTGACGGGTCGTGCGTTTGGTGAGGGTGGTATGGAGAGACCGAGTTGTGGTGGACCTCTCCTCCCGGGGCGTGCACCAGGAATCGGCGGTCGAAGGAGGGGCGCGGGCGACGACATGTTTGGATGTGGTTGCGGCGACGTTGTGTTGGTGAACGGCTGCATCTACAGACTAGATATGTCCGTCGCAAGGAAGCTCTTTGCGACTCTGGCTGGGACGGAATTTGATGCAGCTGTATTGATCGAGGATAGTGAGGGTAGGTAGGGGGTCTACTGGGGGCGCGGCAAGGCGATTGTTCGGGTCGGCCAGGAGTCACAGGCTCTTAGCTAGGCCTGGCTCGGGATGTCGGGAGGGGAAGTGGGTGGTGGTGTCAGTGGTGAAGGTTGGTGGGTGTCCTCGGTCCCAACAAGGTGGGTCGCTGCCGTAAGCCGACGAGCGTGCCGTGTGTTTGGGCAAAGCAAAACTCGACGGAGCAGTATCCTTGGGCTTTTGGCGTGGTGAAGATGGCGGCCGCGCGGGTTTAGACACAACGAGTGACGTTGATGGCCACGAGTCACATGCAGGTGCAACTTGACAGGCGGCAGGCGCGACGGGTGCGGAAAGGGCGCTGTTACAAGACCAAGGGATTTGTTGCGCAGAACCGGCAGGTGACGGGGCGCTGTTGGCGAGGGAAGGAAGAAGAGGCGGCGGGTCGTTGGGTTTCAAGTTTCAAGAGTCGAGCGTACTGGAGGGGCTCAAGACGGGTAGTGGAGAGCGAGTAAGCGCGTGCGTGAGGCTTGCCGACAAGGGGACTAGACCGCCATATCCAGGCACGCAAATGTGGTCTCCCCAAGCGCTGAGAGGCCGTCTGGCTTTTATAACTGGCTCCAGAATTACCTTTGATTCATCTTCCACTCGCTGCGTAAACAGACCGTCATTCGAGCTCTAGGGTCTATGCGCTGCGAGGTACTGTACATTGCCGCCGAGCTATGCCCAACTGCAGCAGGGCCTCCTTTTGGTCAAGGCTGGTGTGAGAAGTGCAGACTCAAGACCCTCGAACTCATCCCTGTGCGCACGCGAGAACAACCCCCCTAAGCTTCCACATGTCCATCCAATCGAGGAACTCAATTCCTCTCCGAAGCGCATCCTGGCTGACGTTGGATTGGACCCCAGCCACCATGAGCAACGGGCTGCACGTTTCAGCGCTGAGCAGCTACGTATGTAGATGGCCCACCAACATCGACATGCTTTCTTCCAGCTTGCGCCTGCATATTGCGCCCAAAACAAGAACAAGAACAAGCCTATGCGCTCTCTCAAGCACCTTGGTTCTGCAGTACCCCAGCTTTCCCTTGACCTTGACCTTGGCGCCATCGCCATCCCCATCTCATACATCTTGCCATTTACAGAAGGACCCCATATCAACATGAGAGCGGGCGCTTGTGTTGGCCATCGCCGCCAATGGGGCCACCCGCCGATGCGTTGGTGCATGGAGCACTCGACGGCCCTGAACCGCCAGGGTGCAAGTGCGATAGCAGAGCCCCGCTGCAGCCAGAGCTATCAATAGCAACACCACCATTCCCTTTAAACACATGATAGACTTCGTCATAATACGACGAACCACTCGGTCCTTTGAAGTTAACCGGCCGTGCGAGAGGTAAGAATAGCCATTTCGATAAACTAAACAAAGACTGTTGCAGCGTGTGCATCCTCCACATCCACTACTACTTTGTTCATCTTTCCCTAATTGATGAACGTACCGAGTCTCTCCTGAACGAACCCATCCTCTGAACCCGACTGCATCTGCCGAACAATGAGAGAACACGCATTCAACCTTCCGTCACGACACCATCCTCGTCTCCCTGTGCACTGTCATGGCTTTCCCTCGTCTTGTCATTTCGTACCTTCATCTCTTCCCTTTGTCTCTCCTTCACTTTCTTCGGTTTCTTAGCACTGACTGGTCCATCCGCACTTCTATCTTTCCACTGTTCACATAGCATCAGCCATATCATGCTTCCAACATCCCCGAGAATCTTACCATGCCACCATATCGGTAATGGGGATATTCGTCTTTCATTCCTTTAGCATCTTCAATGCCTCCAGATACAGACTTCCAGCATGCACCGGGGCAGACGAAGTGCCATTTTTGCGTGTCGTCGATTTGACATCGGACAAGCACATCACGCGGCTTCGAGCATATCGTACACGACTTTGTCATTTCGGTGGATTTGTCGGGGGATTGCGCAGTGTTGATGAAGTAGCTTGTCAAGCATGATACTAGTACATGTACCTGTCAGAGTGATGACATCATAGCTTTTTTTGAACTTTGGGTGACAGCGCTAGCTCTAGTGTCTACCAGAGATGCAGAGAATGCCATCATCTCTTGGGAGCCTCAGGTACTAAAAGATTTGTACTTCGAATTCGCGGCATCTCATATTTATCTTCTTCTAGTCTCGCTCGGGATAACTCATCATGACCCCAATCACATTTTTTACTACACTCGCCTGCATACGGGTAAAATCGCGTTGCTGTATCAGACCCCGGGCTAGATAAGATGGTAATGCAGTGTGGCGAAAGCACATTTGTGCTCCATCCAATCAATGTGGCGCACGTGCTAGTTGGTGCCGAAGTGCAGTCAGGCTGATGTATGCACGTCTCGTGTACTGTCTCTGCCCCAGGGCTATAGGTCCGGGACCAACGCGGGGAGTTTAACCTATTGTGCTCCCATTCCGTGCAATTGCATCTGAAACAAGGGTATGAACGGACCTTCTCTGATATGTCTAGATATTGTGATTAGAAGATGTGTTTGTAAAAATCGACAAGTTCTGAAAAATCCGAAGCGACGCTCGCGTATAGACGGCCCGCCGTCTCTGGCTATTACATCACATCTCCCCATACTTCTCCACCCATATCTCACGCCATCTTTCGTCCAACAGCCATTCGGCATCCTCATCTCTCAGCACATCTTTGATACGCTGTCCGTTTCTCTCAAGAGCTTTGCACCATCCCTCCCAGGCGCCACATCGCTTTGAGTACATACTGGGTGTCAAGCCATCATGATCACGATGATGTATATCCACGCCCGCCTTGATCAATGCATTTGAAATCTCCGTAATGGCGTCTTGGTCACCGCCATCGTCATTTATGACGACGCAGCTGCAGCGTTGAATCCTATTGCGTCCCAAACTGCCTAGCGCATTGACATAGACGGCATCTTGCGCGAAGAGCGGGTTCATGAGCGTGGAAACCGAGTCCCAGTCCCATGGCTGGTCGTCGAGCATGAGTGAGTCTGGAACGAGCTTTTCTTTCTGCAGCCGCCGGATTTGTTGTGTGAGTAAGGAGCGGGGGCGCCTGCGGTAGTAGTCCCAAAGAAGCATGTTCATTGTTGTTTCGAATAAAAAGGATAATGTGTCGTACACTTTTTGGAGAACGTGATCAACAGAGGTCTCAAGCGCAATACGGTCGTAGTCTATCATTGAGCGCTTGAAGAGACCTGCTACTAGGCTTATATCATGTCTGTTGTATGTTAGTACTGGTTTATCGAATATGTTTCTCAGTTGGCTTACTTCAGATTCGCAATACCGATGCCCTGGCTATCTAGGTAGTCGAATATGTCCACTCGTGCATGCTCTGCAGCGTACTGAGAAGCGTCAGTATTAAACTTCCCTCAATCCTCAGTAACACTCACATATAGGCACAAGTTTCTCCCTTCCCGGTTGATATGGTACGGTGAAATTACGCCATTTCGTAACGCGTCGTCGATATCTTCAGCACTGCCATGAGCAAAAAGCTCATAGTAATGAACCTCCGACTCAGCCAGGGTAAAGACATTGAGTTGCGCACTTAATCTTGGTCCTGATTTACCGAAGATTTCGCGTAGAAAGTGTACATGTATGGCGTGGATTGACTGGCCGATACCGCAGGTGAACGTAAAGCCAGCCTCGTCGTTGGTACGTTGAACTTTTGACTCGGTGGCTTGTTGGGGAATATATACGCGAAGAATTCCAAAAGCAGTATTATGGGTATACGTTGGCTGATCGCTCGTTGACGGTTTACTAGGTGGCATCTTTTCGTACACATCCTCCACGGACCAGTGTTTGTCTGCCTCAGTTCTCGGGCCTCCTATCATACGCTGGGAGTTTTTGACCGGATGGCGAACAATGTTTTCGGAGTAGTGCCATTGGTCTAAAGAAGTGGCGGTAGATCGATGATGCCTTGCCGCCTCTTCTTGTGCTGCCGACGCAACGAGATTGTCGAATTCGAGTTGCAGCCAAGTAACCTGACGAGCCGAGAAACTTGCCCCGTCTTCAGAGAGTAGACGCTTGGATGCATCTGCTAGTTGAGACTTTAGTAAGAGTAAGTAAGCCATGATCATGTCCCGGTGTTCACCGAAGAAGAAGATATTCCGGTTGAAAGTACGTTCAGCCAGGGGTAGCCGGAGCCTCTCCAATTCAGCGGCAATAACATCTTCGATCTTGGCAGAAAGAAAATCGCGGGTCTTTTGATGTTCGCTGAAATTCTCCCGATGCGTCACGTTCAAGACCTTGGAGATCCTGCGTGTGTCCCTCTGGATGCTATTCGAGGTACGTGCCAGCTTTGCTTGACAATGTAACGCATTTTTTTGGTCCCTACGAGTCGCCGACAGTAACTTGCGTTCTCTTTCATGTCTTCTCACTATTTCCTGATGCTGGTCATCCGATCTCTGTCTAGAAGAGTATAAGTACGTGTCTTGGTAGATCTCCAGTCCGATGTATCGATTGTTCAACCACCACCAATCGGTGATGTTATCAATGAAGACGTACCTGCTAGCAACTTGCAAAGAATTTCCAAGGAGGCTCTTTGACCGCTCAAGGTTTTCAAAGGCTTTATTGAGTTTGCGCTCATCCAGCACATACCTCACCCTACTCCAAGTATTGTTTCCGCCTCTGAATCTTGCAATCAATACTCGCAGATTTTGCAGTTCGCGATTCATGCTCTTGAGTGCTGCTTCGAACAAGCCAATTGACTGTTCCGTCACTTCCGTTTGCTTTCGTTTGGCGATTTTATCCAGAAGCTGCTTTGCGGTCTCAGCGAGTATAGCAACCTCCTTGACGGTTGCGCATAACCGATTGATCTCCTCGGGCGCACCGGCAATGTTGCGTAGAAAGCCGTGAACTTCGCGACCCGTTCTTACGGCAACGTCAGCCGCACCAACAATTGCAAGGACTCCAGCGGCCAATTCCAAGGTTCCCGACATGGCGGATAATGGCGAAGATACAATAGACACACGTCACTAAGTATACCTGGGGTTATCGAGGGATGAAAAGGGAGCCCGCTTGGATAATCTACCATATCGCTCAGATGGCTTCGCCAGTAGGTGCAACCCGTCTTTGATCTCAAGTTGGTTGTAGCTGATGCAGCCCACGCCCTGTGCAGCCAAGCCATATGGTGTAGCCTATCAATGCCAATCCGCCCCAGCCGTTCATCCCGAAATGTCTGGGCGCGGAGTTTATACCCCAAGTGACCCGAGAATAGAGCTAAGGCACCACTTAATTAGAGTCTAGGGGGCTTCAGGCAACCATGAAGTTGGTACCTAACCCAAGTAAGGCAAATGGCGGAATGATGTCTTAGGACCGATGCAGGTGATCGAACGATAGAATACCGATGACGCCTTTTACTGGTTGTGATGAATCGTGCTCACTCGAACACAAGTCGGACAAACGTTGTTATCTGACTTCTTGTGGCATGGCAGTGGACAGGGGCCAACGGGGCTGAAGGCGAAAAAAGGCAAAGGTATCAACAGCCACCAACGAAGGTCAACCCTAGAATAGGCGCGTCGATCTAACGGTCTTGGTCGAGTACCGATGCAGTGGAAACTTTCCCAAGAATCTGAACTGTGTTGATCGATCTCTGCTGGCGGGTTTGACGAGGCTGGCAAGATCCCAGTCGTTATGACATCGCAACAACGCAGCAGTGAACTAGATTAGGAAGTTTTCCCGTAGAGACACAAGCAAAGCATGTAAATACTGCCCGATTCATCACAGACGACAGGAAGGTGGGGTTGGGCAAGACTGCCATGTCAGCCGGTCTTCAAGCTTCAACAAGCACGGCCCGCTCCGGACCCCGCCTTCCCGATGTCCCTGTTGTACCTTAGTTTACTCGCGTCTGAGCTAAGGATAGCGCTGCATCACTTGCTTCAAGCTGTGCGATTGTCAAGATATTCAAACTAAGCTGGATTTACTATTGTAAATTTACCTGAGATAGAAAGTGCCTGTAAAAACAAAACAATAGGGTATCCTCTTACACGCGAACCCGCTACCCAAACGACACAAATCCAAATAATACCAAAAAGCTTTTACCCATCGTCACAATCAACACCAAAAAGCAGCAAGTAAAACTCAGCCAATATGGCTAACATCACCGAACTCTACTCTGCCCTTCCCACCAAACCGTCCACTACCACGTCCCCCCAAACGTCCCGCAGCTCCAGTTGCGGCCACACTCCCTCCAAACCCACCTTCTCGAAGTCTTCGTTCGAAGCTTGTTACACCACCAATTGGGGCTGCTCCCAGGCTAGGATCTGGGTTACTTCGAACGGGGGGTGCACTCATGCTACCCAGTGTGAGGCCCGCTCTCTCACGCTCTAAACCCGAGGGTAACGGTCGACGTACGGGACTCTGCACACGTAGCTGCTTCTCCGGACTAGGGGGTAGCTCTGGGTGCTTGGCTCGAGCTACACTACGTTTCGATGGCGTCTTGAGATATCCGGGTTTACTTGTTGGAGGAGGAGGCATGGGCGTTCCCGTCCAGAAGGTTGATTGAGCGGCGTCGAAGAAATCAATATCGGACTCTTCGTCTTCAGCAATAGTCGCTGGCTGAGGTCGAAACGCGGATTGTGACTGGCCAAATGTAGTTGAGCGACGGAGAATGGAACCTGGTGGCCGGGCTGACGATGAGAGCGGAGGACGAGAGTATGCATTAGGCGTGAAGCTCGGGTACCGCTTGGGCTGCTCTGGTGTAATCGATAGGGAGAGATCAAGGTCATTGTTCAGACCTAGTGCTGTTTCGTCGAACGCAGACCAGCCTTCCAGACGTTGCGTTTCCTCGCCGGGCTGGTCTAGGCCACCTTGATCACTTTTGTCATTGTCGAGGCGATCACCCAAGCCTGCGCGGTCGCCGCCATTGTTGCCGTTGTCATGATCGTCATCACGGCGCCTTCTCCGCCTAGGCGTTGGACTTGCAGAACGTTCTGCAAGCCGTTCATTGGCCCTCTCCAACCAGAAGCGTACCATGGCCCTAACATGCTTCTCAAAGTTCCTGTCGAACAAGGCTCTGGCATTGTCTTCTTGTCGGTGAATGTTCCATAGTCGCCAGCCCATCTTCTTGAGAGCGCCTGTAGCAGCGAGCTCGGTGCTCTCTTGTCGGAGAGCTACAGCCTGAGCGTCCATAGTTTGAAGCGTGTTGATGCGCTCTAACCAATGCGTGAGGTAGCGAGTAGAGACTTTGAACGCATGAAGGTTGGCAGCCTGAGCATCCTGCTGGCCAAGTACAAGCATGCGGTCGTGCCATTGATGTATGATTGCAGCACTATTTTGCAGAGTGCGGCTGTCGCACATGTCATTCGCTCTCTGAGTGAGCGCTGCAACATGATTCGTATTGCTTCTCCAATGTTCGAACACTCTTCGCACAAGGTTCGTCTTGACCGTTCTACGGACTTGCGAATAGGCGTCGCGCCTGCGGTTGCGGCGTGCATGCTGTGTAGCTTCGCTCCATGTCTTTAGCGTATGCTTGCCGAGGACGTAGAAGCGTGCGTCTGCCGACCATTGGTTCAACAGCTGGAAGTGCTCTTGCCTCTCTTTGAGCTTGTCAAATATTCTTTGCTTTAGCTTCTGCTGGTATTCTGCCACTATCGCAAACTCTTCTGCTCTTTTCACCGTAGTGATGGCCTCCATCTTACGCAGGCAGGTCCGCAACAATTGATTTCGCTTAAACTGCACAAACCGTCGTTCCGCCGCATCCAAAGTGTTCGTGCGCTGGTTCGTCCTGGTAATCCATGTCAAGAAAACGGATTCCTTGAGCTGCCGGTTGTGTACGCGTTGGAAAAGAGATACCCTAGATGCCAGTGTCCATTTGTAGAGCGACTCTACGATCAGACGATCGTTGATTCGGTCTTCCAAAGCCTTTATGCGTAGTCTGTCATTCCAAGCAGTATAAGCGTTGCGTAGGACACGCATTCGGTCGACATTGCGAGCTTGGCGTGATAGCTGGGCGTCTTTACGCCAATCCTGGAAAGCCGTACTCAGTACGCGGCGATCAGTGCGCGCCCGGAACTGTCGAAGCAGCGGCTCGAGTTGTGCCTGCTTCTGTATTACGTGAAAAGCTGTGCGAAGTATGCTGTTCTGCTGGAAGCCATTCGCTTGTGATTGCATGGTCTGGACAGCTGCGGTTCTCTGTCGCCACGCCCGAAAGGTCTTTCGCAAGACCGTAGCATCCCGCCGATCAGTAGCCCAAGCATCCCGTTCTCTTAGGGTTTCCGCTGTTACGTGCCACTTCTGCAGGGAGGTCCTGACCACTCGTTTGTCATGCCAATTTGACGCTCCCCTTTCCAGGTACGCATCGTTCAATGCCTTCCACGACCGATTGACGAGTTTATCTTCATAGTATTCGCCAGCGAACTGATCTCTGTTTCTCACTTCAGCCGTACGTGCACGCCATCTGGAGAGGAATTTCGCGAGGGCAAAGTGCTGAATCTTGAGCTCATTGACCGCTGTAATGTCGCGCCAGCCGTTGAAGAATCGTGTACGTAAGATATGGCGCCGGGCGACCGATGTGCGTTGGACCTCATCCTCGGCGCATTTTGCCCAGTGCGTGAAGGCTTTGGTGAGCAGAAAGAGACTCCGGGCCTTGTCGGCTCTCGTCTCCAGCCGATCGAAGAAGCGATTTGTCTCTCGAGCAGATCGCCTCATGAGAGCGGTATCACGTAGCTGCACGATAGAAGCCCTAAGCAGGACCTGACGGTCAAAGGCAATGGCGGCTCGCTCCATGTCGTCGCGCATGTTCAAACGCGCCTGTGTGCGGTCGCGCCATATCCGGATGCATTCCCTTGTCACTCGATGTATCCGTTGTTCTTCAAACGTCTCGGCATCGTCCATCAACCGCGTGTCAGAAGGTCGAAAGGGTTCGGGAGCAAAGGGCTGCTGCTGACGCGGGGACTCGTAACGATCATCGGGGATGGGCGCGTTGACACCCGGTATCTGGATACTAGAGATATCGAAGCTGGCTGTACGGTCGGTCAAGTCGCTCTCATCTGCGTCGTGATTTACGATCTTGCGCGTCTCTACTGGTCCACCTCTTCTTATCTGCAGACTGCCGCGACTGGAGACAGAAACTCTGCGCTTGTGAGCCGGGGGTTGTTGCGCCGAGGTTGAGCGGCGAGGCACGTTGCCGTTCACTTTGGCGCGCACGGGAAACTGCGCTGGCTGGGAGGAATGCGCCTCTGTATCCGACCTCGAGCGCCGCTGGCGGGCTCTGTCGCCATAACCATCCGGGACACGTTGCTGTGATGCTCTCCTTGGGCGCACGGCTAGATCACCATATTCAACCCCGGCGACCTTGTCTGCAGTCCCGTCAAGGAACGAGTCGAAACTTCCTGTTCGTCCCAAGGTCGGCTGCGCTTGGTTGTGGGTCTCGTCTACATTAGACAATGCTTGAATCTCCTCGGTGCCTCGCTCGACTTCATAACCAAAAGACTCTAACATGACGCGCTGGAAACGACAGAACAAGTCCTCGCCCTCACGTCCATGCTCCTGCATATGGGACAGGAAGCGGTGGAGGACGGCATCATCGCTAGGCAGTTTATGTTTTGACTCTAGAACATTGTTGTACGCATCGAAGAGGGCGCGCGAGGGGTTATCCGTCGATTTCTGCGCCAAAGACACGATATCATAGAGCGTCTCAATAGCTGCAGCAACATTAGTCTTGAACAGAATTGAATAAAGAGAATAGTGGAATTACCCTCAGTGGTCAAGTCCTCGCTGGTCAGATCCGTCGGTCTATATCCATTTTGGCTCATGGAGGGTAGCATTCGTGCACGCGACTCGGTCGTCTCCGGCGCGTTCGCGACAACATGGAAGTAGCTGTTGAGCCCGGGGATTCTGCAAACTACCAAAAAGCGGCATGCGGGACGATCGTGATAAACGTGCAAATTGCGCGCAATTGTTAAGCATTACAAAATAGTATGGATGGCTGCGTGGTCTAGGGGAACCGTTGCGCCCGCCGTGAGAGCGTCGCGCTTTGTTGTTCGGGTGGTTGGTCGCCCATTCACGCCTTGGGAAATGCCAAGGCCTTAACTTAGTGCTGTGGACCCATCGTTGACCTCATCTAGGAACTACGATCGTGTAACATTGCACGATCCAAAACATCACCCGTTTGCCCCAATTTGAGTTTTGCAGCCAGTTCCAAGCCTAAAACAAGAAGAGCCTGACATTTCCACAATGCCTGGTCGTACCCGTCCCATCGACAAGCTCGCCACAGCAGCAGCAAAATGCTCGACAGAAGTACGCACGTCACTCCGTCATGTAATGTTGTATCTAACACATGCCAGAGCTCACTTTACGGGAAATGCATCTTTGCCGACTACAACAACGTCCGCAAAGACATGTGCGCCAACGAATTCATGAAACTAAAAGAATGTTATCTGGTGGGTTCTTCTTCCGCCGACAATACATGTTTTCTAACCTCGTCACTTAGAGGGCGTATAAACAACGATAGCATTTTCAACGTAATTTGACAATGAAACAGTTGTTTTACGATTCGAGTATTGCATTCATCATCCCTACAATTCACGTCGTTCAGAACGTTATGAAATTGTCCTTTTAACAGGACCTATCTACTGCTAGGCCAACCTCACAGCTTGATCAACCGAAGCATAAAGGTCGCCTTATGAAGCTCTTGCTCCTCTTCAGCAATCACCTTCTCATTGCTGTTCTCTGGGATCTTGCCTTCGACCTCCGTAATCACGTGCTTGTCTACGTTTCGCCGCAGTGCCTTTTCAAACAACGGCCCCTGGTTCTCAAAAGCCTTCTCCAAGCCCACATTCTCCGGGTCGCTCAGCACTCGGTACTCCATGCCTACATCGTCAGTCGGCACCAGCCCAGCCTTCTTCCTCAAATCTTGCACACGGCGGATAACCTCTCGCGCAAGTCCCTCTTGCTCGAGCTCGGGATATGAGGCGACATCGAGGATGATCAGAACATCGTTGTCGGTGTTGAACTCCTGGTCCTTGTTGCCGGAGTCCTTGGCAAGACCACGCTTGACCATCAGATCTTCAGCCTCCAGTTTGATGCCATCTACAACGATCTCGCCACTCTTGAGGTAGTCCTTGATCTCCTGACTCGTGAGGTTTGGTAGCGCCTTCTTGACCTTGATAGCGTCCTTCTTCAGCTTCTTGCCAAGTACTGAGAAGTCTGCCGATGCCGAGTACTGGACGTTGTACTTTTCCTCGTCGCTTGACAGGACTATATCCCGAACATTCAGCTCTTCCAGGATATAGTTTTCTAACGACTTGATGTCGTCGAGATATTGTTGTTCGGGATGAATGACCACTAATGTCTTCAGAGGAATCTTCAATCCCTTGTTGGCACGGTCTCTGCAGATGCGGCCAAGCTCAATGACGGACTGCATGCGCTTGACTTGACGTTCAACGGCCTCGTCGAACAGCTCCTCGCGCACTTCTGGGAAAGGTAGGAATTGTATACTCCGGTTGTCTTCTGCGTGCAGTTCCTTAGGGATGTGAGGCAATAGCCGGAGGTAGATGTTATCGGTGATGAATGGTGTGAAGGGTGCGAGACCGCGGCAGAGTGTGTAGAGAACTTCGAAGAGAGTGTTGAGCGCATGTTTGGTGTCCTCCAGACCATGTTCACCCTTTAATCGACGACGGTTGAAGCGGATGTACCAGTTCGTTGTATTGTCGATGAGCTCAAGTAGTCGAGGAACTACAGTGTATAGCCTGTAAGCCGCCATCTCCTCGTTCACAAACTTCAGGAGCGATTGGCAGGAGGCCAAAATCCACCGATCAAGGACATTGGCATTCGTCTTTCCAGCCGCTGGATCAAAAACAAAGTCCAGATCAGCGACCTTCTTTAGCAGTGTCACCTGCTGCTCAAAGAACTGGTAACTATTCCAGAGAGGTAGTAGGACCTTGGAGACAATCTCCTTGACGCCTGCCTCCTTGAATCGAAGCGTTTCGGCACGAACAACGGGCGAGTTAATGAGATATAACCGCAGCGCGTCAGAGCCGTAGTTGTTCATAATCAGGGTAGGATCTGGGTAGTTCTTGAGGCGCTTCGACATCTTCTTGCCATCCTCTGCAAGCACGATGCCGTTGACGACACAGTTTTTGAAAGGCAGTTTGCCGAAAAGATGTGTTCCGAGCACTGTAAGGGTGTAGAACCAGCCACGAGTTTGGTCTAGACCCTCAGCAATGAAATCACCAGGGAAAGACTTCTCAAATTGCTCCACGTTCTCAAACGGGTAGTGAGCGCTGGCGTACGGCATAGAGCCCGACTCAAACCAGCAGTCAAAAACCTCGTTTGTTCTCCGCAAAACACCCTTGCCGTCTTTGCTAGGAATGGTGATGTGGTCGATCTTGTCGCGGTGAATGTCTGTGAGCTCACCCTCGTATCCGCTAAGCTTCTTCAGCTCCTCTACGCTCCCAATGCATACAACCTCCTTTCCATCATCACCGACCCAGATAGGAAGTGGGGTACCCCAGAAACGGTTTCTTGACACAGCCCAATCGGGTGAGTTTGTGATCCAGTTGGCAAAGCGTTTCTCCTTGACAAAAGAAGGTACCCAGTGAGAACCCGCAATGTTTTCCAGCATTTGTGGGACAATGTCCTGGATCTTGATGAACCACGAGGGAACTGTGCGGTAAATCAAGGGAGTGTCGGACCGCCAGCAGAAGGGGTAGCTATGGAGAAGCTGCGAATCGACAATCAAGCGTCCGGTTCCTTTGAGGTGCTTGATAATGCCCTTGTCTGCTGCCTTGACATGCTGGCCCTCGAAGTCACGAACGACGGCAGTGAAGCGACCCTGGTCGTCGACCGGGTTTGGTGGTGTTCGGGTGTCTGAAATGACGCCGTGTGCAAGACCGACGCGGTAATCGTCCTCTCCGTATGCAGGCGCCTGGTGGACAATACCAACACCGCCATCGGCTGTGACATAGGTATCGTTTAGGACCTTGAAGCCGTAGTCCTTGAACTCATCGTAGAGGTAGTCAAAGAGGGGCTCGTACTTCCAGCCCAGCATGTCCTTGCCCTTTATCTTCTCCACAATCTTGAACTTGGCCTTCTTCGGGTCTTTGTAGAGCGTCTTCATCAGGGATTCAAGCAGAATGTAGTGCTTGCCGGAAGCTTCGTCGAGGATCTTGACGTATTCGAAATCGGGATGCGCGCAAAGACCGGTGTTCGACGGGAGTGTCCATGGCGTAGTGGTCCTCTCTTCGGGTCAGAGGTTGTCGCAGTAGCAGCGTGAATCAACTTACCATGCCAACAGGCACGTGTTCGGGTCTTCCACGAGCGGGAATGTGACTACAACTGCCGGGTCTTGCACGTCCTTGTAGTTCTGCGAGGCCTCGAAGTTGCTAAGAGGTGTGGCCAATGCTGTACTGTAGGGCATGACCTTGAAACCGCGATACACGGCGCCCTTGTCAAACAGGCGCTTGAAGACCCACCACTCTGTCTCCATGAAACTAGTATCCATAGTCTTGTAGTCATTGTCGAAATCGATCCAGCGGCCTAGGCGATCAATGGTCGCCCTCCATTCCGTCGCATATCGCATGACAATCGCCCGGCACTTCTCGTTGTACTTGGCGATTCCGATCTCACGCACAGCATCGCGTCCTGACATGCCCAGCTCCTTGTCAATCTCGTACTCGATGGGCACGCCATGAGTATCCCAACCGAACCGACGCTCGACGTAGCGGCCCTTCATAGACCAGTACCGCGGAATGATGTCCTTGATCGTGGACGCCAAAAGGTGCCCATAGTGGGGCATACCAGTCGCGAATGGCGGGCCATCGTAAAAGGTATACGGCTGCTTGCCTTTCGACTATCACGGGATTAGTCCATACGAATACAGTGAATGGGAATTTCCGCGTATGCAAGAATGCTCAGACACACAGGCAAGACACGCGTGGACGGACTCGCTCCACCATGGAGCGCATTTTGTCATGGCTGAGACACTTCAACATGCACAAACTTGGGCACTTACCAACTCAACCTGCCTTAGGAAAGCATCGATTTCCTTCCAGCGTGCGAGAATGCGCTCCTCCTCCCGAGGAAAATCAATCGACATGGCGGCATGATGTTGGTGAACGGACTTCAGCGACCTTCTTCGATGTCTTTTTCGACTGTTGACTCCTCTGGACCCCCGCCACTAATTAGCCTGAGTCAGCTATCGATAACCTCCATAACTTTGCACCCCGCGCCTCCTCGCCCTGCAGGTACCCAAACCTGCAGAAGCGTCTAGATTGCTCTTCTGTTTCCGAAAAGCCACAGGTTCGAACAATCTGCGAACGTCTCCGTGCTCCTTTATTGTGTGAACGCCTGGTTTTATTGAAACACGATGCCCTCCATCCAGGTGTCCCCGATTGCCCATCACAGCAGATGCCTGAGGCTGATGTGTATGGATATTGCACCGTTCGGCTCCTTTGGACGGTGAGGCTGGTGCCTTTGTTGCAGCAGACGCGTTAGAGACGCCAAATCGTGAAACAATGTCTCGTCAGGTTGCTGTTGGAGTTTCCCGGCCCGAGGATGGGTTGAAACAATGAGAGCACTAGCCTGTATGGGGCTGACGACTATACAGAGCAATACAATACAGCAGCCAGCGACCGTACGACCATTGCAGAGTCGTCGAGATATCTCCAACCATGCATTCCTTTACCGTCTTTACCAGTCTGATCTTCTTCTTTTTCGTCACCTCACATGCCCTCCCACAAACCCTACCTGCTGCGGCAGAGGCCCTACGTAATGATACCATTCCAACAGAAAGCGTTAGTATCGAGAAGGGGTGCGCACAAGTAAGAGCACTGGAAAATCTCAACAAGCTTGCAAACAACCAAACCGCTCTCGATGCAATGGCCACACATGGCAAAATCGCTCAAGGACGGGCCGACTGGATCAAGAACAACGACGACAAGATTGTTGCGAAACTCGATGCGTTGAAATCAAACTCGACGCTTATGGCCGGCTGCGAAACCATCAATGCCCAGCTTGATCTCTCCCGAAGATGCGCAAAACTGCAGAAGCTACAGAAGCTGGTCGATCTGGCACTGGACGAGAAGGCCCTACTCAACACGACCGCTGGAGACTTCCTCACCGAGGACCAGAAGGACCGGTTACAGCAAAAAGCAGATGAAGTGGAGCTGAAGCTCCAGAAGCTCAAGAGCAATAGTACGCTGACCAGGTTGTGTGCGGATGACATCTCTCTGCAACAGGATGGTGTTATTGGAATGCGTGAGTCTTCTCGGTCGTTTATTCGAAACGGGATACTGACCAAACACAGCAGATAACGCGGAGAGTAAAGATGCAATCAGCATGGCCAAAAGCGATGCAGTCATAAATAGACTCTCGGCTATGGCTATTACATACCTTATTCTTGTATCATTGTTTTTGGCCTTTCTCTTTGTCTAATCCGGGGTTGTGTCGATTATCGCCAGCGGTCATTACGAATTTCCTTACTGTCCTACTTTAGCTTCGCTTCTTCTGCAGGCTGGTCTCACTGCAACGTTTATCACTGTGTAGCCATTTTTAAGTCTAATTTCGCACTACATTTCATTGTGATCTTTATATGCGGTCCAAGAGCGTAAGAATCATATGAGGAGTTCAGGGTTCCTTATAGTAGAGAGGCTTACATATTTTCTATTATTCCATATACTTATCTTCTGCCTTCCGCAAACTTTTATCATCGATCTCTTCATCGCGCATCCCTACTAACCCACCACTTTGCCTCATGTCCATCACATCTCACTGTCCCCTCTGCTGCTACCCTACCACCGTGTAAAGGCGCAAACCTCTTTACGACTTCATCGATGATATCCGCAATATCTTGATTGTCCATGGCGAAACTAAAGTCGTGCGTTGTGTTGGGTATGGCAGCTATGCTGAACCCGCATGGTGAACCGACCATGCGTTGGCGGTAACCCTCTGGTTTTCCTGTTAGAAGGGTGAATGTCAGTGTGATTTCAGGTGAAGGGATAATTGGATAGTGATAAGCGAACGTGTCGGCAAATATAGTAAGAGGGGTGGCTACCTGCAAGTGGTACAGCCCAATCTCCGGCGTCCATAAACACACTCCAACACGCCTCTTGACATTCCTTCACAGTGGGCGGATTTGAAGCTGACGTTGTGGTATCTACGTAGGAGAGTACTTCGCAGTGCCCGATGGTCTGTTTGTTGCCCGCGCAATAGTTAATCGAGGGGCTTAGTCCTTGTGGCAGAGCGGTGATGGCTGTAAAGAACAGCGACATTATCAAAGTGGTTCCGCGCATCTTGGTAGATTATTGATCTGAAGCTGATGTAAGATTACCGTTTAGTTTGACTGCGAAGTAGGTATCGTGGAGCGACCGCCAACTCGATTACAAGCTCATGGCTTTATACACTCATCACCACGTCCTAGCAAATTCATATATTCAAACCATCACAACTCCACACAGCGATCATGTTCTTTCACACAAATTCCATTGGGTGTAGACTTGGCTGATGAAATGTGATGTGATGTGACGTCCAATGTGATGGTGTATAGTGCAGATACGAACTCAGAGTGATCAACTCGGGTCCATACGGAGTCGTATGCGACCAATCACTCCCTTCACCGTCGGTCCAAAGGAAGATGCTTGGATCGGGATCGCCCGTCATGTTCATTGCGGCGTAGGTTGTTTGTACGACGTAAGCAGCAATGCAATGAATGCGCAAGGAGAGGGGGCCTGTTCGGCGCTTAGCAAGCGAGTGCATCCCTGCTGGCCAAAGGATGAGGTGGGGGCCGCGACCAATAAATTCGGTGGATGCGACTTACACCGCTTCTATCAATTTCTCTAGGGTTATTTGGGTGTTGGTAATGTCGCTTCCTGTGGTGTTGAGCTTCCTGTGCTTATTATTTGAATCCGCTGCTTCCTTGTCGGTAAAGCACACCCATGTTCCCCTTGATCACAGGGACAGTGGAGCATGTCGTCCGCGTCGAAAAAGGGCCATGCTGTCTTTTGGATGTGTTTGCTTCCCATGGGGCACCGCCTACTGTCCATAGAATACCCATGAGACCTACCTGTTCGTCAGCATCAAACAAAAGCGATGTGCTGCTGCCTGAAATACGACATGTCTTTTTCTATATCAATATTATGCAGGTCATCATCAGCCTGTCCCAAATTCCTTATGTTGGCACATCACTTTGAGAATGACATCACAAGAAGGGGCATGTGTCTTTCTAGAAAAGTAAAATGTCTATTTGGTAAAATTCCTTCTCACAATACGCAAGATAGGTTATCAGTTGAAAAGTAAACACGGCTCTAGTCAAATTGTTAATCCTGACCACTCCGGAAACCACTACTCAAGCCCCTACGAAGACTTTTGCGCATTCGGATCGTCCGTGAGAACAACGTAGAAACCCATGGGGCACTGTCCGTTACCGTTACTCTGCTTGAAAGACAATATCGTGTCCTTGGAGCACAACGCTCCACTAACCGTAACCTGTCCAATGTGAGGTGGGATTCCACAAGGCGAGGAGTTAATGATGTAGCTATGTCCCGGCAAAAGCGTTGGCGGTGGGTTCGGTGGGCTAGGTCCAGGGGCAGGCTGGTTGTTGTAAGTCGTCTGACCTGGTACCGCACCAGCGTTGATGGCGTATCCTGTGAAGGTAAAGTGTCCGCTACCAAAGTAGACGTAGAGACCCTTGTCGTCAGGGAAGTCGAAGACGAGATTACAGATCTTGCCTTGGGTGGCATCCGAGTCGAGTTGCAGGTTGAAGATTGTGCAGATGTCGTTTGGGGTGACGATGGCCCACTCTACTGATGGGAAGGGTGTGTTTGGGCTTGTGGCGGCAATGGGGACTAGGGCTGATGTTGAAATGGCGCCATTGGGCAGTCTACCGTCGGGCTGTGCAGAGTTGGTAGGGCATTTGGGCTGGGGTGGTGGTGGTGGTGGTGGCGGTTTGCCATTTGCTTTGCCATTGGCCTTTCCAGGGTTCGAGAGTCCTGGTGGGCCTGGTGGAGGCGGTGCGGCAAGGGCTGTAGCCAAAAGCATAGAAAGAATAGCAAATGTCTTCATAGTGAGGTACGTAATATTGGTTCGACAGCTGTCATGTATCGGCGGAGGAGGCAAGTGGAGTACTTGCTGACGTAGACTTGTGGATACAAAACAAGAACCAAAGTGAAGATACCTTCTTTGACAGACAGCCTTGCCATTTTATACTTTTTCTTCCCTTTGAGCGTTCATTTCAGCTGCCCTTTCCCAGGCTGATTTGCATGTTACCAACACCCGATTAACGTTTCCGCACCAGAGCTGAATGCGCCTGATATTTCCGCAATTATACATTACTACTGAGTTGTAAGCACGCTAGAGGGTTGTGGCGCGCCACGTCCGGTGCAAGGAGGTTTAGGTGCGCCTCCACATCCTAGTATCTGCGGAAGAAACAAAGGCAGCTCGGTAGGCTTGCAGGTAGTGGTCGCTAGCTGAAGGTTAAGCTGGCAGATCGTCCTGGCCTCATAACGGCTGGGCGTTTGTCCGATAAAGTCAAGTAGCCAGGCGAACTATTGGCAGATGGTGTGTTTCAGATAGCCAAGGCAATTGTTCTACGTTTTACCTGTTCGCAGAAGTGCTGGCCATCTCTTCCCAAGGCGATCAGGTGTATCTAATGTGTGACTCAGTATGCCGGTAGTCTCAAAAGCCACTGGGTATTTGTGATGAGATGAGAGCGATGCCACTATGATGATCTGCAAATGTAGACGCGTCTTATATTGAATGCTGACGCCAAAAACAGCAGATCACAGCCTACGCGAAAAAGTAAACACCTTGGAAGCCGAGAATTTTCATCTAGAATTTTTAGTCTCCGCCGGGTAACTGCCGCTCTTCCACAGGATGCCATACGTATGAAAAGTGGCGTTTGCGGGGCGCACCTAGGCGTGGTCAAGCTTGAAACGAGCTTGTCTTTTGAGTTCAGCTGGTAGCCCAGATACAGTCCTTGAGTCATTTAAGAGTTTGTGAAAAATTCACATGTGTCGGTTGCAAATGTCGTGCCGTGGTATGTCGTACAAAGAAGACGAGAGGTGGCCGACCTGCAGGGTAGCTGCTGTGCGGCGTTTAACTACCAATTCAAGAGCCGACATTGGATCGCATGCAGTGCTGCAATGAAGATGCTGTACTCGGGTCGCATAATATGTCATGCAAGACGTCCACCTTACATTCGTTCATGGATCGAAACATTGAATATTCACCCTATGCGCTTCATCTCCCTTGCATAGCAACGCACATCAACGTGTAGGCTACGGAATGAACCCGTCGCATGTTAACCATGTGTCACTGAAACAGTGCGAAAATTACACATGTCAGTTGAAGGACTTTGTGTGAGGCAGATGCGGGAATAGGGAAAGGTGGGATGGCGCACTGGTTACACAAAGCACAGGTGCGAGGCAAGGGAGAATAGAGGCCAGAGGCTAATGGAACGTCATGTTAGTCGTCACAGAAGGAGAATCGAATGTCAGGATAGGTAAGAAGGAGATAGTTGTTCAAGAACATCTACCTCTACGAAGCGAATAACTCAAGAGAATCATGCACAGGGGGACGAAGATTTGTTTTCAAGATCGATTGCAACGACAGCATCCCCTACTAATTACAATTACCCTTTCCAGCGCCAAGGATATCAAACTGGAAGCGAAGGCAAATCCTCTATGCTAGATGCTCGTGTAAAGTCATAGCCTAGCCGTAGATAGGCTCAATTGAAAGATATGACATTTACAAGAAGAAAGCAGCGAAAGCACCGATACCGGCAGCGAAGCCAGCGGCGTTGAGAGAAGAAGCAGCACCGGGGAACTCAGGAGGAGCGGAAGGCTTGACGTAGCCACCAGTCTTGGTAGCGACACCGGTGCCGGCAGGAGGAACGCCAGTGCCAGCGGGGGGAACGCCAGTGCCGGCAGGGACAGAGGGGTAGGGAGCACCACCGCCGGGGATAGAGGGGTAAGGAGCAGGGCCAGGAGGAGTGGGCTTGTTGCCACCGGGAACCTGGGGGGTAGCGGTGGGGTAAGGGACGGTAACGGTGATGGTAGTGGAGCTGATGCAAGAGGTGGTGGCCTCAGGAACCTGGGGAGTCTTGGTGGTCTCCGGGTGGGCAGGAACCTCGGGGGTCTTGGTAGTCTCCGGGTGGGCAGGAACCTCGGGGGTCTTGGTGGAGGCAGGGTAGCCAGGAACCTCGGGGGTCTTGGTAGAGGCAGGGTAGCCAGGAACCTGGGGGGTCTTGGTGGAGGCAGGGTAGGAGGGGACCTCGGGGGTCTTGGTGGAGGCAGGGTAGGAGGGGACCTCGGGGGTCTTGGTGGAGGCAGGGTGGGCGGGAACCTCAGGAGTGGGCTTGCCAGAGGACATGGATACAACAGGGACCATGGGGGTGGGGGTACCCTTCTCCTCAGTGCAGGTGGTAGTGGCGGCCGGGACCTCGGGGGTGTGGGCCGGGTACTCAGGAGCAGGGGGAGTACCGGCTGGGTAGTTGGGTGCGGCCGGGCTCGAAGAAGAGGCAGCTGGAGGGGCAGCTGGGTAGCCGCCGTATTGGGGAACGGCGGCAGCAAGGCTGGCGAAAGCAGCGACGGCGATGGAGTAACGCATTTTGATGGTAGGGTATTATAAACGGTGAGGTGGAGTTGATAGGTGGGTAGAGGAGATGGTAGAGGTGTCGCGTGTGTATTAAGGATAGTATTAGTTGGTAACAACGAATGGACGACTCGAAGGTCAAAGGACTTGTAGCTCGAAAGGTTGGCTGTGAAGTGAGGGAAAAGTAGGTTGTGAGCACACTGTCATCTTATGTATCTCAGGGAGATTACCAGCACGGTAGCGCGGACCGGAAACAAGTGGCCACTGAAAGGGGGAGACAGGACAGGCGACAGGGGCACCAACATCTAGGCTCCGTAAGTGGTCTGGCGTACGTCAGGGCTACTGCAGGCACCAGGCCATCCTGCCGCGTTGCTAGCCACTCCGAGGACGTGCGTACCTGATGCTAGCACTCATTCGGCAGGTTGGCTGTAGATGGTTGCGGTGGCTTCTCGTGTTGCAGAAATGAGCGGCCGATGGAGCCTCTTGTGTTGTTGCACGAGGCCTGACCTGGCCGACGGCCGTCTATGTACCTACCACTACCCTACAGTCTTCCAGCGCCAGGCACTTCACTTCAATCGCGCGGCCAAGGGGAGGGGGACCACATCTCCACATCCATCACATTGTTGAATGGCACGTTCACTGCAACCGGCCTTTGCGTCGTGCGCAAGCAAGTGGCCATCTCGGCAGACTGCCTCTTCAGGAGACCCGACGTCCGCCTCCGTCCCTATCTCCCTCCCTATCGCTGCCCGTTGAACAGCGGTTCTCCACCATGGCATGGATCATCCATAAATGCGCTTGCGAACTGGAGATCATTATCCCGAAATAGCGTGTGCATGCTGTCGTCGTCGCAGATTCTGCAGGGCGCGTCAGCAACTTACTTTTGTTTGCAAACATGGCCATGACTACTGTACAGCCCTACTTTTCACCCCCCAAACCCACATGGCATCTTGCATGCTACGTCAGCCATGCGCCTTTGCATTGTCGCCGTTGTCCTACCGAGCGCTTCTGCGTGTGCGTGTGCGAAGCGCTGCCGCCCTGGGGCATAATGCCATTTGCAGAGACCACTTTGCCAAGAGGGGAGATGAAGCCCGCTTACCTACACGGCCTAGCGTCTTCTGTCCCCCGACCTTCATCTCGGCTTCGTTTCTGGCACCGTCTCAGTCTGGATGCTGACGCCTCCCCGAGTCCATTGAGTTGACCTTCATCTCCACTTTCTCACCCCGACTTTTCCTTGCATGTTCGTCATGAATCGATGCTTCCTCTTCGTATCTGTCATCTCGGCACCCACTGCTGGGCCTTGACCGCCTCGCGCCTGGCAAACACGTGCCGCCACATGCATTCACCCAGCAGTCAGCCAGCAATATTCCGGTTGGCGTCGGCGACACGGTCCATAATACCCTGCCAATCGTCTGCGATCTCGCCTCACGATAAATGGCGATCATATCGATGCTCGCCTTAATGGTTACCTTCTCCGGCTGGTGACATCGCGCCGGTAACGGAAGCGACGCATCGCCGTCACATAATTCCATAAAGAGGCAAAATCATGGCGCTTGTGTCTTGTGATTGGCTCAATCAAGTTCCTTCTGTCCTGGCCCGTGATCAACAGGGGGACCCACGGACACCTCATCATCTCCCTCGCATGCAGCGACGCAGTCCACGCACCATGTGCTGTTGGACCTGCAATCTACTCAGTAGACTCTGAAGCCTTTCTAAACTATCTTGCCGTTGCGGACATGCACCACCGGCTGGTCGCAACTCCTATTCAATTCACTCAAGGTCTATGCCTAGCACACTGCGGCCTAGATTCTCGCCTCTTCGGTTGGCCAACCAGACAACTGAACGTAGACAGGAAACCTTCGTCCTCGCTTTCCACGCAGAACTCCGTGTCCCAGTCACAAAAAATCTTCCCAAGCGTCAAGAACGTACACACTGATGTCCAGCTACATGCCGCAGACATCACATTAGATAGACTAGATAACCGGAATCATGAAGGCAGTTTCAATCCTCACACGCACAAAACAGTCATACCGGTCATATCTCAAATCCTTGTGCAATCCAGTACCGACAACTTTTCGATACTCCACACGCAACATACACCGCACTTACTAGACCTTCATCAACGCATTGTTTAAACTCACAGCAAGTCTAACTAGACCTTTCTTTATCCGCCCCGTCCCGACTCGATCATACGAGCTGCAGCCCCGGCTTTCCCAACCCACGAGACAATTACCATCTTACACCAGCCTACGCCATGTAAGCCTGCACCAACCCAGTAGTCCGGTACTGCGGCCATGTTTCGGGATCAGCTGAGAAGTCCAATTGCTTGCCTCCTCAACACAAGAGGCTTCCCAGGCCATTGGGCTGAAGCGCAGGATATGCCACGCTGATTTTCGTTCGAAACTTTTCTGCCAGAATCCAGAGAGAAACCATTCCGATTTCGCATGCCGGAACAACCGTTGAGGACAACATCATTACTACATTGGTAGCCAGGTCATGCACTTTTCCAAGGTCGGCTGCAATAGCACCGTGACGCCTGTACTGATGGTACTTTCAAGGCCTGCGGAACCACGTTCTAGGCGATACCCAATGTGTGTGTGTGTGAAGGTGAGGAACACAAAGACGTCTGAAACTGTGCAGGGAGACCGTGGACCTTGTGGTGGTGACATAGATAGAACAAAGTGGGATAAGGCGCCATAGAGGAGCTGTATATCAGACGGGAACGAGTGTTTCTCTTCACTGGATTTCAGAAAAGCACTCGATGTGTTGTTCTACCGCAGTCACCGAGGGAACACGTATACCTCAACATACAGCTCAAGCTTCACCACCAACGAAAAAAACACATGGGAGACAGTAGTTGGTCAGTGATAAAAGTGTACTTTATCCTATACTCACACAGGCCTAGGCATACATACAAACATCCATCGATACAAGTTTCAATGCCTGAGCCAACAACGCCTTGCTAAGAGAGAAGAAACATGTTCAAAGTCCGTTGGGAACCACACCTATGCAATTCATACCATCCCTTCAATAGCACATCAGTGTCCATGCTATGCCATGCCATGCTTACAACGCCTTCTTCAAAGTACAACGACACTACGCCTGGAAACGCCCATGACCGAAGAGACACGCGCGCCTATGAGTGATATGGCGCTCAATCGAATGTGGGGGGTCAACATGCGCCAGGCTATTTTTTCATCTCACAACTTCCGCCACCTTATGCCTTCATTTTGCCCAGGAACCCGTCAAGATCGAATTCCTCATCGTACTGCTTTTCGTCCCATAGCTCACCCAATTCATCCAAGAAGCCCTTCTTGCCCTTCTCCCTCAATGCACCCGTCGCATCAACAGCGTCGTTTTCGTCGATGCCCGTGCGATCGTCTTTGGCGTTGCTCGGTGGAGCGGGGAGCGCGGCGGGGTCATTCGAGTCGGCGGATACGTTGAAGAGATCGAGAATCTGGTCCGTCTGCATAGACTGTAGACCTGCGTTTTGTTGGTTTACCACTGTGGAGGCGATGTCGATCTTGAAACGTTGTAGACTAGAGGGCATGTTAGCGAAATTCTTTTCAGGAAATTCTTATGAGTACAAGGGTATACATACTTCAAGATCTTCTCCTCCAGAGTACCGCGCGTCACGATACGGTATACGTTGACCACCTTCTTCTGACCGATACGATGCGCGCGGTCCATGGCCTGAATATCTTTCTGTGGGTTCCAGTCGTGTTCGACGAAGATGACAGTATCCGCACCGGTCAAGTTCAGACCCAGACCACCGACGCTAGTCGTGAGAAGCAAGACATCGTACGAGGGATCAGTGTTGAACTTGTTGACAATCTCCTGGCGCTTTGTAGCTTCGACACCACCATCCAGACGCATAAATTGCACCGATGGCAGAAGTTTCTCAAGCACATTGTGTTGTACCATGTCGAGCATCTCTTTCATCTGGCAGAAGACCAGAGCGCGATGTTGCGACACAGCTTCCGGTAGGTCGCCGTTGGCATTTGCGGACTTGTCGCTGACTACATCAGAGGCACCAATACCGCAGTCTACGAGGAGATCCTTGAGAGCGCCGAGCTTTGGTGCGTGCACAATATCGTCAATCGTAGTGTTGTTCTTCTTCAGATACTGCTGTGTAGGCTCGTAGGCTTTGTTGGAGGGGCCCTTGACGACGAGAGAAGGTGAGTTGCACAGCTTCTTCATGTACTGTAGAGCCTGGAAGATATGTTGCTTGCTCTCGCGGTCGGCGTTGCCGGCCTTGGACTGTATCTCCTTGCCCTGGCGTTTGGTGAAGTCATCGAAGAGGTTGCGCTGGAGCTCAGACAAGTCGCAGTAGTAGTTCTGCAGAATCTTTGGTGGGAGGTCGTCCAGTACCTCTTCCTTGAGACGACGGAGGAGGAAGGGAAGGACCTGTTTGTGCAGAGCTTCAATAGCTAGCGCACCTCGCTCTTGCTCCTTTGAAGAGCTCTTAGCAAACCTAGACGCAGCAATGGGCTTCGCGAAACGCTCCTGGAAGACCTTCTCAGTGCCAAGGAAGCCGGGCATCAAGAAGTCGAACAGAGACCACAGTTCGAGGACGTTGTTCTGAATAGGAGTACCAGAGAGGATGAGACGGTGGTTCGACTGGAATTGCTTGACAGCCTGGCTAGTCTTTGACTTGGAGTTCTTGATCAGATGGCCTTCATCCAGAACACAGTAGTTCCAATTGATTGGCTTGAGAATATCGGCATCGTTCCTGCAGATGTCGTAGGAAGTGATGACAATGTCTACCTTGTCAAGCTCGTTCCTGTGTTGACCGCGAATCGGTGGCGAGCCAACGTAGGCGACACAGCTGAGGAATGGCGCGTATTGGCGAATCTCCTGCTGCCAGTGACCGGACAGTGTGGGCGGGCACACGATGAGCGATGGTAGACGTCGGAAGTTTGGATCGCCTGACTTGGCAAATTCCGCGGCACGCATGTGATGGTCGCTAGCCACCATGCAAAGCGTTTGTAGTGTTTTGCCGAGACCCATGTCGTCGCAAAGAATACCGTGAAGGTTGTATCGGTTGAGGAAGGCCAACCAGTTGACACCATCTTGCTGGTAAGAACGGAGAGTCGCCTTGATGCCAACAGGGATCTCGAAAGGCTCTACCTTCTTCGCATCGAGCATCTGAGCGACAAACTTTCGTTCCCGATCCCGACCCTTTAGTAGGGACTCTGGCAGATCGGGCGGATCAGGAATACCAGACTCCAGTGGTACGAGCTTGACAAGCGTAGCGAAACTAGTAGTCGCTAGTAGTCGGACATCGTTGTCGGAATCGCTCATACGTCCGAGAACAGGGGTGATCAGGAAGATGACATATGGTAGGATGGCGTCTTCCATGACGTGTATTAAATGGTAAATGCACTCGATGGCTCCTTGGCGGGCATGCACATTTCCACCATCACTGATAGTCGGTAGTACGCTCTCGACGAGCATCGTTACACCCTGAACAGACATGACGCTGCATATTGTCGCGAAACACTTGGCAGCTGCATATCTCAGGACGTAGAGCTTGCTCTGCAAAGCCTTTGCGATGAGTGGGAGGAGTTCTTTTACAAAATTTCTGACGCTGGGGTGGAAGCTGCCAACAAGGGCGCGCAAAGTCGAGAGAGCGTCGACAACTTCCTGGCCAAAGACGCCGTCCTCGTTGAAGATGTGCGCAGGGAGTGTCGCCTCTGTGAAGGCTTCTTTGATTGGACGTTCGATCAAATCCTTCAAGATGGGCACCTTGTCGAAAATCTCAGCGCCGAAACTCGAGACGACTTGTTCAAGACCCTCGCGAGCGCCACGTTTGGTAATACGAGCAGCCCGTGACTCTTCTGCAAATCGAGCAGCATCCGGGTGGTCGCGTATGTCTTCGTCCTTCTTGAGTGTAAGAATACCCGTTTCGATGTGTGATTGCCCAGCGAATTCGGGAGTTTCGGCCGTCTCCATGCAATAGAACTTGACCAAGTTCCCGACAACTTTGTTGACGACACCAGTTCTCTTTGCGTTGACCAAGTAAACGATGTATCCAGCAACGGCAGCCGCAGAGCGCTTCTGTAACTCGGCATTCTCTTCCTTCTTGACACTGTCCATCATAGCCTTGATGGGTGGTGATGGCTTCTTCGGAGGAGAGTTGAGCGCTACAAGTGCTCCAGCGGCAGCAGCCTTGATACGCACGTCGCGCTCTTCCTTGATGTCTTTGGCTTCCTGTATGCTCGACTCGACTTCTTTGCGGGCTGTCTCTAGATTGGTCGCCGCAACCATACGCGAAGACGGCGTCATGGCCTTCTTAAGCTTCTCGTATTGTACGGTAACAAGCTTCTCGGCATCTGGGACTCCGAATGCATAATGGTTTGAATTCGGCATACCCTGCACAAGCGCAGCGATTTGTGGTAGGTTCTGTACGTGCGCTTCATGGAAGATGCTCAGCAGCGAGTTGCATTGCGTTCGAACAATCTGCAGCTTTGGCACGAGGTCCTCGTAGGCTGCAGGTCTCTCGCCTTCCACCATGGGCAATAGAGCTTGAACAAAAGACTCTGCCAACACATCCTTTGCGGCCAGATTCTTGCCAAACTCCTCAATAATGATACAAGCCGTCAACTGCGTCGAAGAATTTGTGGAAGATAGTGATTTCAGGAGCCTTGGCTTGAATGCCTCAGCTCTTGACTCTTCAGGCCAAGCTCCCATTGCTTTGCCGAGAGCCTGTGCTGCAGAAGTCCTGGAGCGTATCATGACATCCGCCCCAATAAGTTCAAGGTCGCCAGAGATCATGTGTCCGTCGACATTGTGGGACTGGGTGGATGGTGTCGGTGTTGACATGTCATCCTTTCCGTGGCGAGACTTCTTTCTCCTCTTCTGGGCTGGTTCGTTGCCATCCGCAGGGCTTGATTTACGGTTCGGCTCGGTGCTTGGCGGTGGACCCATGGCCTGTCCCGAAGGCTTGATGAGTAGCGACATGTTGAGCGGGATTGGATGGCGAGAGACTCCAATGGGCGTAAGCGTGAGAGGAACAATGGAATCCAAGACAGGCTCCAAGAGAGCGGCTAGTCGGCTCCCCAAGCTCTCCACAACGGCATTCCAAAGCTGTATGGATAGCCTCAAGACGCCTTCGTTGCGCTCGAGAAGGATGTTCTGGAAGATGAGTTGCAATGCCTTGCTGTCTATCCAGCCTTCCGAAGTCTCGCTCTGAATGTTGAGAAACGTGATGAGCGCACGCAGTACCGCTGCACGAACACTTGTGACTGGTATAGTCGCAGGAACGGGAACAGCCTGGGAACCAGTTCGTGAAATGATTGTGCAGGGTCTTGCCGAGCATTGGCTTGCATTGCTTCCAGCACTTGAGGGAAGCCGCACAGCTTGGCCAGGAGGTCCATGATAAAGCCTGTACTAGCGCTCAAATCATCCTGCAAACTAGAAAGACACGACCAGACCACGTTCATCAATCCTTCAAGTGCCTTGGGACGCATCTCAATGAACTCCTTGGCAACAGGGATCAGGGTTGCTGCACTTATCGCTCGGACATCGTCATCGCTGTTGCTCAGGCCGCTGATGACTGCAGCGAGTACTCCGTCCATCAATGTGCCGTCCTCGAGAAGTAGGTCGTTGCGTACAGCGACAAGGTATCGCAGACCAATCATGCCGCCTTGACACAGGGCCCACGGTGCGCTAAGCGGGCTGCTGTCCAAGGGAAGGTCGTGGTGCATAATCAAGCGATTGAGAACTTGGAATGTTGCAAGCACATTGTCGCGGGACATGAACTGTAACAGTGAGCCGAGCGCTTGTCCGGCAGTCTCGCGGATAGGGGCGATAGCGCTGTCTCCGGTGAAATCTGCGAAGCGGTCGAGCATGAAGATGCAGATCATGCGACACGCCAAATCATTCAGCCACCGTTGATTGAGTTGATCGTTCTCAGTTCGACTGAGTCCCTTCCGTCTGCCAGCTCCGCCACCGTGAATGCGAAGGATTTCTCGGAGGCCCATGGCAGCACCATGGCGGACCTCCCAGGTGTAGTCGAAGAGCTCGACGGCGAGATAAGAGCAAACGCGTTCAAATGGCCACTCTAACCCTGCCTCCTCAGCCTCGGTCTGGAATGATGACTTCTCTGGTACCGGTGCGCCCTTGAACTCTTTTACGAACTTGGCATCGTCGTCCCCGCCATTGCGCTCCAGCGAGAAGTAGTCGTTGAGTCCATCGCCTTCGTCACCGTTTTCAGACTTCTCAAGCTTCAGAGCAATCGGATGTGGCCGTGCAGGGGTATCGCCTAGTTCTGATGTGGAGTCTTTCCGCGAAGTAGCGTTGAAGTCGACAACCTGAACTTTGTTGGCACCTCCAGCAGCGTTCTTTTTTGCCTTGCGCTTCAGGGCATTTTGCTGACGTTTGCTAAGTCCCGGGCCGCCATTAGGCGTGCCCAAAGGAGGTGATGACGCGGTGTTTGTGTTATCTGATCGCGGGAGGTTGGTGTCGATGCGATGTATGGCAGGTGTCTTGGGGCCGGGTGTTTGCGGCATGGCCTCTTGGGGCGGCGTAAGATCTTCGACCCATGCGCCTTCAAAGCCGAGGCGCTTCAGTAGGGTGCTCTTTTGATACTCCAGGCGCTCGGCAGGGTCCATGGCGGCCAGCTTGTAGTCGTGTTCCTTTGTGCCAAGGGAAGCTAGTACTTTGCCAAACTTCAGGATGGAAGGCAGGTCAAGCGTAGCAAGATCAAGGCCCTGGGCCAGTGGCGGCAGGGGTGCGTCACCATTCTCTTCTTTCTTGACGGGACCACCATTGCTGTCCTCGGATTTGAGGTGGCCATTGGACTCTGGTTCAGACTTTACGTCTTTGGTTGACTCATCTTGGTCATGGGCATTGGGGTCGAACTTGTCAGCGTTGGCGGCGATGCCTCCAATGGCCTTGGCGGCAGCGACCCTGGTTTCCCAGCTTTTTGATCGCAGGTAGGGGATGACTCTGGTGAGGAGATTGAATAGTTCGTCGGGATGTTGTTTTTGGACGTCGGCTAGCTGATCGGCTGCTGTGTTTCGGATCAATGCTGTGCTGCCTGTCTCGAGGAGCCTTGGCGCGGGTTAGCGAGCAGTGGACAAGGATAGGGAGAGCAAGGCAGATGGGCAAGCACGAGCATATGGCAGGAGGATATCCTACAATAGCTGTTGTACATGGCGCAGCGCAAGCGTTCACGGTCTGGGATGTATCCAGGTACTTACGTTACGAGACGGTCCAATCTGGTGGCACTATCAGAGCGTTAGCGTGACATGCATGCAGCGATGCGACATGCGACAAACCTCATGTTTGCGTGGCCGAGCAGACGGGCAGTCTGACAAGTAGAAGGCAACCACTTGAATTATCAACTACTGGGCGCCCGCAGGCGTGGCCATTGAAGCACTGGTGCGGCAAATTGCTCCCGTCAGGCTTTACAGTCAGTGCTATGGGTGTTGGTCACGTGATGGGTGGTAACTCGATGCGGTGCCGGGAGCGCGTCGGAGAAGGTGGGCTGCGGGCCTATCTAAGAGAATTAACAGGTCATTAAGTAGGCTGGATCTCCACCAGGAACGGGCTAGCGTCATGGTCCGTGCGTGCCGTTTCAGGGAGTGGAGGGAAATTTTTGCAACCACAACGGCGCCGGCATGAATGACGACGTCTAAGATAATCTCGAGCCTCGCGCCCTTGAACCTCTCCTACGCACATGCACTGCGCAGCCGTGTGTGCCATGGTGCGTCTTGTTGTGGCCTGCTGCGCCGGTTGCGACTTCCTTTGACAAAGTGGCCTCTGCTTTGCACTAGCCGCTTCCATCACCGCCTCAGCATGCGCACCAACGCGCGCCTGCTCAAGACCACGGCGTAAACCATGAGCGCATCCCTCCAACGCCCAGTTTCCCATTTCCCATCACCCACTTGTACTGCCCTTCATCATCTGCTCCACCCATGCATCATATCGTGACCGCCGCGCACCCTTGCACGCGTCACTCCTTATCACCAGCCTACCAACTTCTGACAGGCAGCCATACATGTGCCCTCGGTGCCATGGTGGCTTGCAAGGCTGCCGACCGGTAAGCCTTTGATCCCTTCTCGGCCACCGTACACCACCTATTATCTGTGCGCGTCTTTTGCTTTCTCCAACGGCTACCTAACGCGCATCTTGATATTACTGTCATACTCACAATACGCCGGATGCACCGGACGGACCCCCGCCTTGTGAGAGCGCGTCGTGGACAACCTCTCTCGCTTGGCCACTGATCTGCGTGCGGCCGCTGCGGCGCTGCAGCTAGCGCATACCTGCATCGAGATACATATGGGTGTATCCTACTCTACTGTATGTAGACTGTGTTCCCTCTCTCCATCTTCTCTTCTGCTCACTTTTGTCGCGCCCCTTCCCCGCTGTCCTTGCATTTGCATCAACCAATACCGGAGCCGATTTCGGCATGCCAACGCATCTCCCTGCTTTGCCTTTGTGCCATTGGTTCCAGCCCTGGGGCTGAAGACAGCGGTCCGGGAAACGTCCGTGCCTGAACCATCTGCTCAACCATGGTCAACCCGCACCCTCTAGCGCGGGAGGCATGGACCGCCTTTTCCACCGTCGTCTAGCCGTCTTCGAAGATTACACGACAAGCATACGAGAGTCATTTGAATGGGCGTGCTACAGTATGATTTTATTGCCACACGTCTCTATAGCTACTTGAAATAGTCTTTCCTCCAATCACTGCCGTGTATAACCGTTGCTGCAAAAAAGCCTCTTGGTGTTTTGTGGTCCTGTTGAGCTTTTTAAACCATAGTTGACTTTCGGGCCGTCACCGTCACTCGTTGCCCTGAAATCACACCTGCATATTTGCTTCATCTTACGATCCTCGTGCAATGCAGTTCAAAACATTCAAGGTTCATTGTATTATCATGTACAATTATCGCATGTCATTATCGAGCAATGACTCCATTTTCCGGTATACAGACTCAAATGTCTCTCTGCACACCCAAAAGACCACGCGCTCTCTCTCTCGTAAACAAGGATGAGCCTTCTACTCGTCTATATCGGCCATTTACATCCAGACGGCGTTATTGTCCAAGACAAAACCCCATGATGTGCACCCCAGAGCCCATATTTTCCAGAGAGATGTAAGCAAACCAACCCAAACGACATCTGGAGTATCCTCTACTCGGTGTGCAATTGTTGATTGAGTTCCTCCATCCGCATCAGTGCGGCGGCCACAGCATCTGCATCGTATGGTTCGCTAGCTAGGAGACGGTGCAGGTTGACTTCAGCGCGTGCGATGTGCATGGTGAGGCTGTTCTGAGCAGGTTCTGCGCCCTCATGCTCTTCTCCATCATCTTCCTCTTCCTCGTCCTCATCTTCCTCTTCATAGCCCTCTGCGTTTATCTCGTCCATCTCTTCCAGCATTTCTTGAATATTGCCGCCCATCAGTCTAGCATCGTTGGCTGTGCGAGCAGGACCATGAGGATCGGGCAAATCAGCAAAGCGATGGACACGTGACATCAGCTCAATCACCGCTGCATTGCCTTGAAGCACCCCGGTAGAAGCACGACCAGCAGGCGGGCCTCTCTGGATGATCTCGTTGGTCGAAATGGACTGTCGCCAGTACAACATATCCTTGTCTGAACCCCGAAGGTTGGTAACCTGATTAACAACGTAGAGGTTGATGAAGCCATTCTTTATGTCCGCATACGTGTCGAAGGTCTGTGAGCGCATGTAGTAGCATAGCCGTAGAGCGTCTCGGGCTCGGGGGTGCTTGTTGGGTGAAATGTTCTCCGTCCATTTGTAGGCTTGTCTAGCACTGAGAGCGTCGGCGGCTTTTGTACCTAGATACCTGAGCAGTTCCTGCTGTACTTTTAGATAGGCCAGGGTATCATCGGTGCCTTCTGCTCCATTGGCTTCCTCGTATGTGGTCTTGGGCAACGCGAATAGGACTGTGGTGATGGGCTTCTTAGGCTCCTGCTTTTCTGCTGCTGCAGTGGCTATCGGGTTGGCTGTCGTGGCTGGGATCTGAGGTACCATGGTGCGCTGTCGCATCTCTCCGAAGATGGTAGGATAGAGTCCTTGGTTTCTCGGGTTAGCCCGGCTACCACGACCTGTATGCACAGACGGAACCCGGCCCAGAGTTCTACTGAGCGTATCAAGCATCTGAGGAGATGTCGCTAACGAACCAAGAGAGCTAGCTCTTAGAGGAGACTCGTTTGAGAAGCGGCGCGCGTGACTCCTCATATGCGCCCTTTGCAAACTTTCTTGGAGTGATTGGTCTGAACTGTAAGACATCTCAAGCGGTGACGATAAGTCTGTTGGCAGTTATGAGGTTCCTTTCGATGGAAGTGACAGACTCTGTTGGTCGCAGAAGAATATGAGTATAGTGAAGGGAGTTGGGTGGGGAAGATCCAAGACTGTGCGTAGAAGAATATTAAGGGCTCGACCGCTCGACCCTGGCTTGACTGATTGGTGGAAGTAGCGCCAAGGAGCTCGCGATAGGCGAGCAGTGCAAGATCGGTCATCAACGGTGAATGAGGAACGGGGAACGTACGAGTCGTCCTCACCAAGGCAACCGCGACGGATTCGGGAGTACCCGTGCAAATGGAGAGCTGCATGAGAACGTGGACCCTCCCTGCAGCACATCGGCAGCAAATATACTGAACAAACGCAAATCAATCGCAAGGAAAGTGGAGCGATCGGATTATGGCCAGAATTTCCTTATTTGATAGGGTAGTGGTGCAGGGCGTGTTTGCTACCAACAGTGCTTAAGTGTCACAGTTGGCACAAGAAACGAGAGAAGCACAGCCAGTAAATATAAGCCTATGAGGCTTGATAGATTAGAGATGAAAAAGAAAGAACAAATATAGTACGTCTCACGGGTTCCGTTTATCTACCAAAACTTTCTCGCCTGGATCTTTGCGTTGTACGGGTACTGACCTGAGATTACAAACGCTAAATCGTCACCCACTGGTTGAGATGAGCGTTTGAACTCAAATATATGGATAGGAACATGTAGTGTGATAGACGCATTGTCAGTGGCGGAAGACAGGAGAAAAGTATAAATACGATACGTTCGAAACGGCCGCAAAAGATGACCGGCGAGCAATATAGTACTGAAAATACTTTATCCTAAGGAGTATCAATACAAAATGTATCATATTCAGCTCTGCGCGGCGTGTAAGGTGTCTCGTGGCCTGCTTGCGTTACTTCGGAAGGAGCAGTTGCAACACGATGTTAGATCACATTTGGTTACTTATATTTTTACCTTGAATAAGACAACTAGGAGGCAAGTCATGAATGGGTATTTGACTTAATCTAGCTATTTCTGCGATTGTCCTCGAGAGGTATCGTGAGGCATGATCTACGACTGACTTCTAGCGTGAACGAGGTGCTGCCTGCGCTAACCAGGATCTCGTCTAAGGTTACTTTGCATACGCCACTTGACAAGGTCTTTCCTCTCGTCTACAACTTCCCTTCTCATCCTTAACTCATAGTTGAAATGTGGTGTCAGGTTTACCTGTCATGTCTCCGACTTCCTCCGACTTCCTCCGACCTCAGACGTCTCTGCGACCTACCGATCTCTCCGACATGTACGGCGACCTAGTCTTCTTGGCTATACACTTGGTGCTGAGTGGTTGTCGCCATGATAAATATGATGCGCAAGTTCCACGCGGGACGATCACTCGCTCTCGATCTTTGGTTGCGATGACGTATGACCCACCCCTCTACGCCCCAACCCCTGCCCACATCCCGCCCCAACGGGCCACAAACTTGTAACGAGCATGGCGCAAGTAATCGGATATGAGATCACCGCTGGCGCACATGGCGTATACATTAAGAGTGTTTGTATATAAGAGTGGCTGCCTGTTAAGGGTATTGTTCTGCAAACATAGCCATATATAATCCTTTTCCAATAATTGAGACTTTAGTCCTCCTACTACAGCAAACACGATTACATACTGCTTTGAATAAAACACAAATCTCAAGACGCCAAGATGACGGACCAGGGCAAACAACAGTCCAAGACGTACAAGCAGCAAGCAGGAGAGTACTACAACCAAAAGTACGAAACATGGATGCCGTGGATCGAGGACCAGTACCTCAAGTGGTTTACCAAAGATAACAAAGCATCCTATGCTACCAAGCGTCAGTATTTCCTAACCACCCTTCTTCCGACATATCTAGTCCGTCGTCTTTCTACTCACCAGCCCCCAACTGACTCTTGGACAGAGAACCTCGACAAAACCAAAGTCACAGGCGTAGACCAAGTCGATAACCTCCAGGATGGCGTGAACAATCTTGTTGGCGGTCAAGTAGGAAAAGGCGGTCTCGCCCAACCTATTGGCGATGCAGTCTCAAAGGAGGGCATCAACCGTGCTGAACGCGGTGGCAAGGATGAACAAGGAAGGCCGATTGAAGGTCAGGGACCGTTTGGAGGTTACGGACAGAGCGCTGCAGACGGTGTCAAAGGTGGCGCTAGTAGCGTTACTGAGGGAGCGAAAAGTGCTGGCGGATGGGCTGGGGGTATGCTTGGTGGAGGAAAGAAAGAGGAGCAGAAGAAATAGAGGCGAGGGGATAGCGGTGACGGCAATGATATGATACCACATTTTCGCTTTGATTTCAGCGTCGTCGCTCTAAATTGTACCATGATTTAAGTTTACGGTATTCTTAGGTTTATGCGACTCATGTTACTACTGGTTCACGCTTTTACATAATTGTCCATGCTGGGAAGGGAGACCTTTGACGCTAACGTACATAAGTTACCCCTCACACGTCCCATCCAGGGCTTGCATAAACAATGCACTAGAAGACATAATCACAATCACTATTGCAACTCAAACATCCACATCTGAATTACCATCAACGCAGCTTCCACCGAAAAGTCCCTAACACCAGCGCAACTCGCGCAACGAGCAAAAAAGCGCGAAAAAGCCCACGCCCGCCGAAAAGAGAAGAAGCTCGAGCAAAGCTCGGGATTTGGAAGCTGGGAGTATGCCCCTGATAAGAGATATTCTAACATTGAATACAAACTACCTGGATTTGCGGCTGCTCAGCGTCTGTACATTGGATCGACCCAGAAGTAGGAGGCCGTCGATTTCAGTACATGTAAAGATATAAAGGTGGTGGAGTTTGGCTGCGACTTTGATGTGAAGGAATGAGTCCCCGCTCTCACTATCAGACACAGTTTCCGGAAGAAATAATGTATTAACAGGACAATAGTGAGCACCTCGACGCCCTAGCAGACGCCCCAGAGGAGTTCCGCATGGGCCTCCTCGCAATTTACGCCGGCGAACCTCAAGCATCCATTCGCCTCAGTTTGACCGACCAGACTCTCCGTGAAATCGCGGACAAAGCTGCGTTCCCAAACCTGGAGCATATTCATCTGCTTGGGTGTGACGATGCTCTTACCAACGGCTTAATGGGCATCATGATGAAATGCCGCAAGATTCAATCCATTGTAGCAACAACGCACATCCACGGGCATTATTTGAGCAACATGCTGATTCTAAAGATGCTGTCCTAGGGAGTGATGCCCACGACGCTTCGTTATTTCGAGATTGTAGGGTTTTTCTTGGATGACACACTTTTGGGGAACAACATGATTGGCGCACCTTCGAACATGATCCCGGGCTTGGAGATGGTTGTCGAACCAGCTGGACATAAGGGTAAGATTTACAGGAAGCGGCAGTGGGGATACACGGAGCCGCTTATGAAAGTCTGAGGTCCATGTCTAGTTCTCGGATCGATGCTTATTTTGTTAAACTTTGCTGCATCTAGCTTAGAGTGAAGAACATGGAGCTGCGTGTCATGCATGTTTGATAGTAGAATATGTAAGACAGGACAAGATTCTTCCGTGAAAGTGTCCAAATCACACCATTACGACACAACATGCGCATCAACATCTACCACCGTGCCCTCGCCCTCCTCCACGCTAAACAACTTCAGACAACTCCCCCTCTTGAACATCCTCGCACAATCTACCGCATTCGGCTGTCCCTTCTCCACATCCGCCCCTCCCTCATATAGCGCCCTAACAACATCATCGTACCCTTTGAACACGGCTCCTGCAATTGGGCTCTGACCCCTCCCATTCAGCACATTCGCGTCTGCGCCGTTGTCCAACAGCATCTTCACTGTCTCTGCGTGGCCGTGGTACGAGGCCAGCATGAGCAGCGTGTCACCAGATGCGTTGGTCAGGTTCCTGGGGATCCCTGCAGAGACGTATTGCGAGAGGGTCGAGGCATCACCGCTGCGAGCGAGGTCGAAGAGGCGTGCTGCTAGATCGAGAGCTGCGGGTGGGAGATCCGATGTAGATTTAGCGTCGGGAGGTGCTTGTACGGCACCGTCGCCGTCGGTTGCACCGGTGCCTACGGCTTGGGCGGCTTGTTGGCCGTATGTTTCTTCGTAAGTTGGCATGTTGCCGCTATGTAAGGTATACTTGGCTGTACTATGACCTTGTGTTAATATGGACAATAGGAGAGTTGTGTGACTACAAAGGAGCTCTTACATAGTCCTATCCTCTGTTGATTTATTGCAATAGATACGCGTGGAAGACAATGCTGTGAAATACCTTCAGCCAAAACCTTGCTTTTGTGTAGAATGAAGAACTAAAGTGTGCAATTCAGTGAATCCAAACGTCAGGTGAGATTTGAGTGGCATGTCGAGGTTCTTGAACGCAGAACTGCTGTGTGAGTAACAGGCTGTTTTCTCAATCATCAATGACGAAATCGATGCCGGCAGCTTTCCGACCGGAACGGAAAACGCGCGACGCGACTTAACTTAGCGCATCATCTCAGAGAGCGAGAGAACCGTCGCGACGCTTCTGCTTGACATGATCCTATTAGCTCAATATTCAAAGGCACAAAACACTACCGTGTTTATTGCATGAATTGGCTTACTTGTTGTAGTCGGTAGAGGCGCAAGTGAAGGCACGACCTTTGCTTGGCACTTGAAGTGGTCGCGACTGGCCAGTGCCAAACCACTGCCCGCATCTACCTCATCTGCACCACAACCACCCTCTGTTACTGAGCATCAGGATCTCAGCTATCGCTCGCAAACACCAGCGAGAATGGCCTCACCAACTAACCTCAACATCCCCCGGAAACGGGGCTCCATCTCGTCGCAGTCAGGAATCGCGAAGAAGCGCAAGCCGTCTAATCTACGCAATGCATTTTCTCCAGACGCCGAATCTGCCGGTGGTTCGCCACGCCAATACTCTCGCTCGCCATCCGTCGAAAGCAACATCACGACCTCCGTAATTAACGGTGTAGGAGGAAAGAAGCGGCGCAAGAAGGGCGGTGATGGCGGCAGCGTGGCAGGTTCAAGCGTAAGAGGAGGCAAAGGCGGCGACAAAGGCGAAGATGAAGATGGAGAAGCAGTCGAGGAACCAGAAGACGACGAGGACGATGAAGGTGAAGAAATGGGCATGGAGATTGAAGGAGGCATGAGTGTCGAGGCCCGTCGCAAACAAGAGAAGGAATACGAGCGGTACGTCCAGTTCGATTACACCCAAAGACCAACCAACTAATGACTGAAATATACAGCATGCTAGAAGACTTCATGACGCCTGCGCAAATGGACCGCTACGCAACTTACCGCCGCATCCGTCTCAAGCGCGAAACCGTCCGTAAACTCGTCAACCAAACCCTCTCGCAATCCGTACCCCAGCCCATCATCATCGCCGTAACATCCTACTCCAAAACCTTCATCGGCGAACTCATTGACCGCGCCCTTACCGTTCGCGACGAGTGGTCCGCCGTCCGCACACACCTGCCTAATCCAAACCTCCCGCCCCAGATCCTTAGCCAGAGTTTGGGAAGGCCAAGCGCGCATATCAAGGATGAGCGGAATAAACCTACTAATTCAGACATTACAGGCGCGGGTTGGTATCCGAATCAGGTCGATCGGAGTGAAGGTATCTGGAAAGAAGTGGAAAAGGACGCAAGCCTGCAGGAGAGGTTGAAGGCGTGTGATAAGGGGCCGCTGACACCTGCGCATCTCAGGGAGGCCTTGAGGCGATACAAGCGGGATCGCGACGGTGGAGGTGCTGGCTTCGCAGGCATGAGCTTAGAGGGAGTGGAGAGGACTATGGGCAGGACTGGTGGCAAGCGGCTGTTCAAGTGATGTGACTTGATAATCATTGCATTTCTTCCACTTGACCTCTATGAGGATACATGCATAGCGACGGCGTTTGGGAATAATCAGAGTTATGGAACATCGGTCCATCAACCATATTGGGTTCTAGTCATACACCACAGGCAGCATGGTCACAACAGGCACGTCATTGTAGTCAACGTGGAATTGAAACCTTGTCGTGAGGCATTTTATGAATAGCTACTTTATCATAGCCATCCATCATTCCAGTCCATCCCAGCCGAAGAGAGAACACCTTAGGAAATCATAACGCTAACTAACAACCCTCTAGTTCTCGTGAAGGAGGTCGTAGAAGGTCTCGGCCATGGGCTCGGGCTTCTTGGCCTCAAGAGACTTCTGGCCCAACTTCTCCTTGGAGAAGGTAGCAGCGTAGGGGTTGAGACGGAGCTGTACCTGGAAGTTCTTGAGCGGGTTCTTCTTTTGTACGACACCACGCTTGGAAACGGCTCCGCCACGGACGGGACGGAGGACCTTCTGGACATCGCTGGAGTTGATGATCTTGCTGAGGTCAGGCTGGGTCATCATTGTTGATGGAAGGAGGAAGTCCTTCTTGAGCGCTGAGGGCTCGGTGGTAGAGCCGTAGACCTTGTCAAGGGCGGTGAAAGCAGATGAAGTCCAGACAATGAAGCGGCCAAGGTGACCGCCGGGGGCGAGCTGGAGAAGGTTGAGAGAGTAGACGGATGAGGTCTCGACACCTGGGATGTTGCGGAAAGCAAGGACGAGCTCCTTGCCATCCTCATCAGGGTTGTAGATGACGAGAGGTCCACGGCGCTGCTTGTGGCGGCGGCCACGGAGCTTGCCCTTACCAGCGCGGAGCTTGCGTGTGTTGCGGGCTTTCTCGACATCGGCACCAGCACCGACAGCCTTCAGCAGAGCAACAGCAGCGGAGGTCTTCTTAATGGCAGCATCGGCAAAAGCAGTCGATGAGATAACGAGGGGTACCTCAGGGACGGTGCTGATGGCGTGGCCACGGGCGAGGAGAAGAGCGGGGCTTCCTGAAGCAGCGAGCGCAGAGGCGGTAGCGAAGCGCTTCTGGTTCAGGTTGATCTTCTGGTGCCACTTGCGCCAGACCTTGGTGGGAGCGAACATGCGACCGGAGCGGCACATGTTACCGAACGCGGCCTGACCGGCACGGTGAGTACCTCCACCAGAGACACGGGGGATACGGGCCACAGCGCGACCGGTACCCCAGGACTCGGCAGAAGTTTGGTGACCAGCCTTCTCGGAGCTGCCATTGTTAGACTTGGAATCGTGCAGCATGTGATGTAGGCTTACACAGCGTAAGGCTGGCGGCGGTTCTTGTTCATGCCAGTGTGCACCGCGTGGACGATATCCGGGCGGATGGGGGCCTGCATTCCTTGTCAACATAATTCTTTGAGGCAGCAAAACTTCGTGTCCAAAACAGCACCACTATTCTGGAGAACCGAGACTGAGAGAGTGTTGGAGTGATCGCAGGGAGTGCACATTCTCCGACAACGCATGACTGCATCATGGGAAGAAAATCTCGAGCCTCTCGGCCCAATGCGAACATTGCCCAGTTCCGTACAGATATCTTGCTTTTTAGATCTCTTCCCATTGTATGCGTTGCTTCAGCCGTGTTGTAGCCTCCTCAGCCTCTCCCTCCGAATAGTGTCTGCGTAGTATCGCGAAGTTCGGATTGCGGCGCAAAACTGACCTTGAAGACATTGGGAACAGGGACGGTGTCCGTGGTGGCCTCGCCCTTGGCGGAGACGACGGTGACGGTTGGCCTCGACATGGTGGCTGTTGTGGATTGACCTGGTGGTTAGTTGTCGCGATGAAAGAAGTCGTCGTCAATTTGGAAGTTCTCGGTCACAAGCGAATTTCGCGTGGGCGCACTAAACCTGTTTTGGACTTGGCGTTGTGCGCCTTGGCGGCTCTCGCATCGCCGCAGCTTGAGACTGGACAACATGATACGATAATGCAGAGTGCGGCAAGCTCCTGACGGATAACGGTTTGATATATTGTGTTATCTAAGACACTTGGCTATAACACACATGATATGCCTAGGTACGTAGTTCTACATTTAGGATGCGGCTCAGCTCTATCCTCAATGCACATCATTTCTACTATGCCTACGTACATGAGCGACTGAGTGGATGCCGACTATTCGTGTTGAGTTTGTCCAAACGATGTATTCATTAGTCTGTAGGAGTTCATGGGCATTGATAATGTACTTTAATGATGTCCTAATGCAGCACTTCGTGTAGCATTGGGAAGGAGAAATACGTGATTCCATCGTATCATCGTATCGGTGTCCGCAAATGAAGCGACAATTCGACGGGTTACGCAGGGCCTTAGATCCTTGTCTCATGTTCGGCTTCTGCCCGTATATTGGAAACAAAAGCAATACGCCGTGTTGAGAAACCTTGTCAGGTACAGGTATACGGCAAGGCTTACAGTCAAGTTACAGATCAAATCGGCGTCGATGATCGGTCTATATACGTATAGCATCTGTTGCTATATATGTAACTGAGAGTCGGAACCATAGTTGTGTGCCGTCATCATCATGCGCTCGAGGAAAGGACATGAAGAACAGGCACATGGCCCCTTCCAGCCAGTTTCAAGCAACGTCTGTACTCGCATAGTTATGCCGTAACATATCACTATGTGTACTGTTGTACGGTACGCGAATTCTAGACGGTCTCGAGTAGTGTTGGTGGCTTTGGACGGCCGAGACTAGGATATTATCACGAAGCTGGACTCAGTCGAGGGTACCATGTCCATGGTAGCGACGAGTTGGGCTCCGGTGTCATGACGCGGTAGTATTGGGCCGGTCAAGGTACATGTAAACATGGAATGAGTCGCTCATACGATCTTGCTCCGATCATAGAAGCACGTGCCGAGTAAGGTGAGGCGAAAGTCACTAAGTCGATAGATCCTCGCATGGTGGCACGAATCGCGGTCTTGTTCCTTCTATCGGTAGACTTTGCGGCTTTGGGGAGGTGCTGAAACACATGGGCAGCGGACTGCCCCGATCGGGTTGCCTGGAGACAGCCAGGGCAGGGCGCGGACGATGCGTGCGTCAGCGGGATGGAGCAAAAGAAAAACGGTCGCAAGTACAGCAGACAGGGCGGCTGTTCCCAACAAGCGGTAGATGAGGTGGGTGCATGTGGCCAGGTTTGTGGCGGTGGGATTGAGTTTGGCACGACAAAACTTTGCGAGGGCGAAACTGGCGTGGGTGGATGTGAAACGCGCGGTAGCAGTCGGATGACAAAGACGCAGATTAGGGCAGTGCGGCGGTGGGAGGTTGCAGGTGACGGGCGTCGTACCTTCGCACCCCGCCAACCGGTGGGTCGACGCCTCTCCCATGGCGCGTTTCACGTCAGAGATAATTGCTCTGGGTGTTTTGCATTGCATGTGCGGCTGCTGACGGTGAGTGATGAAGTCGGACGGGCACGGCGCTGCGTGTCGAAACGACGAATGCGGTGTGCAAGGCGAGCCCAGGGTGACCCGGCGTCGCCTTGTGTTGCTGGGGGCGCGCTGCAGTGATGTCGGCCGGGCGGCGAGCAACTCTCATCTCCAGGGCGAGGGCGTTCAGGCCGGAGACGGGTCGGATTAGATAGCTGGGTTACTTACTGGCTGGGGCCCTGGGGTGCTGCAATAAGGCCGGCCACCAGCCTCTTTCCGAGCGCGCTCGTCTAGGCCCTCCCGCCTTCGTGTTGCGGGCTTCGCAGGGGGCCTGTTTCCAGGACTGGGCATGTCCGGGGAACAAAGGCCAGACAGACGAACACAGCGGGGGGAACAGGATTGAAGAAAGAAAGAGAGTGTGAGAGGACACATGACCGAGCCGAGTCAAATCATCGTCATCCTATCATCAACCAAGAACTGCACAGTAAACTACCATTAACCTAGGCGAGGGTCCGTACGTACGTAACAGTGCAGGCCAGACAGTTGTAAGGCTGGGTGCTTGGGTCGTGACTGTGACTGGTGCTGGGTGGAGTCGCTCGTCCTTCACCTGGGTGCTAGCGTCGCAGCGTCTTAGTGGTCGCAGCTGCCTCGTAGCGCACGGCTGGCGGTTGCTATTCCTGGACGTCGGCGCTTGCTGCTTGCACAGAGCCACCACTAGCGTTGCGATGAGGTCCCCCATCGACAAGACGCATTCACGCCGCTTCAATCACTCGATACAGCGTCTTCGCCTCCCCACGAACCCCTAACACCCAGGCGGTAGCGGCTCTGCGATCGACCGGCTTCCCTCGTCCGCTCTAAGCTGGTCACCACTCACGCATCACAGTTGCCCAAATCAAAGAGTGTGTCGCAATCAACACACCATCGTGACCGCCCGAAACCACAGAGCGAGCGTCCCTCCCTCACCACAGGCACCCGCACTCGCACCAGCACGCCCCCCAGGCCCCGCAGTGTCGCCCAGAGGCTCCATTCTGACCTTCTCCTCCCGCGCCGCATCATCTCAGGCATAGGCGCATCGCCGGCCCAGTCGCTCCTTCCCTCAGGCGCTTAGTCGAGGATCTGGTATTCTCGCTCCAATTCACCACCACCACCCAAGCCCTCCACTGCTGTTGGCATCTAGGTAAGCCGCTCCTGTCCCCGTCTCTGCGCTGTATTTTTCCTGTCCACCTTCCTGTGCCTCTTTGTCTGCATGTCGGGGCCTGCATGACTGTCCAAGCAGGGCAGTGTACCGGCTCTCGTTACCTGTCTGCCACTGCTTGCGACACCATGGCTACGCTTCCGCCTGTTTTCGACTCTACCAACACTTTTGCTGGACCGCGTCTCCATGCTTCCTACTCCACTGCCCCAGTGCCCGTTTCCCGTCTTGAAACACATGCGCCTGCCATGTCTGCCTCGCCCACAATAACACACAGCGCTGACTTACCGACGCTGAAAAGGCCTTTCTCTATACCTAATTCTTCTTTCCCTTGCAAGAAATTCGACCAGTCGTCGCTGCACTGCCCCAACCCGCCAGATACCTCGTCCCACCATCCCCGTTGGTCCCGAAACACCGGCGCTCGCTGCCCTCGGTTGGCAACTCATACAAGGACCCAACGACCCAGCATGGTTCAAACGAGCTCGCGGACATTCATGCCCATGCCCTCCTTCGGCGCTGTGTTTGGAGGAGACCATCACCACAAGAACCATGCAGATGGCAGCAATGTAGTACGGCCTGCAACAAGCCCAAACACAAACTCGGGCGCTCCCTTTTCTTCTTTTCACATTCACAGCGACAGTCGTGATAGCACATCGACGGCCTCTTCAGACAACTCGCCTACTACAACAATCTCGACCATGGATTCATCGTCTGTCACAGATCCGTCGCCAGGCGTGTCGCCTGAGTCGCCTCTTGCGAAAACAATAACGCCTTCCTCGTTCGTGGCCGACTTTCGATCGCGGAGATCAGAGGTGCCGTCTGGAGAACCGTCGCCGAATAACTTCTTCGAGCTGCAACGGCCTACGACACCCGCGAAGAAGCCCCGTAACCTCAAGAATCTTGGTATCAACACGGCATCTTCTCTTGGCAACTTGCGTGCTCACAACCCAGCTCCCCCAGCAGTAGCTCCCAAGGAGAAGAACAGCTCGGCGCCACCGTCACCGCTCTTCATCAAGCCACCGACGCCGCCCAAAAGACGGCCATCGAACCTGAGCTTGACGATATCGACCCCCGGTAGCACAGAGAACAAGCCTGTACGACTCCTCATACCGTCTACGCCGTCCTTCAACCGACCGCCTCTTCGCCATTTTCAGTCTTCCCCGTCATTACCGTTATGTTCGCCAGGTAAGAGCCTGATGGGCGCCATGCAGTTGCCCCCTCTGCGCCCGGTCGTGCCCAAGCAAACTGGCCTCAGCGAAGTCCCGTTCGAGATGGAAGAAGAGGAGGATCAAGAACCGAACTTTGACATTCCTCAATCCCGCGAGGAGAAGCCAGCAGCGTACCCCAACGGACCCATTTGCATTTACGAGGCCGGCGTATATCTCTACTTCGAACCTACAGCTGTGCAGGCTACAACCTTTGATGTGATTATCAACGTTGCAAGCGAAGTAAAAAATCCATTCACCAACACGACTGCGGAATCGCAAAAAGACATTGATGCCAGGCGCATAGATGGTCCACCAGCAGAGAACGTTGATTTTACTACCCTTTCACAGCGTCCCAAGCAGTCTTTTGGCATGGGAGATGCCTCGCCAACCACGCCCAAGGCTACGGCGCCGGTCATGCAAACAATCCAGCCACGCGAGGTTGTCATTGACGGCAAGACTTACAAGACACCAGAATACATCCACATGCCATGGGAACACAATACCGACATTGTCCCCGACCTGCATAAGTTGGTGAAGATGATAGACGAGAGAGTACAGCGAGGAAAACGGGTACTTATCCATTGCCAGTGTGGTGTGAGTCGTTCTGCTAGTTTGATCGTGGCTTACGGTTTATACAAAGACCCGCAAATGAGCGTGCAAGAAGCGTATGACAAGGCGAAAAAGCGAAGCAAGTGGATTGGACCAAACATGAACCTTATCATGCAACTTCAAGAATTCCGCAATAGCTTATTAAGGCAAAACGAAAGCCGCTCGTATCACAATCAGGCATATGGACGACGATCTGCTGGCCTCCCCACTGCCAGATCTGGAGGAGCGAGCAAATATCCTTATGACCGAGATAGCGGATCGGGACCACGCACGCCGCGGACAGCACCACTCCCGCCTGACAGCGACATCAGCATGCAGCGGGCGAGCACAGGAAACATCATGGCGATATCGCCGGGGCCCTTGTCGGCACCGAGTGGCGCTTTCTCCACCGGATTCCGTCGGTCCTGGGATTCCAGTCCAGCTCACTTCGAGCTTCCGTCTCCATCTACACCTGCTGCCCAAAATACCACACCATATGTTGATCCCAAGGGCCACGTTGTACCTGTTCTCTCAGTAACGAGTAACGACTTGCCAACCATTCAAACCGAAGATGCTTCTCACGACGACGATTCACCGCCTCAAGATGGTTCCGTTAGGCTTTCGCAGGTTCCGAACTTTTCTCGTCAACTACCACTCCGACAGTCATACAGCAACGATGAGGGCACACCGTATGAAACTAATGAGAGACACCTAGCACCTCTACGACCATTTGGTTTGGAGCCACTCCGATCACCTGCTGTAGGTGGCTTTAGCCTTCCTCCGCTCAAGTCACCTGCTGTAGCGAACTTCAACATACCCCCACTCAAGTCGCCTGCTGTACCGAATTTCGACGTAACCCCCTTCGCATCCCATGGGTCATCGGATTCCGAGATTATGTCACCGATCAAGACTACTTTCGACGATTCATGGCCAGCGGGCTACGATCTGGATAACCATTCCCCCGTGTCTGATCCACAGGAGCCTAGCAATCTGACCCCACTCATGTCACCACGAGTTTCCGAGTTCTTTGCGTCAAACAGTAACCATGCGGAGCCGCCTGAGATCACGTCACCAATTACAACCAGCTTCCCCAAGGATGTTTTTGGCAGCACCGGCGGTACTTTGGATGAAGACCTAAAATCTCCTCGGGCCACGGAATTCCATATGACTCCATTGAAACCAAGGCCAGCAGCAGACGAGGATCCGTTCGGCTTAACATCACCAACTAGAGCCGACTTCAATCCGTTCGACAGGCCCAGTATCACAGCTATCAAGCACATGGAAGCCGAGGAGCGGCGCCCTTCCTTCCAGGCTATATTGCCGCCTGCTCACCAGACGTTTAACGGGTTTGCATCGCTTGATGGTACTGCACAGACCTTTCCTACCTTCCAGGCTCCTATATCGCTCTCTACGTCTACACCAAAACACAATCTCGAGGCCGAGGCACGGATCGACAGTCTCAGCAGTTCTCCTGAGAAACACACTTTAGCTCCTATCAAAGCGCATACAACGATGCCTGGAACGTTTCCCAAAGCACCGACCACGCCCAAGACCCCCAGCCAGACCTTCCTCTCGACTCCCGCCAAGGCTATCCGAACGAGGTTCTCTTCGCCCAACATGCGAGAGCAACGGAAATTGCAAAAACTACAGACCGAAATTCAGTCAAGGCTACCGCCCGTTCCGCAGCATGCCGCGGATGACCTCGACGCACTGATGTCACCGCGCGCAGAGGAGTTCACACGAAACCCTTTTCACTTCGAACTGCGGTCTCCTACAGATGATGCAAGTCCGGTATCATCAAACGAGACAATCAAGGACGGTCGAAATGGCCACAGCGTGTGGGAGGAGCCTTTGCCGCGGCAGTGGACTCCAGAAAAGGCTACTGTTGACCCCCGGAGTCCCGTCCAGACGGGCAGTAGTCCCATTGTTCGGAACATCTGGGACGTACTGTGAGCAATGGTGCAGCCATCTAGACCACTCGCCTAGACCACTCGACTGGGTCATTTCAAGTTGTCCTAATCCGGCTGTCTGCTAGACGTTCTCGGAGAATATACGACCGTAGAAGGTTTGGTGGCTTCGCCGCCATGTCGGAAATTACGCCACGTCTCTCCGAAGGATCGTCCATGACGAAAAGAGACGGAGACGCCACCAATACTGAACGTTTGATCTCCTGATGGCCGCATATTACACTGACTCGCTCATAACCTGCAAGCGACACGACAGTAGCCGTGGCGCTACCGGCTCCACAATACCGTCGCAACCACAGCGACAGTAACATTATCTCCTTTTTGTCAACATCTCTTTGTGTCAGGATTCTTTTCGTTGCCAGCCCGTTTATCTCACGGCTCCAACCTTCGTTTGTGGGGGCCAATGCGCGTTGAGTTACGCATAGTAATGTCCTAGTTTCTAGTACCTAGTACCGCCTATCCCTCCACATAACCACACTCCTTTACTGTCCCTATTTCTATCGAACACACCATTATTACACTCGCTGTACTGTATATCTATCTCATCTCTTTACATTGTTCAGTATCGATGTTACGAGCCATGCAAAGCGCTGTCCTCTGGCAGACAAGCACCCACTTCTGCTTGGGTTGCAATCCCACCGGTTATTTCCTTTTTGTGCGATTCTATCTGATCGCTCGGCCAGTTGAGCCAGCGAAGGGCGTTTATCTATTTTTGTTTTCTGGGACTGTGCTAGGGGAGAACAGACATGTCAGGAGGAAGCATAGCTCGGATTTGGGGATCATCGAGCGAGGCGCAAAATTCTTACCCTTTTCTTTCTTCCTTTCTATATCTATTCTAGATATCATCCCTTATATCTAGCTAGGATCGGGGGGAGGGAAGGAAGATCAAAACAGGGTAGTGTAAATGAATGGAAATACACAATCTTTATAACTTTTGTGTCTTTGTGATGTTGTTGTGAGTGGGATGACTCGGTTATGTTTTTCCATGAGGCTCTTGCTTGACTTGCGCCTAATCCCACTTGTAACTGTTTATCTAGCCTTGTCGTTGATCGACTAGCACGCCGTTTTAGCCTTTTTCGTCTAGAAATATGTGCTTTTTGCTTGTTGGCCGGGAGAGCGACAAAGATTAAGCGTCGAAATCGACATTAGGGTTGCTTTTTGCAAGATGCTCATCGTCACAGACAGCGTTGAGTAGGGTGATGTTTTCTTTCTTAGTCTTAGTCTTAGTCACGTTGAACTCTACTGGGCATACTGGGTACTCTACCCCTCGTCGTCGCGCTTGCATATGCACGCCAAGATACCCCGCGTAGAGAGTAAGTAAGAAAAAGTGAGAAAGGAAGATGCCCTTCCGGCCTTGTTGGCCCCCACCCTCCTTCCTCCTACCGCCTTACCTTCCTTGGGTCTTTTACCCCTCATTCCTTCACCTCTTTTACTTGATTCGGTGCAAGGGAAGTGAGGCAGATGTAGCCAGGGTGGGCTTAGCTGCGTGATGTGCTGAGGTAAGCTGTGGTGGGTTGTACTGCAGGGCTTACTAGCTGCTTGCTTACATGCGGCTTGTGTGTGGTGGGTTCGGCAGAATGTTTGGATGTGGGTTGATGGTGGAATGGGGTGGGATGACTGGATAAGGGTGAGGTGAGATGGGTAGGGGGGATCGAGGTGGGCTTGTTGTGAGATTGTGCTTCCAAAACCAAGTCTGATGAGAAGAAGAGTGATGAAGTGAGTTTATATGTATGTGTGACATTTAATTCGTATCTGACTATGCTATCCAAGTTTCCTGCTCCACGCTCGCACCATTTGTAAAATGATATATGCCTATCAAATCCCAAACTGCCAATTACGACCCCAGAGTGACGACCAAAACGCCTTGGCCTCCAAGCGAATGACTATAAGATACAAATGTTCCTGTTACAAACTAAGCGACAGTGAGGAAAAAGATATTTTGCCGTGAGACAAGATAATCAAAAGCAAAACAACAAGAATACCCAGGGTGACTCCAATGCAACCAAGACGTTCACCACAAACAATTTCAAACGACAGTGGTAGAAGAAAGCGAGTGAAGTATGAGTATGAAGATGATAGGAATATAATGATACTGATTGCATAGTATCCAGCATAGACACGACCGTGCTATCCCAGAACCAAAAACAATCATCATGATATTGGTATTGAGACTTGAAGAAGCGGAAGTAAGGTAAAAATATACCTAAAACAGCCAGCCGTTGCATGACACAAAACGCAGCACTTGCGTGTGGTCGAAACATTGCCAAATAGTATGACTAAAAATGAGAAAATGTGGAAACACCTTCCCCAAACGCCGTGAAGAGATCAAAACGTGTGCCCGGTCTGGATCCTGGGACCGGGAGGGTATCCTATGTTATGAGCAAATCTCTATGTTTGCCTGCTTGTAGTTTGTTGTAGTTTGTCCCTGTCGTGATGTACGAGAAAAAAACTTGATTTACCAAGTGTGGCTTTGAATATAGACGAGGTTTACTAGTAAACATACGTAGCGGTTCTGCTAATCGTAGGTTTGCTGGCATACCCCCTGTCGGGTTCACCGGACCTGGGTGCCCATCTGACGTCCTCAGGCCCGTATCTACGGCTATACTGGACATCATTTGTATCGAAACTTGGTTGACGTACTCTGTGGCGCGGCTCGTTGCCGAGTTCGCCATATTGCCTTGCGGAGCGTCCGCGTTCTTCGGAGCCACGGATAGGTGAGATGTTGCGGGAAGATTCGGTGCGACTCGACATGCTTGGCCGTGGCGCAGTCTTGTAGGAAGCCATAGGTTCTACATGACGGTTGGCGCCGATGGGAGGCTTGCCGAGTGGTGACGGAGAGCGGTGGCGGGGTTTCGGTTCGCGGACGACGTGGCGAGGGGCTGAGTTAGGTATCTCTTCTGGTCGGACAGATACGCCACCGCCAGAGACGGGATAGTAGTATGTAGTCTTGACACCAGCTGGGGTCTGTGGTGGCGGTACGGTGGGGAAAGCATCCCTTTCGGGGCTACTGTACTGTTCGCTTGTCACACCCTCGCGTAGGCCAGATGGGCGGGGACCAGCAGACTCTTTCCTGCGCGAAGACGACGAGTGGACCGAGGGCATTGTGGAAGAGCGATGGAATGCAGGTGGTGCTGGGATGTTCTCGCCATGTCGGGGTAGTCGCTCAGTGTATGAGCGCTGCGGAACATTACGACCAAGTTCGATAGGTGACGAAGTCGACTGCTTGAACAGGGGTGGTCGCCTTTCCTCAGTGCGCCTCTCTTCGGCCCACTCCATAACCTCGGGGATGCCGCGATCGGTTCGATCAGTTTCACGGCGGGACATGGAAGGTCGGTCTTTGCCCGGGCGGGCAGATGACCTGCGAACAGGCTCGGGCCGCGAAGATTCACGTCGGACAGGTCGAGGTTCAGCGGTATAGTAATCGCGTGAAGGAGCCCTCTGGGGCGAAGGGCGAGCCATCTCCTCTTCAACCTGTGCGCGCGACTTGTGTTGGTACCGAAGTGCCTCCTCTGCTTGTACACTCATCTTGCGGTGTGCGGGCACAGTGTGGGGAGGCTCCTCATAGGACCGGCGCTCTTCTGTCTTGCGGCGTTCCTGTTCGGTACGCAGCTTGTACCCCGCCTCGTAGTGGCCTTTTTCGTCTTCTGACGAGTCATCATCTACGACGGGGAGCTTGCGTTCGGGTCGGACCTCCTTGACGCGGGGCTTCTCGCGTTCTGCTCGGGAGCGGTCCTCTTTGACATGTCGGCTGCTTCTCGAAGACGACTCCTTTTCCCGCGTGGGTCGAGGGGCAGAAGCGGGAGCGGAAGCGGGAGCGGGCTTGGTGGTGTAGCTCTGGTAACGAGCGCGTTCACGGTCGCGTCCTTGGTGGTAGCGGTCGTCACTGGTGTGCTGCGAGGGCACGCGGTCTTCGGTAGTGTAGCGCGCACCGCTCGGTGTGGGGACATCGAAGCGTGCGTTCTTGTCGCGGGGTGCGGGTCCTCTCGCCGCCTTTTCCCTGCGCAGCTTCTCGACCGTCAGAAGCGTGTCGTATGCAGACCGCTTCTGCTCGTCGCTGAGGCATTCGTAGGCCTGCTGGATCTGATGGAACTCCTCCTGCTTCTGTTCTTTCAAGGCAGGATCGGTGACCTTGTCCGGATGGCACTTGAGGACGAGTTTGCGATACGTCGACTTGATGGTAGCGGCGTCGGCTTGTTTGTCGACGCCTAGGGCCTTGTAATGATCGGGCGTGGTTTCTGAATCCATGATGGGTGTGAGGGGGGGGGGGGGGGGGAAATTTCTAATCGGGGGGGGGGTTTGGTCTGCCTCTTATAGGTGACAGTAATGACTGCGCAGTAGTCAGTCAGTCAGTCGTTGGGCAAGCTCGTGTGGCGGTGTTGGGCGGTCGAGGCTCGCGTAGACAGTATAGAGGGGGGGGCAATAAAGTCAAAAAGCGATGGGCAAACGGCCGTGGCTGGGCTATGGGCGTCTTAAGGAGAGTCGGGTGCAGTTGGTGCCGGGTGGTGAGAGCGGACAGTATCGTGCGGGAGTACCTGGTATGGGGTGACGAGGATGGGCTTGCTTGGGCTTGCTGACCTAAGAAAACAAGAGTGGAGCAGTGTGCAGTCAGGACGCGGCGGGATCGAAGACTGTCGAAGGCCGTGGCAAAAGCGAAAAAAGCCGGCACCGGATCAAAAGAATTCGGACACTACAGCAGCCGTCGGTAGCGGCGAGAATTAAGTGAGGCGGTGTTTTCTTCTCTTGCAGTGTTGCTCTCAACTAGTTGCGTGTGGTTGCCCAGCAGCGATGCTCGTCGGTGGACTTGCGGTGTGGATGCTGCGACGTCACCGTTTCAGCGATGGGCGACGATGGCAATCAATGTCGATAGTCGGGATCGGAATGCAATCAAGAGGAAATTTATGGCAAGATTACAGCGGGCTAGAGAATACAAGTGTTTATGGATATGGCAGTCAGCCTGCACACATTGGGGGGGGGCCAGTTGACTATATCAGGCTCACGCACAGGGCTTAATAAAGTGCGCGCCGTCGTGGGACTCTCGGATGATGCTGGGCTGCAAAGTTACCATGGCACCAAATGGGGCCTACGCTTCGATAGTAGTGAGCTTCTGTCGGCCACAGCGGCTACGAAACACTGGATCCAATCAAGGCCCACGGCAGGCACATGGTGGTTTGAGACTTTGCTCGCGGACCGCATCTGATAGGATCAGCCCGCAGAGGCTACATGACACCGAAGGCCAGAGAAGCCAAGCAGAAGCACGATGTGACCACGGGCTTGCACCAATGGCATAATGCTCACCAACCCCCACCAAAGACATTCGCAAGACATGACGAATCTGCGGACGTGCCTGGGGTACGAGTGAAGCACGCAGCTGGCGGCGAGACGGGCCTCTTTTCACCACAGCCATACAGCCAAGTCGGCCATGGCTGACGCCTCTTTGCTTCTGCGCGGCGCCCGAGACAATCGGTACAAATGTACAAGGAAGCTCAAACGCAAACCAGTCAGCGGCCTCTCGGCACCACAATGCGGGTTGCAAATGCAAATGCAAAGTAATCCTTGGGGTTTGCACATATCCCGTCTCCGCCGTCACAACTCGGCCCAGGGACTGGCGGCTGCATCGCCAGGCAGACGCTTAACGCTTTCAGCTTTTTCCCGTGCCCATGCCATGTGAGATGGCACTCCCAGCTTTCCACTCGATCCGTCCCGAAATGGCAGACGTTAGTTCGCCGCATGGTTGGCCGATAAGATACGCTTATGCGGGGTCAGGCGGGGCTCCATGCAAGTCACAACCCAATAGTCCGACATGCTGGCCCGGTACGTGGTGCTTGGCCATTGACCCGATACCATACCGATACCAGCACACAAAGAGATGAGTGTGAGAGTGAGAGTGAGGTGTATCAAGGGCGAAAATGCCAGAGTGGACAGTACGTGTCAGAGCAGTACAAGATGACATCATATCTGCCCTACCAGGTGCAGGTACGCTGCACTCTCCATGTCATTCACCCCACCTCAGCCTAACTTCCCAGCCCATCTAGTTCTAGATGAGGCGGCTGATCGTTCGTTCTGGTTCCAACAACGGTAAACTCCATGTCGACGACAATCGGCTTGTGGTACCCAACTGCTCTGCCGCCCACCCTCGGGCCCAGATACGCTGCGTTCACTACTGTAGTCTCGGTACGCGCGCCTTGCCCATCACCGTCAGTGTCAGAACATGTGCCCCTCTCGTCCCTGTCGTCAGGACCCTGCGTAGCCTCGTCAGGTCGACCATGTCCCACGCCGCTCACGTGCGCCTGCCCACCACCCCACAACGCTTCATTGTTTCCCAGGCCAGCATCAGCAAGCCTCCCTGACGACACAAGCCTCTCACCACCGGATCGAGGCTGATGTGCCGTCTTATCATCTGGTGCAAGAGACGCATCAGGCTGGCCTCGAGTGCCGTCTTGCAGCGAGTCAGGCTTCCGTTGACGTGTCAAACTTGCATCGCAGCCCAAACTGCGCCCTGCTCTCGATTTGATCGTCAGGTCGACCAGGAAAAGTTTCTTGCTGCTGGCTCCTGGCTCGTTCCAGAACGCTACGTCCTCGACTAGATTGCCACTAACATCGTCTGGCGTCAATCTCCATCGCACTGTCTCCACGCCCCATCCACCGTGGATATGACCGCATATGTTCAGCTTGGGTCTTACCTGCGACAACCTCTTCAGCAGCGAGGGACATCCTTCCCTTTTATCTGTCAATCCCTCTGCTGTCCCATCGCAGTGCCCCTTGGGCGGTGTATGTGTCACGACTACATCCACGCCGTCTGGTATCCTACTCCACACGCACTCTGCTTCCTGGTTACCAGCATACTGAAATGCCCATGTACCCTGTTTGGGAGTACACGGACTACCAAATACCGTGAAGCACGTGCCCGAAGTGAGCCTGATCTGCGTAGCCGCGTTCTCAAGATAGGTAATCGATGTCGACTCTGTCAACAATTTCCTACACATGCCTGCATCTTGGGGACTAGGCCACTTCCATGACTGTGAGTTATGACGAAAAAAGGGTCCATCGAGCGTGATATCGTGGTTTCCTAGTGTAAATCCCATCAGCCCTGACTCTACCAAGCACTAGGTAAGCGTAGGTACCGGCAACCACAAACTTGGCCTCGAAATCCTGCCTCTCGAGCCACTCAACCGTCTTCTTCAATTCACTATAACTCCCCTGGTTCGTCAAATCCCCAGCATGAATCAACACATCGCCGCGCGGCAGCTTGGGCGTCTGATTATGCGTATCCGATATGCACACTACCCGCGTTTTGCGCCCCCCAGCCATCTTTTTTCCCCTTGTCCCATATGACCCAATCACTCGCTCGCTGTGGAGTCACGGTGTGTAGAAAGTGGGAAAACTAGGCGTAGGCTAAGTTCCAGGTTACTTAGATACGTACGCTACAGAGGTTGGTGTAGGGTTCCACCTTCCGAAGTTTACACGAAATGAGGGTAATTAGTTACGTCATACGCTTCCTGCACATCATTCACACTCACTCCCACCCCAGTCGCACAACGTCGTCTATCTTCTTTCTTTCCTTTTGTTGCCCTTTTTTTGCTGATCAACATCGCGCCATCTGGATTTAATCCTGGTTCCCCGCCTCGTACCTGAGTGATGGACAGGTACCATGTTCGGAAATGCAGTTTGCCGCCTTCGTTTCGCCGTGCCGAGGTCGCAAGGATTTTGCCACCGCCACCACAGTTGCCACGATGTGGTTTTGGTGAGTTGTTTTCAGGAGCAAGGTAGGCATGGGCGTGTGTGATATTGCTATAGTGTATGTGATTTGGAACGATTAGAACGTAGTAATGTGGTGCAATGTTTGTCCTTGAATATTTGCACTGCAGCATGGTATGGTTACAATATGTAGTAATTTATAATCAGGCTAGACTGTGTATTCATTGGTAAGAGTTCTTTGTGCTAGAACGATTAGTGGACATCAGTCATAATGTAGGATAGCATTAGGTGCGCTGGATGTGTAGCTTTGTACTACACGCCTCACCTGCACATTGCAACATGTGACAATCATGAGAGTTATTTACGATTCTTTTTTTGTGAGGTATGTGTACCTTTATAGATTCTCAATACAAAACAAGATACCGTTTTCTGTCCGTGGTAGATAAGAGAGTGTGAACCATAGAGCAAGGCACAAAGCCCTCAATGTCGCCATTACACCCCCAACGCCTGCAAATTGTTCGGCGGTATTCGAATGCTCCTATAGATCATGGAGCAGTGACACTATGACACGCTAATGCCCATCCGTATGCTTCCATTGTACAGCAAATCCTAGCAGGTACGTTGCAATTTCTCACCGAAGCCACATGCAAACGCCAAAGAACCTCAAGGATACACTCGGAATTTTTCTAAGGTTTTACCCGCAACCTTGGCTGTGTCTCTCGACAGATATAACGGCATGCGAATCGCGCGATTCCTAATCGCCCAAGCCGGAGGCTAATTTTCTCTCCTTGAGCCAAATGTAAAATTGAGAAATCGACTTTCTCTGTTACCAAGACAAGCACAAAGTCTTACTCATTCAACAATGGGTATGCACGAGCGTCTTACAAGTAGACGCTTGATGAACTCTCTCAACGCCACATATCGTAGTCTTCGTCGTCATCGGACACTGAAGGCGTGACAAGAAGAGGGGGCTTGTCCGAGAATTCGTCCCCGTCGTCCGAGTTGTCATGGTTGATGATCTGAACACCGCCATCGTATTCGTCCTCGGTTTCAGCATCCTCCAGCGTTAAATCCATTTCCATTGGATCAGATGATGTCGCTAAATTTGTGTCACCAGTCGCGGAAGTGCTGCTCGTCTTCCTGTCGATACCATTTCTGGCGACGTTACGTTTTTCGTCATCCACATCCACGGACAGATTTTGTGGTGGATACCAGAACATTTCCACGGGCACATCCTCCAGGACAATATCCTCGTCCAAGAGGACATCCTGATCGTGCGTGGTCGTGAGATGCATGCCTTCGACAATGGCTTTCCAGCGAGTAATGCTCGCCTGTATCTCTCTACGAATCTGCCATGAGTCGAAAAGGTTGTCTTTGAACCATAGCGGAAAGGTGGACTCAAGACTGAGACTGACATCGCAGCCAACCGCTTGCCAGTATACAATTTGCTGGATGAGATACTGCATCATCTTGAAGACAAAAGGCCCACAAGCACCTTCATCAGAAGTGAATCTGTTGTAGTAGTTCTGGTTTGGAGTCCAGTATTCAGGAATGTATTCCCAAAAATTCGCATCCTCTTCAAGAATCTTCAGCATACCCGCACCAACGTCACGGCCAATATCGCGGTTGTAGTTCTGATCGTAATCCTGAGCCCACATCGAATCGTAGTAATGTACTTTCTTATTTCCTCGATCCATGGCAATAAACGACCAGTGAGAGCCTTGCTCGCTGTCGCTTTCAAATCCGCCGATAGCATCGTTGATGATGATGAAGATCCATCTCTTGTCTTCGTATTGTATCTTATATTCGTTATACTCTTGAGGTGAGCTATCATTGCTCATATGCGCAAAATAACAGATTTGGGCGACGGCAGAATTGGCAATCGCAATGCCGTGAGTGTGACACGGTTCGTCACGGCGGAGAACTTCCATTGCCATATCCAGGCTGTCACCGGTCATCCATACGTGGTATGACCCACCAGTAAGACCAATGTGCCCATAGGCATCGGTTTTGAGAACAGCGTCTCCTAGTCGGAGATAAACATTATCGTTGGACGGAGGGAATCTGAAATGGTACTTGGAGCTCAGAAGAGGATATCGAAAGGGATTGGGAATAGCATCAATAACGGTGGTGGAAAGAGGCACAGCATCAGTCTCATGATTCTGTCGTTGTACGTCCAACTGTGAAATCTTAGTATACTGGGAATTTGTAGAGCATCTTGTACGAATAGCACGTACCATGGAGTAATCTTGGAGTGGATTCTCTTGTTGCCAGTTTTGGGCAGTGTTGACGTCGACACTGTAACGGCGTTTGCGTAAGGGTGGTTTTGTTCGCCTCGTAGGTAGAGATCCACGCTGGAAGCCCCGTGAAGCGACAAGTGACATTCGCTTGGTGCGTGTACGCATCAAATGCCGTGTCTTGCCGTAAACTCCTTTCATTCGCTTGTAATGAGCATCAATGGCATCTTGGGAGCACTCCAGAGACAAAGACACACGGCTAGATGTCATCTGTGTGCTTGATGGTGTTGGCAGGGCAGACGTATCATATTGCGAAGGACCGGCTAGTTCCACATGTGCTGTGAGAAGTGGAGACTTCGAGGGTGTCACGGGTACGCTGCTGTCTCGATCTTCGGATGAAGGGGGCGTATTGGGTGTCACATGACCACATGCCAAATTTTCCTGCGCCTTTGGGCCGATAACCGGGTCCTCTATGATAGTGGAGTCTGGAAGGGTCTTATAAACAAGTGGCAGTGGAGTGATAGAGGATGTCGCGGACAGTCCAGTATCGCAGTTCTCAGTCAATGGCGGTGTATTGGGTCTCATGTTGTCGACGTGCGTCTCGTCTTGATCTTGCAATTCAAGACTTTTGTGGTCCAAGGTTTCTGAACTCGAGTTCCTGTCGTCAACAGGTAATGCGGGTCGCGCCTCGGGTGAGTCAACGTCCGCCACTGACAAGACTGGACACAGAATACTGTCGGCCTCGCTCATAACTGTAGGGCTTCGAGACAAGAGAGGCAGCGTATCTGCAGGCTCTGGCGCAACATCTGCATGCGATTGCTCTTTGGTGTGTGCACCTGAAAGTGGGGCGGGCAGTGGTGAAGGAGGTGCGACCTGTGCGATGACCTGGGCAGGCGCGAACTCCTCGGCGTTATCCTCTGGCACTGGCATGGCGCTGGAGGGATGTCCCTGTGGTAAGGCGCTGTCCGTTGGCTGAGGCGTCCGTGTTGGCTCGCCGCAGGCCGTGACAGAATACACAAATGCGAGGTGGGCGGACGGGCGCTCGCGACGTGATAAACGGGTAATGCTTGCTTAGGCGCTAGAATACACGCAGCACTCTTGTTTGCGGTCTCTTGGTATATTCAACTGAGACTTGGAGCAGATGTTGTGAGCGATGCGCTAAGTACGCAGGGTAGGTTCGAAAGAGAGAGGAAGTGGAAGGTGTGATGGTGGGGCTGAGATTCAGATATAATCATGGTTTCTACGTCTTAGTGCGTCATAGCGCCCAGACAAAGTGAGAGTGAATGAGGGTCGCGGTCTCGGTATTCTGTTTGTTTCACCCAATAGCGCGTAATCAGTTTACGATAACGGACCCTGAAAACGACCAAACCATGGCTCAGCTTGTTAGCGAGGGTCTGCGAAGACGCTCCACGCCTATGAATGGGTGATGCCTATCGGGCGAACTATGGTACCGCGATATCGTACCATGGTAAAACTAGACAGTTCCGATGTTCATGCAAGCAGACTCGCACGCAGCTTTCAGCGCGCCTGTAGGAGCTCTTTGGGCAGCGCTATACGAGCAATAAACATATGCCCGACATCTGCACACTGCACGCTGTCCGAAGTGGTTGGACTTTCAAGTTGCGTTGCTGTCTAGGGAGAGTATGTAGCGCTAACAGCACGCTCGTAAACCTGCAACCTGATCTGGACGAGCCGTACCCCCTTTCCCTTCATATAAACGGAAGTTTTTGAGCCCAAGAAAACTCTGCATACGATGCCTGCATGTTCCTGTGTAGCTAGTGAGTCTGAAGTGGCATTGTGATGGATTCGTGTACAGGCACGAAGTGCTGTTTGACCGGGACCAGGATGGTTTCTAGTCATAGCTTCATTCTAAACATGCATGGATTAACTATCTTGGGCAAAATGTAATGTCATTGGAGATAGGGTATCTTCCAGACCTGTTAGCTTTACACGTGTATCATAATTTATGCCATTGCAATGACTTCTTGTATCATGTCGTCTGCCATACATGAGAAAATACTACTTATGAAGATTTACGTGCGCCGCTATTTGTTGACACGGAGAGGTATTCGCAGTCGAAATGACACGTTCACACTGAACCACGGCTTCACATTCGTCAGTGTGCCAGAACATGCCTGCATATATTCGATATAGGTTACACTATAGCGCAGTACAAAGATGGCATAAGTTGAGCGATAGCGAAGATGTCAAAGTCAATTGTCAGTCATCATGACCTCGCTCCCGACGTCTGTGATGGCCTTGGTGGCGCTAATTTGGAAACTAACCACAGAAGGAAGCGGTCCCGGTCGTCTACACAACGTCTCTTGTTGGGGCGTGAACAGTTCAGATCAAAGGCGTTGGCGTAGTTGTGGAAGAACCGTTGGGAAATTATGTCCTACGCATGTCTCAGGCTGCAGATCTCTTACTAATATAATTGTGATAGTCGGAGCAGGCGTCGATGAAAGATTGTAGGTTTCAGGCACTGACGCAACAACAGTCGACATCCGATTACATAGCTCAAAACTCACACTCTCGTTTCCTTGGGAACATGAACGGTTGAACAGAAATTAGACGGCTGTTTCTAGCGACACTAACGGTATTGAGTAGAGGGAAAGAGGCGGGGGTCAAGGATGAACCTCGAAGGTTTGGCTGTGACTGAACGGGTTCCAGGATGTGTCAAGGCCGCCTCCGCACCTCGAATATCTCTTCCCGCACAATGCAGACCCATTTACTAGCAGGCTTTACCCTGATCAAGGTTTTAGAGGGGCACACGTTGCTGCGAGAACAAAAAGTTTATAGTCTCAAGTAAGACAAATGAAATAAGGTATGTAATTATTTACATCAAAATTGGATACCTCGATACCCATAAGAGCAAGATACGAACAAGGGTGGTATATGAATTAAAAGTAAAAAAAGCAAGAACAGCAAGGAAAATCGTGAGATGGCGGTAATCACCAGTTTATTGTGCGATGCGCCACGCAATGCCTGGTAGAATAACAATGCTCTTGTGGTTAAAAATCTCGTGCTTTGGGATATCGCCCTTTTAACTCCGCAAAACTTCATCCCTAAAAACTGCTGCTGCAAATGCTCGCCCATCCGTCGAAATGTCGCGTAGGTGGCTATCATATGCGAAACTCGTACTTTTGCCCATTGCGCTATCATTGCGCTGGACGTGTCCAAACTAGATCCTGTGTGTAGGATATCGGTCGCGGCGTGGTAACGCGGCGTCGGCCGGAGAGTAGACTGGGTACACTAGGATGGTAACATCATAATGTTAATCCAAACGCACATGTCTTCTTGGAGCTTTTCTCTGCTCACTCTCCAGTACTGTTTCCCCGCAGCCTTCTACCCAGACTCACATTACGGCCAATGTCTGCCATGCCACCGACTGAGTGTCGGTTGTTCGGGTTTCGGGCTACACTCAATTGTGCTCTGGCTCGCAGGCCTCCAGACATGGGTTTGTCGTAGATGACCGGGGAGCCTTCACGACCCAGATTGTGACCATAACGACTCTGATCCCGGAAAAGGAGACTACTACGCTCATTTGATGGTGTACTTGAGATACTGGGTCGTCGAAGGCTCGCACTACTCTGGAGTGCAGGTGATGGCTGTAGATCAGGCATTTGTTCACGGGAGGTGTACTGCCTGCCGCCATTGAATCTGTTGTTGTCTGTTTGTCGTGCCCTAAAGTCGACGGAGGTCATGGCTCGGGACGGCGCACGGAAGATGGGATCCTGTTCATCTTCATCGACACTCTCACGTGTTCGATGAAGACTTGTGCCTGCTCGCTGTAGTCGTGATGGAGTTTGTCTGTCGTCGTAAGGTTCCTGGCTGTTTCCTCGTTGGGAACCATTGGAGTCAGCTATAAGCATGCTAGTTCTTCGAGCCTCTATGCGCGATAGTGCTCTACTAGGACTGACTCCGTTCAGGGTATTGCTCTCCGGTTCGATACTTTGTCGTATTGTCGGAGAGTCGCCATTGATCTGCACGCTCGGACGGCGCGAGATTGTAGCTTGGGTTGATCGGAAGGCTGGGCTGGAGAGGCCTGTTTTGGTGTCACACATGGCAATGCAAAGCTCCGTCAGGCTACGGCAAAGATTATCGGCCTTGCGACGAACCTGCCGGTCAGATACGACAGAACCGTTGATAATTGAGCTAGCGGAATGAAGAGTGCCCTGAGGCCCACCGCTACCACTCATTTCTGCCAACGCCAGCGCCTCCTGGGCCGTCGCTTCTAGCGAGCGGTATACGGCGGGAGATACATGCTGTCTAGCTTTGCTGAGAGCGTCCCGCAACAGAGGGTGGGCCTTATTGGCACTAGGCGGCGCCTGGGTGCTGACGCTGGATTCTGAAGGAGACAGGTTGGACTTTCGCTGTTGGTTTGGAGAAGAGGATACTGTTGTGGCGGAAGTGTTTGCTGTCCGCGGGCGCTCGGCCGACGCCTGCGAAGCCTGAGATACAATGGCGCCAGATGTCGAGGGTATCTTGCCCCCCATTTCAATCTTGCGTATCCTGGACTTTAGTTCGTCTAGCTCGTCCCATACAGAGGCAGCGGGGCCTGTAGAGCCGTGCGACTCGGTGCCGTCGGCGCGTGACCCGGCTTCAAACGACGTCTCCACGTGGGGCGTCCGCGGCTCATGTGACAAGTTGGAGGGCCGGTAGGGCTGGACTGGGGTGCGGCTTGGTGGCGTGTGTTGCACGTCTGGCTGGGATGATCGTCTGGCGGCGGAGAACTGGGCGAGGAAATCGCGCGGGGAAAGCTCCGAATCTCTCCGCGTCGAGGTAAAAGATGCCTTGTGGGAGAGATCGCGCGTGCGAGGTGCGGCGTCCGGCGCAGGCGAGTTTGACGATCGCTCATATGCTCTGGACGGGGTGGGCAGGAACGAGGAACGCCGCAGGGCCGATGACCGGGGTTCCACAGGGATTCGGCTAGTTGTTGGAGTCGCAGTAGAGTTTAATTGCACTGGCGAAGGGGAGTGAAGAGCGGAGGGAAGCGACTGGCGGCTGCTGTTGACTCTAGCAACCCGGGACTTCAATCTCTCCACGCGCGTCGCAGCTTCGGAAGGTCGCAGCTGCTTCGGCCCAGTGTCGGCGGCAATATTCAGAAACAGATCCTCCTTCTCAGTGTCGGTGCCCGGGGTGACAGGTGCAGGCGCTCCCCGTCCGCTGTGGGCGGCGTGGTAGTCTTCCATGCGGCTGCGAGGGCCAGAGTCGTATTCGGACGACTCATCAGTAGAGCTCGCCATTCGTCGCGCGGGCGGGCGAGAGGTGCTAGTCGAGTTTCGGCGTCCTGGGGGCGGCCTGGAGAGGCTGGGAGTGGGAATGGCAGAGGCAATGGCAGAGGGAATGAGCAACTGTCTGACGCTTGTTTGCTGTGACTGCTGTCGCGGGGCTTCGCTCGACGTGACAGAATCGTCGTCCCCACGGCGCTGGGTGGATTGGTGAGAGCTGCTGGGAGATACCAGGCCGGACTGTAAGGAATGTTGCTGCTGCTGCGCATAGGCAAAGTCGGCGGGGTTCTGTGTGCTCCGGCTGCGCGTGACCAAGGTGACAGGAGGGCCGCGCGAATTGTCTATTCCATGGGCACTGTGTGAGGCTGGCGGTCTCCGCGCGGTGGCTGCGGGCGCAGACGGCACACGCAGCAGCGTCGGGGGCTCTGGTGCCGTGTTGCTGCGTAGATGGATGGGCTTGGGCGTGGTAGCCTGCGATTGAGAGTTGCGCCGCTGGATGTGGTGTTGTGGTGCGCCTCCAGACGAAATCCGAGAATGATGGGCCGGCATAGCTGCAGGTCCAAGTCGACAAGTGCGCTGGCAGCTGGGCTGGCACCAGACAGGGATGACCGGTAACGTTTCAGATGGCTCAGCCCGTCATGGCTGCTTTTTGTGACCCACAAGCTGCGCGTAAGCCGTCGTATATCGCGCAAGCTTCACCAAAGTTCAGAGGGTGATTTCTGCGACGCTGGGGACACCTAGTTCCACCACCTTACCCAATTCCTTGCTAGGGTGCCGGGCCACTCTGCACCAAATCTCACAATCCTTCCTCGAACGAATGACGGGCCTCGACGCGGCCTTTCTCTCTCCAGACGTGATGTGCAGCTAGACCGCCTAGCACCCGTCGTCACATGAGATATTCACCGTTTGCCGTTGCTTTTAGCTCTGGTCTGAACGGCGATTGCGAACTGTAGCTTTGGACTGACTCGGGCCAAGCCATGAAACCACATGGCTCGATGCGGGCAGTTGGGAAAAAGCATCGTCTTGCTCCGCACGCGCACACACCGCTGCTTGATCTACACCGGAACCTTCCTCGACCCTCTCACCAACAGCCCAACGCAGAGTAGCTAAGCCCCAGGCACAGGAATCCCCTCCTGTGCCTGCAACAGATGCCTTCATGTCAATCAGGGTGCCGGGTGCCGGGTGCCGGGGCACCGGCTGCCAACCTGAATCGTGCATCCTAATCTTACCGCGTATCAGAGCCAGGCAGCATTTAATTTTATTTCTCTACTTGTCATCGCGAAAGCTGCTTCGTGCGTCGGCGGAGACGTCAAGCCTCACAAACGTGGACGGACCAGAATGTTAGGCCGTGCCAGTCGCAAGTTGACATCGGAAGCCTGGCGAATGCGTGATGCGGCTAAGGCACTATTGCGTCTTCTTACCGGAGCGACCCATGCTCCACTGCCCAGTGGCGCAATATCTGTCTCGGTGAAACTGGAAGGCTGAAAGTTTGTGTGGAAGCACCCTTTGGTCTCACGTGATATCGGTGGCGGATAAACCATCGTACCGATAGGTCCGAGGAAATCTTGCCCAGCCAAGCCCTGGATGTCGCCCACGGGCACCATACAACTTCACCACAACGACTGACCCAACCTCATCCCTTCCGACGCCCAGAATGTCCGTCGCAACTCTATCCAAGTCCCTGCCCAAGCCGAAATATTCGGGCGAGGAAGAGGACCTCACCAACAGCACGCGCGTCTTGAGCTCCGAGCAGTACGAAGCCCACGTCGTGAAGAAGCAGAATGGCCCACCCGCATACGGCAGCAGGCAAAGCTGGCGGCCACGCGCGCCCGAGGATTTCGGCGATGGTGGCGCGTTTCCAGAAGTGCACGTCGCACAATATCCACTAGACATGGGAAAGAAGGGCACACCATCCACATCTAATGCTCTCGTGAGGAGGGTTGATGGCGAGGGCAAGACCAAGTATGATGAAATTGCCAGGCGGGGACACGGCGACTCGCGAATCGTGCAAGCGAGCTTCAAGGACTTGATCCCGCTGCGCCAGCAGGCGGATGCCGGCCAGCTGGACTTGTCGCGTCCGAGCCAGGAAGTAGTGCAGGCGACCAAGGAGAAGACTGAGCAAGCTCTCATGGCTCTGGTCGCTGGCCAAACTGCTGCTCAGCGACCCAAGAACGTCCAGGGCCGAAAGAATGACGAACCTACTTTCGTACGGTACACGCCGACTGCGCAGATGGGTGAAGCGCAGGGAAAGACACGCATCTTCAAGATTCAGCAAAGGCAAATTGATCCCATGGAACCGCCAAAGTTCAAGCACAAGCGTATCCCGCGCGGTCCGCCCTCGCCACCACCTCCTGTCCTCCACTCTCCACCGCGAAAGTTGACTGCTGAAGATCAAGAGATGTGGAAAATCCCGCCTCCCATCAGTAACTGGAAGAATCCCAAGGGTTACACAGTGCCTCTCGACAAGCGTCTGGCAGCCGATGGTCGAGGTCTTCAGGACATTACGATCAACGACAAATTTGCGCAGTTTGGCGAGGCACTACAAGCCGCAGATCGGCACGCGCGAGAGGAAGTCAAGCAGCGTGCGCTGATGCAACAACGACTGGCAGAGAAGGAGAAGCTACAGAAGGAGGAGCATCTGCGCAACCTTGCGAAACAGGCAAGAGAGGAGCGCGCTAATGCCTCACGACGACGATCCCAGAGTGATTCGGACACAGACTCGGAAGAAGAGGCAGTGCGGAAAAGAATGGACGCGCGCAAGGAACGCCGCGAGGATTTCCAGCGTGAGCTCCGCCAGTCGCGCATGGGTACCGAGCGCAAGATCCAGATGCTTGCACGGGAACAGAATCGCGACATCTCCGAGAAGGTCGCACTTGGCCTGGCAAAGCCTACTTCGGGCGGAGAGTCCATGTACGATTCCCGGCTGTTTAATCAAACCAGTGGTTTCAACACTGGGTTCAACGAGGACAACCACTATGATAAGCCTCTCTTTGCAGCGCAGGATGCTATTAGTAGCATCTATCGCCCGAGCGTACAACAAGATGACGGCGAAGACGAGGGGGAGACGTACGACAGGATCACCAAGTCAAGCAAGTTCGAAGTGCTAGGCAGGGCCAAGGGTGGTTTCAAGGGCGCTGATTTGCAAGAAGCTCGCGAAGGACCCGTAGAGTTTGAGAAAGATACCGATGATCCATTTAACATCAGCCAAATGATCAACGAGGTCCGTGGTGAGAAGAGTAACGAAAAGACGGGGGAAAAGAGGTATGGCATTCAGGAGCCCGAGGGCAGATCTGCCAAGCGTGCTAGGGTAGATGACGATAGCGATTGAGCGGCATGGGAAAATAAGCTTTGGCGTTTGGGTTTTGTGCATTACACACTGCAGTAGCAGTATTCTAAGAGCATTAAGGCGAGGGATATCAGCATTGAAATATCCATAATCTAACGTTTTGCATGTCACATTATCCTAGTGGTTATGAATTCATATCAAGTAACACCATTTACGGTCTAATAACGACGAGCATACTCGCATGCGAGCCTACTAATGATTGCATCACTTTGATCGGCTGTGGACAGTGTCGGATAACGCACCCTCGGCTGCGTCCACCGACGACGCCCGTCGGTATTCTCCACACCATAGGTCCATAACCCCGCTCTCAATGTCGTCCGACTGCAACCAAAGTCGCATCCGTATTCTTCGGTGGCATGTTACCGGCTGACAGATCCTGAAAACAAGATGAATAAGACCAGCTTCTCTACACGCTGACGTGGGAACTCGCTCGCCTACATCTGCCATCGAGAATTCTCACAGCACGTACAGCACCAAAAGTGCGGCATATAACTTTGAAAGAGCACAATGACGGGCCAAACTCCACACAAGTTTGATCCAAACTTTACAGAGGCGGTCATCAATGCGACAGGACCGAAGGCTACGCCGAGGGTTAGACAGCTTACGGCGGGGTTGATCCGGCATCTCCACGATTTTGCGAGAGAAAATGAGCTCACAGTAGATGAGTGGATGGTCGGCGTGGAGCTGGTATGTCGACGTGGTTTCTACAGCTGAGACCTGCTAAAGACTAATTCAACACATGCTGACGATACGTAGATGAACGCAGCAGGCCGCATGTCCGACTCCAAACGCAACGAAGGCCAGCTTGTTTGCGATGTTCTTGGTCTCGAATCTCTCGTAGACGAAATTACCTACAAACTCGCATCCACCGCTGCAGACGAGCCAACCGCGACTGCCATTCTAGGCCCCTTCTACAGGCACAACGCGCCCGAGCTACCCATGGGCTCCTGCATCGTCTCAAAGGAGGTAAACGAACAGGGAGATCGAACATGGATGCACGGTACTGTCACAGATTTCAAGACAGGAAAGCCCATTGAGGGCGCAGTCATGGACATATGGCATACGGCACCAAATGGGCTGTATGAGCAGCAGGATCCTAATCAACCGGATATGAACCTCAGAGGTAGATTCACAACAGGGAAGGACGGTAAATACAGCCTCTATTGTCTGAGGCCGGTACCATATCCTATTCCTTTCGATGGGCCGGCTGGCAAGATACTGCAGGCATTGGACAGACATGCAATGAGGCCGGCGCATATTCACTTTCTGGTATGTCTAAAAGTCCAACGCATTCGGCATTGTGCACAGAATCACATACGAGAATTCGTGTTAACAGGATACAGCTTGCTGCGCCTGGTTATAAGCCTATCGTTACCCAAATCTTCGACAGAGAGAGCAAGTACCTTGAAGACGATGCGGTGTTTGCAGTCAAAGACTCGCTCATTGTGGATTTTAAGCCTTTCCAAGGCGACCCCAAAGCTGACTTTGAGTTGCCATATGATTTCAAGATGGCGAGCTTTGAGGATGCAACGAAGGCGTGAGGTGCACGATATGAACTGGATGACATATATCGTATTCTAGTCATACATGATCGATACTTGATTATTGATGAAGCGTAGATACTTCACATTTTACATCAGAATTTATGTGCGTTCCCATATCGATTGATGCATTCCGATGCTAGTAGTTAGCCGATGATTCCCCGCACTAACCACAAACCGTCTCCAACCGAACCGCGGTTGTCACGCCCTACATGCATCCGACGCCCTAAGCCGAAGCTACAGCATGTCGTGTCATGTTTGCTCTCAGCACCCAAACCCTCCATGATCTTTCCACTCTCCAAGGATTACTTATAGAAGTCTTGCATGAACACTTGGCTTATTTGGGTTCATAGTTAGTAAGCTTTCCATGTACAACTTGATGTATGATATGCATGGCAGCAGGATGATCATACTGACTACCTTAGGATAAGTCCACGTCTAACACTCAGCGATTTCTACACCTGCAACATTCGTACTGAAAAAGGATCAATTTAGAATCATGGGGGAAGACAAGATAACTCTCGGACGGTACATGTGGGAACGCATTCACCAAATCGGTGTCGACACAGTCTTTGGCGTACCAGGTGACTTCAACCTGCAGTTTCTCGACTCCATCTATCTCACCCCAGGACTGAGACTCATTACCAACCAAAATGAGCTCAATGGTGCCTATGCAGCTGACGGGTACTCTCGCATCAAGAACGCTCCTGGCTGCCTCGTCACTACACATGGCGTTGGGGAACTCTCTGCCTTGAATGGAATCGCAGGAAGCATGAGTGAGAATGTCAAGGTGGTTCATGTTGTTGGCCAAACAACGAGGACTATGCAAAATGCGAAAATGATGATCCACCACAGCATTGGCGGGAAGCCACATCACCAGGTCTACAATAAGGCCAGTGAAGGGCTGCGAGTTGCGGCTGCGGAACTTTGGGATATTGAGAGTGCGCCCAAGGAGATTGATCGCGTGCTGAGAGAGTGTGTGATTCAGAGTGGTCCGGTCTACATCTTCTTGCCGTTGGATCTGAGTGCCGAGATGGTCGATGCGGGTTTGTTGACAGAGAAGATTGATCTTGAACCGAAGGTTGAAAAAACGGCCCAGGATGCGGCGGTAAAAGCTATAGTTGCTGCAGTCGCAGAGGCAAAGCAACCGACGATTGTGGTAGATGCATTGGTACATCGGTTCGGTGCATCAGAAGAAGCGAAACAGCTGGTCAAGGCGCTCAATGTCCCATTCTTCTCCGCAGCAATGGGCAAAGGCATCGTTGATGAGACAGATGAGCAGTTTGTGGGCGTGTGGAACGGCGAAATCAGCTCCCCAGGTGTCAAAGAAGTTGCAAAGCAGGCGGATCTGGTCATCACGCTTGGCTACGTACCCGCTGACACGAACTCCGCTGGCTTCTCGAGACCATTGGAAGATGGGAAAACCATACACATCAACCCGCATGATGTCATTGTAAGTACCACTGCTCTTATACAGTCATCTCTGAAAGTTCTCTCGCTGACAACCTCATCCAGGTCAAGGGCAAATCTTATTCCTCTACTTCCATCAAGCCCCTTCTTGCTGCTCTTTCCAAAGCCCTTCCATCAACACCGCAACACAAAATCCCTAAACCCACTTTGCCTGGCCCCCGTATTCCTCTCGATGCAAATGCCGCCCATCTGACACAATCTGCGCTTTGGCCCGCCATTGAAGCGTTCATCCGCCCAGGTGATGTTATAGTTAGCGAAACAGGAACGAGCAATACTGGTGTCTGTGATATCACATTTCCGGCAGACATTAGACTGGTCACTCAAATCTACTATGGAAGTATTGGTTTCGCTACTGCTGCCACACTCGGTGTAGATGTGGCACGACGGGAACTCGAAGAGGGTGGACAAAAGGCCGGAAGGACAATTCTGCTAACCGGCGATGGGAGCATGGCATTGACGATACAAGAAATTGGCACCATGATCAAGAACAAGTCCAAGTCCATCATATTCGTACTCAACAACGATGGATACACTGTTGAGCGGTTGATCTGGGGTGCACGACAACGTACGTTCTTTTCTTTCTCTTCACCTTTATGCAATTCTAACGTAAGGTTACAGCATACAACGATATCGTTCCTCACAACTACTCACATCTGCTTCCGCTGTATAACCACCCTAACCCCGAGACTTCATTCCATCGCGCCACAACAAAAGAAGAGCTCAAGGCTATCCTGGAGAAGCCTCAGCTGCAGCAGCCGGAGAATGTGCAGCTTGTGGAACTGGTGCTGGATAAGATGGATACGAGCTGGAAGCTGGGGACCGTGCTAGCGTGGAGAAGTGAGGAGCACAAGGAGTATCTTACGCGAGAAGGGTTTGTGGATACGTATGGTGGGTGGGGTTTGGATGGCAAGGCTGGAGGGGATGTGAAGTGGAGCTGAGTGCGGATTCGCAGACGCGATGATTAAGATGTGAAGATACTGAAAACAGAAATCCTTACGATTGAAGACTTGATTTGTTAATACGAGATACTGATGTTTTATCTTTATGTTTAGTAATCACGTGCATCATATGTCTGCTGGAAGGAAGTTGCAGGCGGGCACCCCCGTCATAGGTCAGCACCACTACCTCACAATGATCACGACGACAGAAGCACCGTCAACGATCCAGTCGATCGAGTTTCTACGCCAATCTGATATTTTAGAAAGAATGACTTGCCAATCTGTATTTGAACTAGGCACAAAAATTACAATGGATCAAATGAACACCGAAAATTGGCTCTCTCATAATGAGATACTAAGATATGCTACGAGTGCGACCCGCCACATCATGCAACAAATTTACATCGCATACTCGTAGAAGTTTTGGGTATTCTAGCTAGGTAAAGGGTCTCCCAGCATATCGAAGCTAGAGAGGAAGTTATTTCTCTTGCACCCTTGATCTCCGCCACTGTCACTGGGATAACAAGACATCCTGGATTCAACATCAACTTATGACAGTAGCAACGGCATAATGATACCGATATCCGCAGGGGTCCTGATAACAGAGTTCAGAAAAGTACTGGAGCAATTCTAGCGGCCCCGCCCCCTAAAAAGATAAGTGCGTCGTGTTATCAAGCTATACAATGGCCTCAGCTGACGCTATCACAACAAACACATGGCTCTAAAGTGAATGTCATATGAAAAGGGAAGCACTTTATCCTGAAAACGAGTCAGATACTAGCGGCAGCCCGCTCTGAAGATTCCGGAAATGTGGATCTTAGCAGCAACCTCCTCCTCAGACTAAGATTACTCAGGTATGGCTGCGTCGAAGGTACATATGGTTTCAAGAATGCATAATCCATGACCCGCACCGGGCCGGATATAGCGTCATTCCCCTCTTGGATTAGCCTGGTATACGTATACTCATTTTGCTCCCACTGTACATTACAAAGCCAACATTATGAGATCTCTACTCACCGATACATGTGTTCCAGATCCAATCCGATGACATCTTAGCCAATCTCGAGGGAGCGTACTGAGGGGTATGATTACCAATGGCTGGCCGTGACTTCAAGTTCAATATCGCGATCGCCCGCCTCGCGCCTGGCTTACAAAACCAACCGGCTTGGCAACGACTATAGTGATGAGAATTTGAGCCAAGATCTGGATTTGCGTACAGGGAGTGGAATATCCCTTTGAGCAAGTCCAAGCGGGTTTGCGTGTTCATTTGGTTAAGCGGACTACAAACATAGTTGCAGTATGTTGTTCGGACTCAAACGAGCGACATTTGTTCCGGGTATGTGGGGGAGGACACATTGTCGTCGTCAGATTATCCGCATTGCAGTGGGGCCGTCGGCGAACAGGCCTGGGATGTGAAGGCTCACCGACTAGCCAAGTTCCCGCAGTACCGGGCTCATACCCACTACGAGATAGCAGGAACTTGACAACCTAACAGATGAATGGAGTCTCGCCAATGTGTCCTCGTATGGAGCTTGGATAGAGTAAGTTGAATCACCATGAACTCTGAAAATGATCCACACACAGCTGTTCCCCACACAATCGCCTGATGATCATCCCCACCAAGTCATCTCTCCAACTCAGACCCCGCTCTCTACTAGAGTCTCACTGTAAGATTTTATCCGGATATCTCAGAACTCCGCGTCATTTATCCCAGCTTATCTTTGACGATGATTAGCAAACGGCCCGATAGTGATGCGTCCGAAACGTTCCGGGGGCGTACGGCGCGGCAGATGCCATGTAAATAGTCAGCAGAAGCCTCAGCTATACAGAGTTTAAAAGGACTTGGAATATTTGAGAAAGACTATATATCATGTCTGCTCTATCCCGTCTATCCAATATCTCAGCACAAGTGCAACCTTCATCAGCAAGCAACAACCACAACACTCTGAATTCCCAAACAAGTACCAAAATGACAGACTACAACTACATTTTTGAAGGCTGGGCCGGCCACGACCCCGATTGTGTGAAAGGAAACCTGAAGTGGGAAACCTACGAGCCTAAGCCCTGGTCTGAAGACGATGTCGACATCCAGATCTCGCACTGCGGAGTCTGCGGATCCGATATCCATACCCTACGCTCTGGCTGGGGTCCCGCCATGTACCCTTGTGTTGTCGGTCACGAGATTATCGGCAAAGCCGTCCGCGTGGGCAGCAACGTCAAGCACGTCAAAGTAGGCGAGCGCGTGGGCGTGGGCGCCCAAGCTGCCTCCTGTCTGAAGCCCGACTGCGCCATGTGTGCCGACGGACTAGAGAACCATTGTCAAAAGATTGTGGGGTCGTACAATGGCATTTTCGCCGATACTCAGAGTAAGAGCTACGGCGGGTATGCAAAGTATAGTCGTACGCCAGGGCATTTTGTCATTCCCATCCCTGATGGCATTGATAGCGAGCATGCAGCGCCGCTGATGTGCGGTGGCGTGACAGTCTTCTCGCCGCTGAGGAGGTACGGGGCGGCTGGAAAGCGGGTTGGTGTTATTGGATTGGGTGGCCTGGGACATTTTGCTGTACTATTTGCCAAGGCCATGGGCGCAAAGGAAGTCGCTGTTATCTCGCGGACGCGAAGTAAAGAGGAGGATGCGAAGAAGTTGGGTGCAGACCGTTTCATCGCCACGGAAGAAGATGGCTGGAGTAGCGGCACCAATGCTTCTTCGCTAGACCTCATCATCTCGACCGTTTCATCGGACAATATGCCGTTCTCTGGGTACTTGAACCTAGTGGCGTTTCGAGGCACGTTTGTGCAGGTGGGTGCGCCAGAGGATCCAATGCCTGGATTTGCGGCGTGGCAACTTATTATGAGTGAAGTACATATCACGGGGTCGGCTATTGGACCGCCAAAGGAGATCAAGGAGATGTTGCAGGTGGTTAAGGAAAAGGGAGTGAAGCCTTGGACGCAGGCGATTCCAATGGCCGAGGCGAACCGGGCGATTGTGGAGTTTGAAGAGGGCAAGCCCAGGTACAGATTTGTGCTCACAAATTAGGATACTACTGGGTAGATGGCCAGGGATTGAAGACGACATGGATGATGATGAGAGGATGAGAGGATGTAGAAGTAGAGACGACGCGAGACGATGAGATGATGTAAAGTAGACGATGAGACGGATGTATAGTAGACGCAAAATACAATGAGGTAGACTAAGAAACTACGTTTATGCTGGCACATGAACAGCTAAAAAAAAACTTCAGTTAACATGATCCATGGGCGAGCGGCGCACACGGGCGAGCGGCGCACCCCACCAACTTTTGCAACTTTAAAGCGATGCATCTCAACAACGCGATAATATTATTGCTAGATATTGATACTGTTGGTAGGCCTTGTACGATCGTACGGGTGAATAACAACAACGAGGTTCTTCTGGTGACTGGTATTGGTATTGATCTTCTACGAACATAGCTGCTACGAAGGTACACCTAAGCTCTGCGCAAGGTGGGCCGAAGTCGGGCCGAAGTGTCAAGCAGCCGACGTCTCTACCGATACTCACGATTCGACAGATACAGTAGATTACTCTATATTAATAGTATCAGTCTTGCATGTGCGCGAGTTGTGCCCAGTCTCCTTGCACCTAGTGCAGCGCCTTTGAGCCCGCTGGCTGAGGCCTGATCGCGCTCCTCCTTGACGCTCTTCATGAGCAATCTGCTGGTCAGCCTCATTTTGAGCCAGTATATCCTCTCCAGCTCCCTTTGTGAGTACTCCATGCTTCTGTATACGCCTTTTAGAGCGCCGCCTACGCTCTGAGGCTGCGCTATTGGCCTTCTCAAGACTAGAGATCCGATCGCGCATCAGCTCAGCAGAGAGCATCATCACCTCGGCGCCCTTCTTTAGCTGGTCAATCGCCATAATAATTGAAGCTGGTGATGAGCTCTTGTGCTGGCGCACGCGCTCACGTATTAGGCTTGACTGAGCCTCAAGCTCACGCGCGTTGCTCGGCGTTTGAGCTACCCAGGGAGCCTCTGGCAGAGCTGCTGGAGGAGTAGGTGTACGCAGTTGTACATCTACCTTTGATAGAACAGCCTCTGGTTGTAGAGGAACAAGGCCTGCGCCGCGGAAGGCTGAGCAGATATTGGCTGGCGTGAACGCTTGATCAAATGCTGCCTTGAACGCTGGCAGAAACTCTAGCTTGGTGATGTGGTTGATGTGGTTGCGCATAAGGCTCTCCACCTCACGGCTGTACGCGCGCTTCAATGGCGAGAAGCAGCCAACATCAAGTGGCTGGAGTAGGTGAGATGAGTGAGGAGGTATACAGAGCGTATGGATATTGTTCTCCTTGCAGAGCTCCTGGAACTCTAGAGATTGGTGGCTCTTATGGCCATCAATAATAAGCAGGCGACGCGCGCCTACACTACGAGCCTGCGTGTGAGCGTTGAAGTGCTTTAGCCACTCAACTCCAAGCTCATTATTCGTCCAGCCATTATCGCTGACTGCGATCGCCCAGTCGCGTGGGATCTCAGCTTCCTTATACCAGGCTGATAGGTGGTACTGGCCAGCGAAGATGAGGAACGGTGGGACTGACCAGCCAGCAGCGCTGATAGCAGCGATCAGCGTTACCCACTCGCGATTGCCTGGCTGAATACTCTTCGGCCTGCCTCTCCTCTCTGCTCCTGTTATAACTAGCTGCGTTGTAATCTTGCCCATCATAAAGCCAGCTTCATCAAAGTTGTAGACGTCCTCATCGCAGATACCTAGCTCAGCCTTTGTCTCTTCTACAAGCTTAAACCACCTCTTTATTAATGTTGCATCCTCACAAAGAGCTCTCTGCCTATCGTACGCTTGGTTGAAACACGTCCGAAGACTGTCTGTACGCTTAACAAAGGTAGATGGCCAGTTGACTCCAACCTGCTCTCCACCACGCGCAGCCAGCAGCTTATCAGCCATATCACGTACAGCTGTGTAGGTAGGCGCAAATCCACGCAGATCTAGCTGAAGTATATAGCTAATAATCACCTCCTCTTCTCTCTGGGTAAGCTTCCTTGAGTTGGGCGGGCAATCGCGTCGGGCAGGTATACCAGCGCGTCGGCGGCGGAGCGTTGTTTCGGCTACGTTGTAGACTACTGCAGCAGTACGGGTACCTTGGATCTGGTGCGCATTAATAGATGAGATAGCAAGCTGAATATCTGCTTCATTTGATAGTAATTGAGTAGCGCTGCGTTGAGCCATTGTAGATTAAGATCAGTAAGGTGAGTAAAGTTGGTGGGGTGCGCCGCTCGCCCGTGTGCGCCGCTCGCCCATGGATCATGTTAGCAGGATACATGTGTATATGTCTTACCCCCTTCACCCGCAACAAACCTCCAGACAGCTACACGCCATGGTAGCTGGCCATCTTCACATCTACAACACTACCGTGGGGTATACAGACACGCATACTTATAAGCGCTGCGCTATCATAGATGCATACGAGTTAGTACGAATAAATCTGTATTACTAACCATGTCGGATCGTGAGTATCGGTAGGGACGTCGGATGCTCAACACTTCGGCCCGACTTCGGCCCGACTTGCGCTGAGCTTAGGTATACCTTCGTAGCACCTATGTTCGTAGAATCAATCAATAAGAACCATCACCGAACAGAATGCATTCCTAGTTATCGTTATTCCCTTTACGCACTTAGTGCAAAGCCAACCAACAAACCACGTAATTAGCCATCTTGAGGCAGCTACCACAAACCAAACAATCCTCACACGTGGGGCGCTACGTAAGTTAAAACCCACACGGCGCGCTTTCCCCATACGGCCCCGTGTCCACGCTTGGCCAAACATCAACCCTAGAAAACCATGACTAGAAGAAAAATGCCTTTGTTTTTCCAACCCTAAAGACGCCTACAGCTACGGACCACGACATCTACTACACCAAATTTCACGAAACGAACAAGATAATGTCGCCAATCTCCCGCCTCGCCCGCCTCCTCCTCATCTTCCACGCACTCGTAAACATGGCACTGGGCGCCTACCCCTTCTTCAACCCAGCCGAGTACTCTGCGATCACAGGGGTTGAAGCGCCAGAGAGAGCTTTGCAGGATATTGGTAAGTTACCACTTCTCTCATGCCAGCTTACGGACACCCAAAACTCACAAGAGCAACATAGGCCTCGGTACTATAGCGATAGGTTGGTACCAACTCATCTTCACACTGCAAGGCAACCGCAAGATGATGGCGTCGACAATCCCACTGCGGTGTGCATTTGCAGGTCTCATGTATTTGTTGGAGAGGCCGCAGCCCTTGCTGATTTACGAGTTGGTTGTTGTGTGGTTTTCAGGTATTGCAGTGTTTGCATAGGCAAGAGGATGACGAAGACGCAGAAGAAGGGCCTAGGAGGCTACGGGACGACGTTTTTCAATTTGAAAAATAAATAAATAAATCATCATACATGACGAAAAGAAAGGTAGACAAAGCTGTAAAATCTCTTTTCGGCCTAGAGTAAGATACCATCGTACCGTTCCCTATACCTCCATCATATCCATGCGACGGCAAATCATAGCATCGTAAAGTTTTCCAGACATCACCCCAGAAACGCTGCGATGTCGTCTCCCATTGGTGTGTCATATTACAGAAACGAAAAAAAAAGATCCCTTGCCTTGGGATAGAATGCAAATGGCGAGTAATCAAATAGCAAACGGCCATGATGAGCCAACAAAAACCCAAACCAAATCCGTCTGGCGCAAGACCATATCGTATCGGCTATTCTACATATTCGCAGGCACGCTAGTTCTAGCTATTTGATGCGAAGGTGGGGGTGTAGCCGTAGAGCGGCTACCAATGCTACCGATGCTAGCCAAGCCGTGGGATTGCGCCATGCTGCGGTGGAATGAGCCGATTTTTTCGAACCCCCTATGCAAGGTTAGTACCGTGTTTAGCTTACTGGAGGTCTGTTGACTTACTTTGAGAGATCATAGCTCTGCTCTTCAGGCTCGGGTTCTTCCTCAAAGCTCGTCAAGCTTGCGCCACGGACCATACCGCCGTTGCCTACAATACCCAGCCCAAGACCATTGACCTTGCTGTTTGATCGTGATCTCTGTGATCCGATCTCGCGCCTACTGACAGGTCGTGATACAGTACGACTAGGACTCTCAGGCCCCGCCTCCTCATCCTCGTCACCCTTGTCGTCGCCATCTTGCTCCTTATCCTCTTCGGGCTCGGCACTGTTGCCGTGCAGCATAGGAGGTGAACTAGGATGGTTATCCTCCTCTTCACCACTATCCTTGAAATCTGGACGTTGAAGCTTGATGGGGCTAAGTTCAAGATGTCCCTTGCCAGGTGTGCTGCCCAAATCGACAAATTTCCAGAATGGTGCTGGACTGGAGAAGGCCATATATTGGCTGGGCATCTGTGCTGTACTAGGAGGCGCGAGTAGAGGTGCGTGACGTGTGACAAGTGGCGTAACAAGAGCGTTGTTCATACGGCCTGGCTCGTAGTTGCCGTTGATGTTGTTCGACGCAGCATCCGAGTAGAGGGTTGGTGGAGAGTTGCCTACATCTGTTTTCATGCCGGGGACACTCTGCTTGACGGGATCCACACCAGGTGACGACTCCAATTGTGGTCTGCTATCGTCATTCTTGATGTAAGTAGGTCCTGGGCCTTCGGTGCTCTCGTACATGAGTCGTTTAGCAGGCGTTACGAAGCGATCCTGATCGCGGATGGTTGGTGACTGCTTGATGCCGCCATATGGGCGTGGACCACGATCCGGAGTGTACGACTCAGTGGCCATGGGGAAAGAAGATAGAGGCGGCGTGGCAGATCGTGGGGGCGACTTGATACGAGGAGGGTATTGGCTGGAGCCATGGTCGCGATCCAGGGCTCCGACGAGACGCTCTGTAGCCTGGGACGGATTTCCAAGTGCAGGCGAACTAGGCCCCGATCCATCAATCCGGTACCCCAAGCCACTACCCTTATTGCGAGGGTTGAGTAGCTGCTTCCTGATGAACTCCTCTCTTTCGCTGTCCGCAATCTTCCACTTCATGCCCTTTCCAGGCTCGTCTGTGCGGCGCGCGACCTTTTCAAACGATTTGTTCAAGGACAGATTGTGTCGGATGCTGTTTTGCCAACCGCTGGTGGTGTATCTAAAGTAGGCATAGCGCACTTTGATGTAGTCGTATATATGAGCAAGTGTAAGCATCTCCTCCTCGCTACTAAGGATAGCTTGGCCGATGAGCTGGGCATAACTGTGGGGTGGCTTGATGTCTTTGGAAGAGTCCAGAGTGTAGTCGATATCGTCTCCACTTTCTAGTACGATGGCGCGGGGGAAATTAGCGGGCGAGCCTTTGCTACGGGGGTTGTTGTCGGCGCGAAAGGTCATAGGCGTGCCTGGCTGGTGACCCGGTGTAGACGTCATCTGATTGTAGGACGCCTGTGAAGATTCGTGTTTATGGCGAGGGTGGGAAGATGGTGGGAAGGGGTAGTACTCCCGCTTGGGTGTCGGCCCGCCCGGGTGCGCATGCTGATGTGGCTTTGGTGGTGGGTTTCCGTCGTTGTCGGATTCAGCTGCATCCTCGTTCTTCACCTGGCGCCAGAGCATGGGGTGGAAGTGGTCTTCAGTGTTAGCGAGCAGAAATAGCATTTGGGTACTCATGATGCTGATGCAGATGCCCGAGTGCAGGGGCGCCTTCTCTCCCCGCGTCAGATGGCGGTCGTCGAGCTTGAGTCCATTGCGGCTGTTGACGTTGATGTACCACTTCTGGTCGGTCGGCTCAAAGTTGATCTCGGCATGGACACGGGAGATTTGGCGCTCTGGGCCAAGGTCGATGTGTACGCCCCAGTCCTGGCGGTCCGCATCGCTCGCGGGCATGCCAGCGATGTTGGGCTGGGAGCTGTGGGGGTTGGCGCGGCTGTTGTTGTCTGCGCGACCAATACGGACCTGGGTTTCCTGGACAAAGAAGCACCAGTCGCGAGCAGCGATCTTGGCGAAGGCGGTGATGTTCTTGCCCTCGTTGCGCTGTGACTGAAGGTCGTTGGCATAGTCGATGGCAGCATGGGGAATGTAGGCGGGCACACGTAGGGCGGCAATCAGGACATTTTGGCGCTCAATGGGATCCATGGGGTTGTCGGCATCGCCGCCGTTGGGCAGCGTCGTGTTGGAGTCGTTACTGGCAACCGACTCGGTGATGCGGGTACGGGGAGCGTCGACTTGGGCCGACGCTGATGCGGAGGCTGAGGCCGAGGTAGGTTCCTGGGCTGATCCGTTCAACTGTGCGAGTGAGTACAAGTCGGCGGCAACGGTGGTTGCGGTTGGGCTGCTCACCCGCCTGCGCTTGCGCGAGGGCGTGGTATCTGGCGTGTCTGGGTCAGACTGCTGCTGGGCGTCTCTGCGCGAGCGGAGTCCACTGCGACGGGTCGACATTGTGCATGCGGGTATGCGGCTGCGGTAAGAAGAGCTTTGGTCAGTGAGTGTTTTGCTTGCGATTTATATCTCGTGTGCGACATATGTGTTTGTTTGCACGGCCGTGAACCATGGAACCATAAGATGCGAATGACGAGCGAGCCGTGGGTGCGAGGCGTCACCGCCCCCACCACGACTCGACGCTCATCGGAGGGTTGCAGCTTACCGCGCTCAGTCCGTGTCCAGTTCCTAATACGGTGCGCGCGATGCGAGGGCGTCTTCAGGCCAGGGCAGCAGCGGGGGCGGGTGCGCGCGTGTCGCAGGGAGGTGGTGAGGAGCGTCGCAGGAGGGCGTGCGGTCGGCGTCGGAAGCGTCGATGCTTCCAGCTGTTTGTTATTCAGCGACGCGACGAGACGGCTAGCGTGGCGTGACGATGGCTTCAATCGCCGTAGCAGTGCAGCGACGCGTGGGGGGCGGTGATTGACGAGGCGCAAAGGCGTCAGATGTGCTAGACCTAGGTGATTGACTTATCGATAGTCTGATAGAGAGATAGTCGATTAGTCGCAGAGCCGCAGAAGTGCTCAAATTACGTCGCCTGTGCTGGTCGTCAGCCTGACTTCCCTTCAGGACCGTGCGCGCCCACCCTGAGCAATAACAACGCGCAAGTTTCTACACGTGAACCACACGGCGTTTTGCACTGCTTCATTGCCTGACAAACAACATGCTGCATCTGGACCATTACCTGCAATTACACCTTCCATCCTCCAGCGCATCCCATTAAATCAAAAGCCCTGCCAAGTGTGCGCGTTTGTCTCGATCCAGGCGCAAACAATGACGCTATCAGCCGCCCTGAAAAAAAAGCGTTCGCATGCGGCCAACACGATCGCTACCCCAACGGTAGCCCACACGAAAAAGCCGCCAATCTTTGCCCATTACAACACAAACATGCTTACCCCTCTTCACTTTTATTTATAATCTCTAGTATTTCTGTATTTTCCGCTGAGCAAGCCATCTTCCGTGGGACGCATGGCCGATGCACTGTTTTTCTTACCAGCTCTTACCATTCTCCTTGCACCGACGGGCCCATGATCCACCCTCCTACTTTAATACAATCTACGACGTCATTGCCGACTTGGACGCCGGAAGCCGAGTGATTACCCCTCAACTAAGACACGACGATAACATTTCACCCACGCCTCACATCAACACAATATCGTAAAGAATCATAACTTCATAATGCTAGCTATTCAAGGCCATCCAATTAGGAATTGAACATTACTGTTGTGCGTGACCGAATACCGCATTTCTATCCTTCGGTACTAACAATATATCCGTATCCGAGCATGCCCCGGCATATCTACATCCTGTAGGCGCTAGTGTCCATGGCAGCACTGAGGTGCAGCTTCCTTGAACTAGCACCAACGTACACAGTCTTGGGGTACTCGGAGATGACCCAGTTCTGGCTGGCAACATCCCAGTTGCTGATATCACGGCGAGTGATGTCGGCGTGGAAGGTAGCGCTCTTGCCCGGCTGGATGCTCAAGCGGTCGAAGCCTCGAAGCTGGACCTTGGGGTCATCGGGTCCTCCAAGCGCAATGTAGCACTGAACAACCTCGTCACCTGCTACCTTGCCACTGTTGGTGATGGTAGCCTCAACAGTGTAGAGCACGTCCCAAAGCTGGGGGTTGCCACCTGGCGCCCCACCAGCCGCAATGCGGGCCTGAGGTGAGCCGTCAGTAGCGCCGGACGGCCACGTGTGGTTGACACCGTATTCAGGATCTTGCGATGCTTCGGCAAGGTTGGTCGAGTTGAGGTAAGGGAAGATGTAGGTAGCGGGGCGTGTCGCGTTGGCAGGGAACTGGTACTCTTCGATATCCCTGCTGTAGTTGCCCAGAGTAGGCGCAGCAATCGTCTTTCCGGTGGTCGGAGTGTAGGCACCAGCATCCACCTTGGCAACCTTGATGTCTGAGTATTCAAACGTCGTGTATGACATACCGTGACCAAACTCGTAGACAGGTGTAATGTTCTTCTTGTCAAACGCACGGTAATCAATGAAGATGCCTTCCTCAAAGTTGTCTTGTGGGCTGCCGTGACCGTTGGTAGGCTCGTAGATGAGGTCAGGGCCGTACTCCTCTGCAGAGCTGCCGATGGTGAAAGGAAGCTTGCCACCGGGGTTCTCGCGGCCGTACAGAATGTCAGCAATAGCGTTACCAGACTCTTGGCCGGGAAGACCAGCCCAAAGGATAGCCGTGACGTTTTCATTGTCGACGAAAGAGTTGAGGAGCACCGGTCCGACAGAGTGGACAACAACAATAGTGTTGTTGCACAGGGCCGAGACGTTCTGCACAAGAGTCTCACCATCCTGCCAGATGGTCAGGTTGTT